CTAGCTAAAGTATATATAGCTATAGACTATATACTATTAGTCTATATATTAATACTAAGGATAAGCCTAGATTTTAAGGCTAAACTAATAAAAGGATATACTATAAACCTTATTTAAAAAAGGATCTTTAATACTATTAAAATAAATAATAAGCTATAACTAGATAATAAAGCTAGGCTACTATTTATATAATAGGATAAACTATTATATAAAGTTATAAAATACCTAGATAGTTATAAGGTAGAGGAGAAGCTATATATTCTAAGTAGCTATATAGCTAAGCTCTTTAAATCCCTATATATTAAAAACTATAAAGGTTATAATAAGCTAGTTTATCTTCTAATATAGTTCTATATTTATAATAAGCTATAAAGATTCTATAAATTTCTTAAATAATATTAACTATACTAAACCTATAAGAAGATATATTATATACTATATAGGAACCTATAGCTATTATTACCCTTATTAATCCTTTTTTACTATATATCCTTTAACTTCCTACTAGCCTTATTAAAGTTAAAAGAAGGATATACCTATATAGTAGTACTAGTATATAAGTTTAGTAAGGCAGTTATCTTAAGACTACTTAATTATAAGGCTAACTTAGTAACTATAATAAAGGTTATTATAAATACCTTATTCTTATAAGGATAAGGCCTATTATAGATTATACTATTTAACTAAGACCTTAAGTTCCTATTAGCTATATAATAATATATATAGAAATAGCTAAGAATAAAGCTAATATACTCTATAGTATATTACCTATAGATTAATAAATAGATAAAAAAGGCTATTTAGACTATCTTATTAGCTATCTATATATACCTAGCTACTATAACTAATATAACTAGATAGGAAGAGATACTACCTAGGCTATAATTTTAGTTAAATATAGCCTAAAATATAATAATAAAGTAAAATACCTATAAAGTTATTATAGGCTTTAACCCTTAGGATATAGTTAATAGCCTATTACTAGCTATAGTAGCTAAACTAGATATAATTATAATAAGGATTATAACCTATAATACTATAGTAATAGTAGTTATAACTATAAAAAGTTATTATAACTAAAGATATAAGATAGTATTCTTTATAATTAGTAATTAAGTCTATTTATAACTCTATAAAGGCTACTCTATACCTAAGTTATTAAGATATAAATTTAATATATAATTTATTAACTTATTTATAATTATAGAAAGGATAGGATAAGTAGTATATAGACTATAGCTATTATAGTTATAAAGAATATATAATATAATATTAGTAAACTACCTTAAGCTAGCCTATAGATATAAGGAATAGGATATAAAGAAGCTAGACTAAATACTAGTATATATAAAAGATTACCCTATTAACTATATTTATAATACCTAATAATAAGGCTTTAGGGAATAATTCTAAGTAAGATTTAAGGATCTTAGTAGTAATTATAACTAATAACTCTATACTAAAGATCTAGGTAGATATATATCTTAACTACTACTAGAATAGATATAGAATAAGTAGATATACCTAGAGTAAATATAGGTAGAGAATAAATAGAGAGGTATAGAATATAACTTATAGTAATATAAATAGTACTAGGCACTTTTTATACCTAGTACTATTCTAATACTCCTTATAACTAACTATATAGTTCTTTACTTCTACTTTAGCTTATATTTCTACCCCTTTTCCTACTCCCTCTCTTTCCTTTCCTTCTCTTCTATCCTCTTATAACTATACTATTATATACTATATAGTAGCTAATAAGCCTTTAAAGTAATATAAATATATAAGTTATAAATAGATAATTAAATAGTACCTATATTTATAATTAATTAAATATTACCTATATCTATAATATAAGACCTAGCTATAAATCTAGCTACTTTAGCTAGTCTTAATAGTAATAGAGATTAGATAAAGAGATAAGCTAAATAAGAAATAAGTATAACCCTAAAGAAAAGTAGGCTTAACCTAGATATAGATAATAAAGTATATCTAGATATACTACTTATACTAAAAGGTAATTAATAGATTAATTAGATATATTAAATAGTTTTAAAACTTATTAAAAGCTTAATTAATAATAACCTAAATAACTACTTAACCTAGCTTAGAGAGATATACTAAGCCTTATTAACCCTAAATAGTATAAAAGAATATCTACCTAGATATATTAATATAGCCCTCCTTAATAAATATAGAAAGGTATTTTATAATATAGTAAAATTTATATAGCTATTCTTTAATATATTTAATAAATACTAGTAAATAATAGTAAGATAGAATTATCTATATATAACCTTTAGTAATAAAAGTATAATAATAACTAGATTCCTTATAGCCTATACTATAACTAAAGATACTTAGATATTCTTACTATTTAGATAAATACTTATCTAAATATAGATCTAGGGCCTATATAAGGTCTAGAAGCTTATATAGTATAACTTAATATCTAAGGAGTAATACTAAATACTAAATAAACTAAAGTTACTATTACTAAATACCTAGACTAAGGTAGTTAAGATAGTATATATAAGGTAGGTAGCTATTACTACTAGTATTATAGAGACTAATACTATAGTACTAACTACTACTAAACTAGTTATTACTAAAGTAGTTACTATAGGACTAATAGCTCTTAAGATAGCTACTATATAACTAGTAGCTTTACCTTAGCTAGCTTTACCTTAGCTAACTCTACCTTAACTACTCCTACCTATACTACTAATACTAAGTATAAACTAAGCCTAGTATACCTTTAGACTAATAGAAGGCCTTATAAAGAATAAGATAACTATAGCTACTATATAACTAATAGCTTTTAAGATAACTACTATTAAACTAATAACCCTTAAGGTAGCTACTACTAAGCTAGTTACCCTTAAGATAAGTACTAAGAGATATAGATACTATTAATATATACTAATACTATTATTACTATACTTAATAAAGGCTATACTAATAAATTAACCTATAACTATATAAGTATTAGAGCTAAAGTAAATACTAGTACTAGTATTACTAAGGTAGGTACTAGCCTTAGTATTAGTACTAGTACTAAAGCTAATATAGGAACTAAAAGCTTAACTATAATTACTATTAACTAGCCTACTTATAGAATAAGAAGCTAGCCTAGCCTAGTTATAGCTATAGCTAATTAGCCTACTTATAAGGCTATAACTAATATTATTTTATAGCCCCTTCTTAGACCTAAGATAAAGCTACTTATAACTACTAGCCTAGTAGTAAGAAGCCTAGGTAGAATTCTACTTATAATTTATAAGATTATAACTAAAAGGTTATAAAGACCTAGATAATATTTTAACTTTATAGTAAATAATTAAATATAAATATAGTATATTATAAAAAATAGTAAATATTTTAAAATTTATAGAAGTATAAAAGGTAAGGTATAAATATAGCTATAAAGTAGTATTATTATTCTACCTTTACTAGTATATAATAAAGAAGTATAGCCTTAAGATATTTATAATATTAAGGTAATAAAAAGATAATATATACTAATATACTAGAGTATTAAAGAACCTAGCTATAGTAGTAATAACTATAATATAAGAAGGTTATAAAAAGAAATATAATATAGATTAAGTACTAAAAGAATAGCTATAAGGCTTAGTAATCCTAAAGGACTAGGCTTAAAGGGGAAAGATATAGGAAATTTAATTAAGAACTTAGCTTTCTTTCTTTTTTTTTCTTTTACTATTTAGTAAAGTATAGTAAATTACTTTACTATTTTATAAGGATAAGAAGATAAATTACTATTAGATAGGATAAAGATATTATTATTATAGCTTCTATTATCTAATAAGGATATCGCTATTTAGATAGCGACACCTATAGCCTATAGGCTATATAGTGGCTATAGCCCTATACACTACTAGATAGGTAGCTAGCATAGGGCAGGGCCTAGGAATATCATCTTCATTCTAACATACACACTAACACCTTCCCAGTCAATTACGGCCAAGAAATCTTTGGCTTGGTTGCCTAAAACTGTTAATTCGGACCACATGTATCTATAGGCCACATTCTCTCTTTCAGACTCTATTTTATTATTATTGATCCCCTGCCAAGGCTCCAAGCAATTCACTTGGGCATGGCACCTTGGCAACTGCAACATCGCCACAGGTTTTTGGCTACCGGTCGAATTCAAAATCAATCATCTTGGTTGTTTTCGAATCTCTCGGGATTCAATGGTAAAAAATATGCGATATAAACGATGTCTGCTTGGCTACTGGCGAGTCACCGACTTGAGTCTCTGACTGGCCTACAAAGCCGGTGGCCTTCATCCGCCATGTACAACTTGAAGTCAATTTTCTTTCAATTTTTGTTAACAAAGAAATAATAATCAAGAAAATGAGAGAATAGGCAATCGGCGTGGTTTCTCGCGAGCCATCTACCGAGACTACGCCAATCATGATATGTTTCGTGTACATGATGTAGTAGTCGTCTTGTTCCACGCCCGTGCATGTAGGGGACAAAAGCTATCGAGCCAGAACAAGTGTCGGCGGACTTTATATAAAAGAGAGTTGATAACAGTGGGAGGCAAAAACATTAACAGTCAAGAAAATCATGAACCAAGAAGAGCTTTTATTACCACTATTATATTCTATATTGTCTCGCCCCCTGGTAATGCCAAGCAAGGGTACAGGGAACTGCGGCCCACTATCAGCTGCAGTGGGGGCCAATCAACAACAACGCAATAGAGCCTGGATTACAGACTCGCACTTGCGATCCGGCCTTCCGTACCTAGTCCAGTTGACACGCCCCTTTCGCTGTTCAAAACTCCATCTCGCAGGCTCTCCCTTTTCCATTTTCGCCCGTGGTAGTCACAACAGCAAAAGCATCGACTCTCAACGCTTCGATTTACCCTCGACCGTAGCAATACGGATCCTTCCGGCGCAGCCGTTGACGCGAACACGTAAAACGCCGATTCTCGTCCCAAGTCGAAACGCGCACTGCGTACGAGCGCGGCCATGGCCATCGGACGAATGTACAACACCGCCGGCCTGGCATCGGCGGCGTCTCTATTTGCGGCTGCCGCTCTAATTGGCGCTGTTCAGGCACACAACCAACATAAGGTGATCCCCGAAGGCGAGACTGTCACCAAGGAACCTCTGGTGTGTACCAGCCGAGATGAGGAACCTCGAATAATTGGCTGACAGCATGATAGGATTCCATCACATGGCTTCACATCTTTATCCAAATGTTTGCTTATGGCGTCATCTTCCCCATCGGCATGGTCCTTGGTGTAAGTTGATCTTTTCCCCATCTCGACCCCTGTCATCTAATGTCTTCCCCAGATCACCAAATCACGGTGGCACGTCCCGACCCAGGCTGTTGGTTCCGCCCTCGCTCTTGTCGGCTTCTTCCTCGGACACGCTCACGGCGGCCGCCAATACGTTGGCGGCAACGTCCACTCCGTCTTTGCCAACATTCTCCAGCTGCTCCTCGTCGCCCAGGTCGTCCTCGGCCTCTATCTCAAGGGCCACTGGGAGCGCGGCATCAATGGCCGCATCCGCCTCCTCATCCGCCCCTTCCACTCCGTCATTGGCAAGGCCATGCCTTTGCTCGCTTGGGTCCAGATGGTTTTCGGCGGCATTACAACTCTGGGCTTCTGCCAGGGCGACCACCTTGGACAGTGCGCCGCCCACTTCATCATGGGAGGCGCTTTCATCGCCTACGGCATCGTCCTCACTATTATCCTCCTCGCTGGACAATTGTGGATGCGCCGTACCGGTCGCTCACAAGAATTCTTCGACAGCTCCGTGATTGCCGCTTGGGGCTGCGTCAACACCTTTACTGAGCATCGCTGGGGCAGCGCCTGGGTCCGGAACGACTGGCAGCACACCACGATGGGTATCGTATGGTGGTGCGCTGGACTGGCGGGCATCTGGCTGAGCCGCGACCGCGACGGAAATCCCAAGCGCAACTTTATTCCCGCCTTTGTCATTCTCATCACTGGCTGGGCCATGTCTGCACACCCCCAAGAGCTCATGGTCAGCGCCATGACGCACGCCATGTTTGGCAAGACACTCATGGCTGTCGGTGTCACACGCATCATCGAAATCGCATTCATCCTCAAAGACAAGCAGTCGCTTGACGAAAGCGGTCGCACCTGGAATAGCTTCCAGTACATTCCTGTTTTTCTCATGTATGCCTCCGGCTTTCTCTTCATGGGTGCCACTGAGGAGCAAATGATTTTGGTTGATGCTGCCGGCCTCGACGGCGTCTCATATACGCTTATTCTCTACTCCCTTGCTTTTATGGTTTTCCTGTTTTCAAACATGCTCATCCATCTCTACGATCGCCTCTCGACCAAAGAGGAAGGTGGTAAATATAGCAACGGGCACATCCGACTCAATGGAAACTCAAACGAGGAAGGCCGTTTGCGCGACGCCGAAGAATTCGAGCTTGAGGGCCTCAGCGACGAAGAAGAGCATGACGAGAGCCAGCGCATGCTTAACCGAACCGCCAGAGCGAGCACCGACACACCAAGCACGCTGGGGCGTAACAACCTGGCCTCGGCTCATTAAATGCCAAGGCCATGTGGCTTGATACCGAAAGAGACAAAAATGGAAATAATATACACTATTCGGCGTTTTGGGCGGGGTAATTGATTTGCAGATTCAAACGCATCCATTTGCGAAGATGGAGATGTGGCTTTGGGTCTTTTGGACTGTTTCTTGTATAAAGCTCAATAACGATAGCACTCAAATACCAGCGGTGTTTTTTTGAACTTGTTGGGTGGGCCCTGTCTTGGTTCGGCGGCGCCAGGTTTGATGACGCTCTGGCGAGTGACCTCGATATAATGAAGCACACTACCAGGGGCGGTAACATGAGTAGACGTCGTAAACCGATTAAACGACATCGTAAACACGACAGACTTCAGACACAACGTCTGCAGACCCTTTATGGAAATAATCTAACCCTTGGAATAGTTAGTATGTGAAAATACCATGATATATCAATAATACTCCGCCTTTGCTTGTCAAGGTCCCTGTTGATTCAAAGTGGGGCAGATCATCGTGGGGCAAAAAAAGTTGCAGAAAAAGTTGGCCGTCGTCTTTGCGACGCAATCCCATAAGCTCCGGTCCTTTCCTCTCCCAACATTCTCACTTCTTTTTTACCTCTTTACCTCCTCCACACGCCACCAAAATGCCGTCCGTCAAGAACCCCAACGGCCCGTCCAAGAACCGCCTCGCGGCCCGCGCGGCCAAGGCCCGCAAGACATCCCAGAAGCGCTCCGCGGAGCTCAAGTACCAGATTCCCAAACTCGACGCGCTACGCGGCGCCCGCCCAGGCCTCCTGCCCAACTGCGGGCCCAAGGCCAAGATTAGTTCCAAGAAGGCGCGCAAGCTGCAAAAGAAGCTGGGCTACGCGCTGCAGCGCAAGGCGGCAGCCGAGGGCGGTGATGCCACCATGGCTGGTATGTAGCGTTGCGTTTGAATGTTGGGGGGATTGGTTTGCTGACGTTGGATAATGCAGATGCGACAAAAGGCGGAGAGGAAGTCCGAGAGGGTCCGGATGAGACAGAGATGGAGGGCATTCTGTAGATGACAAGATGGCGGGAAATCGATGGACGACGACGCGGAATAACGAACCTTTATGCGCGAGCGGAATAACCATATCGGACGGCGTTTGGCGGCAAAAAGAGGAAATGATTTTGTGCTTTCATGATATATTTTGACGATACTAAATACAATATAACACACAGAGCGAAACAAAATGTGCGACCCTCCATGAATCAGTGTGCGACCCCGGAAGCCCTCATGAACCGAATTATGCGCTGGACCTGCCCCCGAAGCCGTCCCCGAGCGGCCCCCGCGATCGACTCTGTGTCTTGCCAGCGCCAGCCCGCCCAGCTAAGCGAGGCCGCTGCTCTCGGCAGCGTCGACCGTCGTCCGCGGCAGTGCCTGCACACGCACGTCGCGGCCTCGTCCATGTGGATGTGGCCGCTGCCATGGGGGGCCTCGCCGAGAAGCTGCTCCCACGTTGGACTGGGCGGCGCAGCCATGTCGATGGGCGGCGGGAGGTGGTCACGGTGCCGGCGCCACGGCTCGTGGTTGCTGTCCTCCGCGTTGCGGACGACGAGACGGCGGCATGGCGCCGCGCCGGTGTTGAGCCCGCTAGGCGGCATCTGTACGGCGAACGAGACGCGGGACTCAGATGTCATTTTTTTCCCCCGCTGGCAAACGGCCCCGTGGTTTCACGACCCTGGTGCTTCGTGAAGAGACTGGTTAGTTTCCCAGGCACGGTGCGACCTGGGTCCTTAAATCACACGTACGACGAGATCTTCCTCCGATCCCCAACATTACACGTATGATTTGGTGGATATGTGATTCGCGGTTTCCGAAATAGCGCAGTTATTGTTTGGCGGATGGACGTTGGTCCTGTCTGTTCGTCACTGCGCCGGTCATGCAAACATGTCGTGGCGGCGGCATGACGCTGCATGCTGCCGTGCACCTCGGCATGCGCAGCATTTCTTGGCCCAAAACGCCCGCCGCCCTGGTTCGCACGCGCTGTATCTTCTTGCCTTTTTTTTCTTTTCTTCTTTTCTCTTTGCACGCTGTTCAGCCTCGTGTAACTCGAATGGTGACCTGTCAATCAGTCAGTTGCCGCCAGCGTCATACAGTGGTCGCACAAAGCAAGGACGGCAGCATCTTCTCTTGCTCACGCGTATAAAGAACGCCTTCTCCGCCTTTTTTTGTTTGAGAGTCTGTTTGTGTTTTCCCTCTACCCGGCTACACACCGCTTCTACCTGTAACACAATCTCGACTCTCTCCCAACTCATCTCTCGCTTTTGTCCCGTTTGACAAACATGACTTACGACCAGAACACGTTTGCTGCCTTTTACTGGCTGCCGGAAGAAGACCCAGCCAACATCATCACGATATCCAGCGACGACGACGATGGTGGCGTCTCTGATGCTGAAAGGCGGTACCCGGACCTTGAACAGGAACCCCCAAGAGGTAGCGTTCCAGCATGGCCACGAACCCCGCCACTTACTGACTGCCGACACAGACACAGAACCGAGCCCCGAGGACCAGGCCGCCTCGGCGGCATTCCGGAAAGCCATCAGCGCCAGCATGCCCATCTACCTGACCGGCTGGCCCGAGCGGCACCACCTTCGCGCCGCCGCCGTCCGGCGGCTCGAGTGCGCCCTGTGCGCTGGCGCGGCTCTCGATGCGGTCTTCATCGACGACCACGGACTGCCCGCGTGGCCCGGCTGCGTGTGGGACCCCGAGGCGCAGTCGCTGCACGACGTCGTGCAGGAGCGGCTCCGCGAGTGCCAGGACGCCTGGGCGCTCGGCGCGCGGCTGCGCGCGGTGCTCGTGCAGCTCGGCAACGAGCGTCTTGCGGAAGCGCGCCGGATGGGAGTGCAGCTGGAGGACCTGAAAATTGGCGAGGACTTGCTGCCGACGTGGCGCGGCCGGGATGCGGACGAGGACGGTGCGGCGAGCGACGGCGACGGAGACACCATGATGGAGGTGGGCAGCAGCGTGCACAGCGAAGACTTGCCGCTGCTGTGGTCTGACAGTCCGGCGCGGGAGACGAAGGAGGAGGAGGAGGAGGAGGAGGAGGCGCAGGCGGTCGTCGACGGCGGTCAGCCTGCGAGCGCGTGGAGCTCCGACTCGGAGACTGAGGACTCGGCGCCGCCGTCCGTGTCCGACGACGACGACGACACGGACCTCTTCAACTTTGTGGCGCAGCTGTCCGACGACCTGGAATACCACGACGCCGAGGCCCCGCACACCAACGTCATCCACAACGTCGACGTCTTTGGCGCCTCGTTTCCCGTCGACGGGCCCGTTGACTTTGAGGTGTACCTCGTTGAAGACGACCCGGAAGTGGCGGCACTGCCCGAGGTCGAGCTGGCGGTAGACGAGGAGGCGTTTGCGCACCACTACGGCCTGGACGATGTCGTTGCTATTGAGCTGGGCGAGGACGGGCTGTACTTTGTGACTCCGCAGAACGACGGCGAGCCCCAGTCGGAGGAGGGAACGCAGGATTTGGCCAAGGAGGACTCGCCAAACGAGCCTGTCCTGCCGCCGCCGAGTGACAGGGAGGCGGACATGGAGGCGGGATGGGTCGTGCTCTAGATTGACATGACTGAGAGATGGCGTACTGACACTTGCTACGCTTGGAATTTGCTACGATTATGAAGGGGTTTGTTTTGGCTTACATGGAAAGAACTTTAGGGGGCACCTATTTCTATTAATGACCGTACGACTTACGAAGGCAATGAAATTCATTGGAACAAATTGTTCCTTAAACCCAATATGCGCAGCGTGGACTCACGAAGCCGTGTTCAAGTGATGTCTTAGTATGCAACTACTCCGTCCGATACCCCAAAACCTAACCCACCACCATCGTCATCCCCTACTCTCCCACGGCCAAGAAACCTAGCTGCGATGACTCACGCTCTGTCATCGCATCCGTTAAGCCACGCCGCAAAGGCGCCGCTGCTCGGATCTGCCACCACGTAGTCCGCTCGTCCGCTGCCCCGATGCTTTCGCGTCCCCGTCAGCGCCGCGAAGCGCACGTTGGCGCCCGACGTCCCTACACCGTCCTTGACGACGCCAACGTGCCTCCACGCCGGCTGCTGCGGGTACATGTTGAGCCAGACCTCGACCTGCCCGTCGAGCGGCCGCGTCCAGACGTAGTCTGCCTTGCCGTCGCTACAAAAGAAAAAAATCTCGGTCAGCGGATGAAACGCAAAAGCAGTTGGTAGAGGAGGGGAGGAAACTTGCCCGTTGATGTCGTGGAAACTAATCTCTTCCGGGCGCTGGCCGATGCCCAGCGCGTCGGCTTCGGGCAGCGCCGAGTAACGGTTGTGGGGGCCGGTGTCGGGGCCGTACATGTTGCGGTAGATGGTCGTCTTCCCCGTGCTGGACAGGTAAATGTAGTCGTCGCGCTAAAACTCCAAGGGTCAGCCGATGCAGAAGCTGCTACAAGTAGAATGGCTCACGCCGTCTCCGTCAATGTCGGCAATGCGGACATTCTTGCCCGGGCCGAGGCCGCTGGCGATCTGGCCGACGGGCTTGAACATGTAGCCACCATACTGGCTCTCGCCGCCTCCGCCTGGAACAAGGAGATGGGCTGTCAGAGCCCCAGTCTCAGGATCAAGGACCAAGTAGTCGTCATATCCGTCACTAGACCACGTCAGCGCGTGCCACACAACTTGTAGAGTACCAGAACGGTGAGTACCCGTCAATGTCGCCGAAAACAACCTGGTTTCCCGGAGCCGCGCCGGCAGCAATCGCATGCCCGTTGTTGACCGGACTCCATGAGTCGCCATTATTGGAGCTACATGTGTAGATTAGCTCTGTTACGATCTGAAGACAAAATTCGAATGACTTACTAGACGATCGGGGCACCGCTCTTTGGATCAACCCAGACGTAATCCTTTCCCTGTGGCATTTTACGTTAGAGTAAAAACCGACTATGTAGGCCAACGACCAAAAAGAAGAGGCTCGTACTTGACTTCCAGTGATGTCGGCAAATCGCAGTCCGTCAATGGCCATGCTGTCGTCGATGGTACCGCGATTGTACCACACGGACAAGGAGCCGTTGTCGCCGATGAAGACGTAGTCATCCTTGCCGTCCCTATACACACCATTAGATTTGGACCAAGACCAGACGAGACTACGACTGCGTACCCATCCATATCAGCTAGGCGAAGTGTGCTTGGCGCATGCCCGAAGCCATCCATGATCGACCTGGCACCACCCTGGTCAATGAAAAGCGGCACGCCTTCGCGATTTGTGCGCTGGTTCAAGAACCCAGAGATCCCGCCGTCGTCATCATAAACGAGGTAGTCTACCAAAATATTAGTCGTAGCACCCTTGTTGACCCCTGTGGCTTGACTGCATTACCGTCTCGCCCGTCCCCGTTGATCTACAAAACATCGCCATGTTAGCTACTGTTTGCTACACCAACCACTCTCCGCTACCCGCCGGGAGCAGCCAACCTACATCCGCAAAAACGAGCCTCGACAAGTCCTCCAGACCAACGCCCGTCGCTATCCCCCTTTGGCTGTGCCAGACCACGTCCGTCCCGCCCACGGAGCCGACGTTGAGCCAGTGCACGAGCGACCCGCCCTGGCCGATGTAGACGTAGTCGGCGCGGCCGTCGCCGTTGATGTCGGGGAACCGGAGCGTCGCGAGATTGGCGTGCGGCACGCCCGCGGCGATGACGCCGCCGTCGACAAACTTCCACCCGTTGGCCCAGCGGCTGTCCGGGCCGTGGTTCCAGAAGACGCGGACGGCGCCGTTTCTAGGATTCACGATGAGGTAGTCGTCCATCTATGCTTTTTTGTTAGTGCAAGTTGCTGCGACAGAGACGGATCGGGCCAATTTCTTTACCCCGTCGCCGTTCATATCCTGAGAGGCAAGTTAGTTGGTACTGGCGTGCTTATGATAGCTTCCGAGACGTACTGCGAGGTAGACTGTCTCTCCGCGGCCGGCGCCGCTGCCGATGATGCTGTTGTTGGTCCCGGCGGGACTCCAGGGCTTGGGGAGGTTGTTCAGCCAGCATCGAATTTCTCCCGTGTTTGGGTCAATCCAGACGTAATCTGTTTAGAATATTATCAGAATGCTATTACCGAATGATACCAACCATGTGTCAATACCGGCTTTACCGTCGCCATTCATATCGTGTAGCCTGCGAGGCCAAGTCAGTCAAGTAGCACGCTTTGCACTCTCCCAAGCTACAGAATACTCACCGGACATGCGCCCCGTCCAGACCAAAACCAGCAGCAATATCGTCCACTTGTGTCCAGTTCTTGTGGAATTTCCAGTCCCCATTTCGCCCAAGGCCATGCGCAATCTTCCCCGTTGCTCTCCACGCCGGCTTCGAGCCGCACTTAGCCGGGCCGGCCACAGCCCAGTCCCGGACGTCCTTGTAGCGCCCCTCCGGTCTCGAATCAACCGGACTCTGTCCAAAGTCTGGCGGCGGAACATGACGCTCGATGCCGCCGTTCAAGCCGGGGTCGTCGAGCGCCGGCCGCTGCGGGTCCCCGCCGACCGGCGGCTGGATCCAGCCGCCGGGCACCTGCGTCAAGAAGTCGTACCAGTAGTCGCCCATAAGCCAGTACCCGCTGTTCGTAGGATGTATGCAGTCGCGTAGCACCTCCTTGCCGTTGTCGCGGACAAAGCTGGTAAAGTCGACGGCGAGGACGCGGTGGCCGGCGTCCCGGCGCTGCTGAACGACGCGCGGGACCAGCTTCTGGAACTGCCGCGTGCCCGGCGCTTGCGCCGGGTCGCAGGTGTCGGTGATGACGGCAACCAGGAGGACGGCGCCGGGATATTTGGTGATGATCTTGTCGACGAGTCTGCCGAGCCGGAGAGCGGCCTGCACGGGGTCGTTGCCTTCGGTGGAGATGGATGGGTTGGGGTTCATGTCGTTTGTGCCGGCGGCGAGCAAAACGACATTCGGTCGCTGATCGAGTGATGGTTCGACATGGTCCGATATAAACTGAATTGTCTTGCCGCTCCATGCTGCCTTTTAAGCCCTGTCGTCAGCTACGCGCTGTCTCAATTGCTGCGGCGCTGCAGGAGAAAGGGCGACAAACTTACAAAGTATCCATCCTCCATGGTACCAGTGGTTTCCGTGCCGGCGAAAATAACCTTGTTCCCTGAGTCATGGTGTTAATCGGTGTTTTTCGAGTGAATTTTTTGTACGGTAGTATTTTTACCAGACAAGTCGTCGCGCAGCTTGCGCCGGTAGCCGTCGCCGTCTCCGCCCTCGTCACTTCCATAGCCGACGGTAATGGAGTCTCCTACGGGCAATATGCGCAGCTCACGGCCATTTTCAATCTGGTTTCCCGCCGGAGTCCCTTTAAAATGCAGAACGATGCTGGTATCTGGGGCTGGAGCGGGAAGAGCCAACGACGTGGGGAGCACAGCGGCCATGCCTGCCCAGCGCAGACGCATACTGTATGCCTTGTCGAGAGAAGGAGGTTTGAGCCTTGAAATTGTAGAAACTGTAGCAATTATAGCTATAGGTCTTGCCAGAGTCAATCCTCGACCGAGACGTTGGACAAAGGGTTGTCTGGCGACAACAGGGGCGATCTCGGCTGGCGCCTTATTAAACTACATTGTGGCTCTATACAGTACGGCATGCAGGTAAGATTATGCAGTCATATTGACAGCCGCATTCCTATGGAATTTTAAGGCTGTAACAACCATCTATGGGCATTAGGGGCTTGCAATATTGATGCGGGGTGCAAAAGGTCATGAGTCTCCCTGCATCGCAGGTGTAACGTGCGTTGTCGAAGTGGCGTTTACTGAGTGGAGGGTCAAGTTGTGTATAGGGGTAGTGCATTCCTCAGCAAAAAGTCCTATATGAAGCAAATATCAAGTGTCTCGAGGGCTTGTAGCTGCCCTGTCGCCTACTCTCGTCGCTCCACGCTTGCTCACCGAGCAAGCATCAGTGCTTTCTCTCCAATATACCTTGACCTCGAGGTTTCCAAAAACAGCTAGATGCCTCCCATGCTGATTCTCAAATCTGTCCCTGGCACTCCATCTCCTGAATGTACTCCGAGGTCGCGCTCAAGAGTACTTCTCTTTCTGCGCATCGATCGTGGCGGCCGCGGAAGCTGTGTCGGACGCCGCAGAGGACGCCTTTGATGCCGGGGTAGGACTTGGCGAGGGCGCTGAACAGATCCTCGAGATTCTTGTGTTGTTGGGTTTCAAACGTGTTGATTTCTTCGATTTTGGCCTGCAGCCTGGCGAGCAAGTCCTGCGTGGGCTGCGTTTCGGTCAGCGTCGTTTCGGTCGGCGTCGTCTCGGTCGGCGTCGTCTCGGTCGGTGGCGGCGGCGGTTCAGAGCGGCCTGTGCCGCCAAAGATGGCCGCTTGCGATTGCGCGAACTCTATCGGGGCGTCTTTCGGTAAAGAGTCCAGACAGCTTCCGTGAAGGCGATGTACGTCTTGGAACCACTTCTGCTCCATCATTCTGGCGCGGCCAAAGAGGGCTTGTGCGATGATGGCGTCCAGAACAGAGCCCTCGCTGAGAGAAGTCACATTGTCAACGACACGTCGAGTCCAGTGAACCCAAGGGTAGGAGTTTCTCGACATAGTTGACAACGGGGGTAAGCATCCCGGGCTGTACTGTCGAATCTCTTCATTGCTCAAAAGCGGCTGGATCCTTCGCTTCACAAACGAGACGTATTCTATCAAGACCGGAAGACCTGCCAATTGAGACATCTCGAACGTTGATGGAAGGTTTTCAGAGAACTGTGAATAATGCAAGAGATGTAGAATCTGGAAGAGAACCTCCCAGGGAGGAGGAGTCTGTAGAAAGATTACATGCAACGGTTGATTCGTTGTGCATGCAAACGCGAGGTTGGGGGCAAACGGTGCCGCTCGCCACAGTCATTCACCAGGCATCCACGAATGATAGCCAGATTATGATTCACTTCAATTGCAAGCCGCCGTGAATGAATATTAATTGTAAGGTCTATTAACTGCACTGCCACGTCAGTCACCCCCTGTGACTACTCTCGAACAAACAACAGCGGGTATCATTTGTTGTTTTACTGCATCCGAAGGAAAGCACGAGAATCTTCTCCCCCTTTACCAATTTGCCAAATGTGAGCTAACAAAAAAACGTCCATCAGGACGTACTTAGATGGTCAGTCCCTTGGTCTGCTTGCCCTGCTCCTCCTCAATCTTTCTGACATTAATGTTCTTCCACGAGAAGACACAGAGAAGACAGAGAGGCATAAAAGCAGCACCAACAATAACCATGAGACGCATGACGTGAGCGTACGCGCCAACAACAGCGTCACGCTCCGGGGTGCCGTCTGCAAAAGCAATCTGCACTCTCATGTCGCCGAAGATTGTGCTCGCATTGGCCTTCATCTCGTCGGGAAGGCGCTGGCTGAGCTGCTCAGGAATCATGTTGTTCCACATGGCACCGGCAATGGCAATACCAATGGACGCGCCAACGCCTCCAAACAGACCACCGATGGCGTTGACCGCAGCAATGTACTGGTGCGTGACGGGCGCCATGATGGCAATCGTGCTGCACGTGCTGAAGATTTGACTGCCGAGACCGACAAGGAACTGGGTGAAGACGAGCATGCCGATCGGGGCGTCCGGGCTGCGGTACGGGATGAGAAGGGCGGTGCCGAGAAGCATGATGGGCACACCAGAGTAGGCGGTCCACTTGAAGTCGCCCGTGTAGCTGATGAGGAAACCGAATACGGGCGCGAAAAAGGCCGCCGTAAGCATGTACGTGTTGAGGATGTAACCGGCCGTATCAATCTGCTGTCTGTGGACAACCTGCAGATACGAGTTGAAGTACGTGTTCCAGCAAAAGGTGGACAGGTACATGAGAGCGACCAGAAGACTGGAGCCGATGATAGTGCCTTGCTTAAGGTAGTGGAAGGGCAGGAACTGCTTGGGGGCAAACTTGGCCTCCCAGACGTAAAAGAGAGGCAGCAAGATGACGCCGAGGACGAGCATGGCGATAATGTACGGCGTGGCCCATTTCTGGGGCGCGCGGCTGACCAAGCTAAAGGGCAAGAGGAGGAAGGAAAGGCCAAACATGAGAATGGAGATGCCCAAGATGTCAAACTCAACCATGTAGAACTTGACCGACTGCCAGACAGTGCGGCCCGAGGCCTCGCGCTTCTCAATGATGCCCTGCTTGGTGGCCTTGCGGAACATGGACTGCATGAGGGCGAGGGCGGGCAGACAGCTGGCGATGAGGATAATGGTAAAGGCGCCAAAGGCCCAGCGAAAGTTGACCTGCTCGTAAAAGAGCTTGCCGAGGGCGGGGCCGGCAAAGGCGGAGGCGATGCGGGGGGTGTTGCTGAAGCCGATGAAGATCATGCGGTTCTTGAGGCTCGTCATGTCGGCGATCATGACGCCCATGACGTAGCGGATGCCGAGGTGGCCGGTCCAGTAGAGGGTGTGGGCGGCGACGTAGGTGGTGACGTTTTGGGAGACGGCCTTCATGATCATGCCGACGACGCAGACGACGAGCATGAAGACGAAGCCCTCGACGCGGCCCCAAATGTCAATGACCTTGGCGAGCGCGAGCGGCGTGCAGGCGCCGATGATGGTGGACAAGATACCGCCAATGTTGAGCAGGCCGTGCGACTGGAACATGGACGTGATGTACGGGCTGAGGGCGTAGTCGAGCGCATTCTGCAGGTAGTCGACAAAGGAGATGAGGTACAGTCTGGAGATGTATCATGTTAGAGAGCGTCGGCAGCACACTCGGTCGCTCAACGGTCGACTTACAGCGCAAACATGCTCCAGAGCGTCTTCGTGGTCCAGATGGTGGTAATGGCGCGCACGCGGCGCACACCTTCCTGGAAGTCTTCGGAATCAGATCCGTGGTCCTCCTTGGAGTCGGGATCGACCGCCATGGGGGCACCCTTTTCGGCATCCTTGGGGTACGAGACGATCTCAGGCTCGCCCGGCCGCTTCTGGTCTGCTGTAATAGCCGCCATTTGCTCAAGGGAGGAGGGGGGGATGGGGCAAAGTCTTTTTGGGATACCGAGAGGGTGGTTCAGCTTTCAACACAAAAAAGGTAAAGGCACACGAGGGTCTGTCTCACGGAAACAAGCAAGGCGACTTATTATGCGGGAGAGCGGCGCTAGATGTAGGTGTCGAACAAGAGGACGAATGGGAACTCGATTGCCCAGGCCCGAGATGAACAGGAACGCAAAAAGAAAATTTTCGCCTCTCACCTCGTCAGCTGCACCGCATGTGATGGCAAACTGCGAGCAGCCTCAGCTGGAAATATTGCCAAGGATTTGTTACTTGGCGAATACCAACAGGCAAGGATCTGATATTGGAACTTGACGGGTCGGCTTGCTGATTTCGGAGCCCACCCACCACATGTTCAGAGGATCCGTTTGGAACCGAGCTTTATTTTCAACTCTAAATGTACGGAGTAGGAGTCGAGATATGGAGCCAGAGGGCTGGCTGTGTCTTGGCTCTCGCCGCTCAGTGTGGCGTGTACGTCGCCAAGCTGCCAAGTCACAGCTAGATGATTCCGGAGCCGCCTCTCAGACCCCGAAGATCCCAAGCCACTCGCATCGACCTGCCATGATGCTGCGCGAGTGAGTCTTGTTCCGAGCCTCTAAATTTTGCCATGCCGCGGCGAGCCGGGTGTTGAAGTTGCCGCTTGTCGCGGGTATTGCCGTTCCAGTGTGACAGCCTTATTAATAGCATTAAGCTTATGTGGCTTAGCGTCCAGCCTCGACAACGGGCCGTTTTCTGCAGTGAACGTATCTTTTTTAATTTATTTATTGCAACCGGTGCGACGGATCCGCCTCCCACATGGTTTGGGGCTGCGGGCAGGTGATTGTGGCCAGTCGCAACGGGGGGAGGAATAAATTGCGCGGAGCAGGTGACCCGAAAATTGATGGGTGGGCGAGACTAATAAAACGTTGTGGGAAAAAAAGAGAGAGGAGAAAAAAAAAAAAAGAAAAAAGGCCAAGAATTCAGATGGCGTTGTAGGATGTGACTTGTGTCTCCGCTGGTGCGGTCCCAGAGGTTTGGGGGCCCTGGCGAGCGAGTCATGGCGCGATTGATAAGATGGGTTTGATTAGATTAATCTAGCCTGCCAACCACGGGGTGGGAACGGTGTCTCGCCGGAGACCCCTAGACAAAATAGTATGAGGGAAATACTGCCGCTTTCACGAGGAAACAGACTTTGGCAAAACGAGGAGAAAAAAATTTGTTGAATAATAAAAAATGGGTAGGTGGGATCAGCGTTGCCCTTGCTTGGCGGTCTCGTGTCTCCCCCAATAGTGCTACTATTTGCTGCAGAGTACGAAGAACCCAAGGTATGTAGGTGTGTAGGTAGTTCCTTCTGGACTCCATCCCACACGCTCTTCTCGGAATAGGCTCGGACAAGATCCAACTTGTCCCGAGCCGTATTTCAGAACAATACGCTGTCCTGACCTGATGCATATTTTTTTCCCTCCTGCTTCCATCTAATCTTTTTACCCCCCTCCACCCCCCCCTCCAATATCACGAAGCGGAACCATGCCTTCAGCATCCAACTCTGCCACCACCATAAGGGTCCTCGTCGCCGGCGGCAGCTACGCAGGCCTCGCCGTCGCCGTCAACCTGCTGGACCTGCATCGCGGCGTCTCCCCGCGTATGCACCCAGAGCCCTTTGCCCCCGCGCAAGACTGGCCGCAGTTTAACTTTCAAATCACCGTCGTCGACGAGCGCGATGGGTTCAGTACGCATTCCACACCACTACCACTATACAAGCACACGTTCCACGAAATCGCACTAACCACGGCCGTTTGCAGTGCACATCGTCGGCGCCCCTCTCGCCATGGCCGACGCGGCCTACCGAGACCGCGCCTGGGCCCGGTTCCGGGACATGACGGACCTCGACGCCGACAATGTCACCTTTGTCCACGGCAGCCTGTCGCACGTCGACTGCGCCGCCAAGACGGCCACGGTCCTGCCGCACGGCAGCCGCCACGCGCCCACCACCATCGAGTACGACTACTTTTGCGCCGCCACGGGGTACCGCCGCGTGTGGCCAGTGGTGCCGCAGGCGCTCACGTACGACGACTACCTGGTCGAGACGCAGGCGCACATTGACACGGCCGCCCGGGCGCAGCACGGCGTCCTGGTCGTCGGCGGCGGCGCCGTCGGCATCGAAATGGCCGCCGAGCTCAAGCTCGTTATGCCGCACCTCCGCGTCGTCCTCGCCCACTCGCGCGCCCAGCTGCTCTCCTCCGAGGGCCTGAGCGACGAGTGCAAGGACGTCTCGCTGCAGCTGCTCCAGGACGCCGGCGTCGAGGTGCTGCTCAACCACCGTCTGGAGAGCCACGAGCGCGTGCCGACCGAGGACGGGTCGGCCAAGTACCGCGCCGCGTTTACGAATGGAAACACCATTGATGTGAGCTTGGTCATTGTCGGCGTGTCGCAGAGCGTGCCCGCGACGGAGTACTTACCGGCGGCCGCCCGCGACGCCGAGGGCCGCGTCAAGATTCAGCCCAAGTACGCTGTCACACAATACGTCCTTTGAACCGGAACGAAAGTTGCTAACCTAGTCAATAGCTTGATGCTTCCCGCCGACGTACCCAACGCCGAGTACCACTACTGCGCAGGCGACGCGACAAAGTGGTCCGGCGTCAAGCGCTGCGGCGGCGCCATGCGCCAAGGCCACCTCGTGGCCATGAACATCCACCAGCACGCCCTCCAGAGCGCCGTCGAGCACACGCCGACGTATGGCGAGCTCGAGGAGCTTCCGCCCATGATCGTCATGGCGGTCGGCAAAAAGGCCGTCTGGTCCGGCCCGGAAGGCACCGGCTCGGGCGAGGACGTCATGAAGAAGTTCTTTGGGACGGATTTGTACCTTTCTGGTAAGCACCACAAAAAGCCTCGAAAAGAGCTTCTGGACTTAAACTAATACGGTATCTAGGTTCCCTGAGCTGGATTGGCGTCAAGATGCGCGAAGCGCCACAAGCGGCCATTTAAATGATAAATTATGCATAGAACAATAGACGAGAAATCATAGAGGCAAAGCCAATGACTGATGTTGCAATTTACATAAATATAGACTTATATCGTTCATATTTTGTTTTTGCTTCTGCAGCCCACTCGCTCCTAGTTTCTGAACAGTTGCCGGGTTTACAAAGTGTAGGGTAGCGCGTGTTGGCTATTGTGCTGGAAGCAAACTGTATTTATGAAGAAACCTGTCATATTTCAATGACTTGAAAATGATCTATATCGCTAGTAGTATCCCTTTACCTGGCCAGCAATTTGCAGGGCCAAAGCCCGCGAAAACTGGCGACACCACATGAAGCTCCCCGTCATATACCAGAACCCGTCGAGGCCCGTCGGCCGCCACCATCCGACCCTCTCCTGCTCAGCATCCAGATCGCCAAACCCAACCATCTTATCCGCAACGTCATCGCCCATCACGCGCCGCACATTTTCCACATTCTTCTCGAACCCCGTCGCCAGCACCACGACATCAGCCTCGATGCTCGTCCCGTCAGCCAGCACCACCGCCGTCTCCGTCATCCGGGCCACGCCCGCCTCGCAGCGGCGCACGCGGATGCGGCCGTCGGCGATCATGGCGCCGGCGCCCTGGTCGATGTAGTAGCAGCCGCCCTTGATGAGCTGGTGGTCGGCGAGGCCGTACCCGTCCTCGCCGGTGCGCAGCGCCATGCCGGCGCGCCGCAGACCGTCCAGCAGCGGCGCGTCGTCCAGCGCGGCCATGGCGCGCGTCAGGTCGACGCTCATGGCCCGCACCACGGCCACGGGCAGCGAGTTGCCCACCAGGTCCGCCTCCTCGGTGCTCAGCCCGGGCATGTTCCACAGCCCGAGCTGCAGCGTCTTCCACGTGTCCGTCGACAGCGCGAAGATGGCGTGTCGCTGGACCATGGTGACCTGCCGCGCGCCGTGGTCGACAAAGTCCTGGCACACGTCGTGCCCGCTGGTGCTGCAGCCGATGACGACCACGTTCTTCTCGGACAGCTCCGGGATCAGCCTGGCGGACGCGCGCTCGCTCGAGTGGTACATGGTGCCGGCAAACGTGTCCTGCCCGGGGAATTGCGGCGTGATGGGCGTGTCGCCGTAGACGCCGGTGGCGAGCACGACGTGCCGGGGCGAAAAAGTTTGCTCGCCGTGCGCGCCGTCAACGACGACGACGGAGTACTTGTCGCCGATGCGCTCCACGGACCGGACGGTGGCGCCGAGCAGAATGTCGAGCCCCATGAGCTGCGCGTAGTGCTCCAGGAAGTCGGCCGCCTGCTTGCCCGTCAGCCACTCGGGCCAGCTCTCCGGGTACTTCATAAACGGGTAGTGGTCGGTAAACGTGGGCGTGTTGAGCGTGACCGAGTCGTACCGCGCGCGCCAGGCGTCGCCGACGGCGGGATGCCGCTCGACCAGCCGGGCCCTGATGCCCATGTGCTTGAGCCGCGCTCCGAGCGACACGCCGGCTTGTCCTACACCTTGTATTAGCATCGGTCAAAAATGAGACGAGACATGGGGCCAGGTGTTACCGGCGCCGACAATCAGCACATCGATATCCTCGCTGGAATGGGTGCCGTTGGTTTGCGGCATCATCTGCGCCGCCCTGCTCAGCCGCCGCTGTGCTTCCAGGTCTTGCTGGTAACGCAGCTCCTCCAGCTCCGTGAAGACGGTCCAGGCCTTCCACTGCGACGCGGCGTCATTCTCCAGCCGGACATACCCGCGACACTGGCCGTGTTGCGTGCAAAAGGTGAATGCGGACTGCACCCACGCCTGGCCGGCCCATTCGACGAGCGCGGGCTTCAAGCCGCCCGACTCGCAGAGTTTCAGGTCGGTAATGGTGACCTTTTTTGCGTCGAGGTAGGAGCCGATCTTGTCCTGGCCCTGCTTGGTGGTAAAGTCCCAGTCGAGGGCGAGGATGTCTCGCCACCACGAGTCCTGGTTGAAGAGCTTGCCGAGTTTGTTGAGACTGCCGCCATCCAAGCATGCCTGTAGACCAACAAGCCACTGGCTGACAATTGCAGTTGCGTCAACATCTTCCTTTGCTACATGGAGCTTAAGTTCTGGCAGGGTGGGTAGGATTGTTCCATCCATTGCGGCGTTTCGAAGAGATTAAGCTTGACTTGCTGGATGAGTAATGGGGCGTCTGCAACTGCCTCAGGGTGATACAAGGCTCACCACGACTGCTGGTCAAGGGCCGGCAAGTAGATATGGCATCCTGTTGGATCAGGCTGTCGCTCCCCTGCCTTGTCGTACCAGCCGGGCATCGGATTACGACGGTGTAAGCGAGATGCATTTTCTTGTTTCCACTGCTGCAACCAGCTTTCCAAATTAGGGCCTGTCAGGCGCGTGAATTTGCGTGCACATTGCCAAGGCTCTTGGGTACAATCCTTGCTACATACAGGAATCCTTGGATGATTATCATGAGGGGCGTGTGGGTATAAGCCAGAGGAGATGGGTAGCCGCGGATCCATATGGGTGGCCATGGCACAGGCGATCGGCGCCGGACACGGATTATACTGCTTGGTTTGCGGTCAAAGTGGAAGAGATCTGCTGGTCAGACGTTTTCTTGTTGTCAGGATGGAACTAGGAACATACCATTGTACAGTGACCATAGGTGACCTAGGTACCAAATCGTGCCAACATCCTCGATGACGAGCAAGAACAACAGATAGTCCACCAGGATTACACCATCACGTCATATCAAACTAGAAAGGATCTGCTAGTCAAAACTTTTATTTCTATCGGAATCTATCAGAATCTATGAATAGACTATCGTGAAGTGACTCTCGTCAAGTGACTACAGCTAGACCATCTCCCCATCTTAACCGCGCCAGACGGCCTCAATGACGACAAAGAACGACAGCGGGTTCGCCTCGAGCCGCACCAGGTCAAAGCGCTCATCCGTCGCCTTGAAGATGGCGCGCCACGCCTCCGCCGGCCTCTCGGCGGCGTTAAACAGCGCCATCATGCGCAGGTCCGTCGCCGTGCCCATCTGCTGGATCGAGCGCGGCACGGGCGGGCCGCCCTCCTCGGCCTCTTGCTTGCCGACAAAGTCGAGGAAGAAGACGCGCGAGCCGGGCCGCATGGCCGGCACGAGCCCGCGCAGGATCTGCACGCACTCCTCGTCGGGCCAGTCGTGGAGGATGAGCTTGATGAGGAAGATGTCGGGCTGCACCGGCTGCGGCTGGAAAAAGTCGTGGGGGATGAACTTGACGCGGTCTTTGAGCGCGGCCGGCTGGTGCTTGTTGAAGACGGACTCGGCCTCGGGCAGGTCCTCTACGGTAATGGTGAGGTCGGGGAACTTTTCGGCCAGGAAAAAGGCATCGTGCCCTCCGGAGCCGCCCATCTAGATGAGTGCCCTTGTCAGCGCAGAACACCAGATACGAGACGGCAAAAAAAGGCCACTTACATCAACAATTGTCGCTTTACCAAGGGCCTTCCAGTCAAACGAGCTTTCTAGCACCGACTCGAGTCTGAAAATCTCCTTGAGGTAGCGCATAAACTCGACAAAGTTTCTCTGCCGCCAGCCCTTGCGGTCGCCCTCGCCGTCATTCTCGATGTACTCCCACGACGTCTTGTAATTCCCAATCGTCGCACCTTTTTGGTGCAGCGCAAACGCCGTCTTGGTCATGTCCCGGGTCAGCGCGGGCTGGCCGCGCGCGTGCAGCTCCAGCGCCTTGTTCATGGCCAGCATCGGGGCGCCGGCGTCGTCGAGGACGGTGGACACGAGCGCGCGCAGGCCCGAGGACTGGACCAGGGCGGCGGACCGGCTCGAGTGCTTGACGCGGCCGGTGACCTTGTGGTCGCCGTCGGGGGCGAAGAGACGGAGCGTCATGCCGTGCTCGATGACGCGCTGGACGACCTCGTCGGGCAGGTTGGCGTGGCTGGCAATCTCGGCAAACGAGGCGGATCCGTCGAGCGGGACGGCCGACCAAAAGTCAAAGTGGTTCATGAGGTTGAGGGCCATGATGTCGGGAACGGCCTGTGAAGGGAGTTAGTTGGGGCGTATGGGGGAGCTGCGGGTGAGGGTTTGCGGCTCACGGTGTGCACATAGTTGAAGATGCTCTCGCTGGGCCCTTGGACGAGGTACCAGATGTCGTTGATCTTGTCGAGCAGCTCCTGGCGACGAAGAAACATTTCGCCCGTCAAGCCTTCATAGCTGGTCGCGCTCTTGGGCGTGAAATCCGGTTCCGCAATTTTGGCATCAGCGAGACTCTTGGTGAAGCTGCTCGCGAGCTCCGCGATCTGCGCCGCGAGCCCGTTGATGCTGTCGTTGGTACTCATTGTAACGTTTTTATGTTATTTTGCTGGTTTCTACAGTTTGTAGAAGCAACAAGTCAGGAGGGGATTTGGCACAAAGCTTAAAATAGCAGGGTCGTTTTCTTGTTCCTCTCTAGCCCGGTTGACGTAGGGAACCGGCGGGGGTTTTACCCATCACCAGAGTCACTCTGCTGCGCGGGGCAATTGGGAAAATGACGAATGGCATCGATCAACGGCCGGTCCCTGGGGGGCTGATTCCCGCCGCGCCTCCCGCTGTGGCAGAGGCTGAAGGGTGGCTTTGTGTGTAATGCCGGCAATCTTGAGGTGGGACCTGGACCACTTGGTGGCAAGCTGGTGAGGCCGCAAGCGAGGGGAGTGAATCCTGTCGGAAATAGGCATCCTGAGCCGAGCAAGCCTTTTTGCCGTGCCGGCATCGACACTGTTTGGGCTAGTTATTCAAAGGTTGTGCGTTCTTGGCAGGCTTACGAGGGGGCTCGTGGACCTGCTTCGAGTAGAAATGGGCTAACTAGTCAACTAGTTGTCTGGGCCTCGGACCTGATGCTGCCCCTCCAGGAGTGTAGAAATATCTCATGCAATCCCTGCCGCCATCTCCACGCAGCCATCTTATCAATCAGATTATTGCACCATGTATATCCAAGGCTAGGCCGTTTCCGCTTTCCACGCCAGCTAGCTGCGCTGTCCCACAGGACCCAATAAGATGACTTCGCATCGTCTCTTGACCAACAAAATGAGCGCATTACCCTCAATTTAAGCTGCGGCTGGCTTTTGTAGTAGCGGGGCGAAAGGAGTTTTTTCCGTCATCTTCACTCCTGTTGACCTAGAACCAACTTATACTGTCGGTGGATTCAGCTGCACATATAGCCCAACTCCATTATGCCAACTGCCGCAAAGCTTGGTGCCGATCTATATGATACTTAGGGCGAGCGAGATAGAGCACCAGCACTTGTGTGGGTGCCTACCACTTTTGCTGGCACACATGGTAAAGGTGATACGATCGACCTTTCTCAAATCCACCCTACTCTACTGCACATGCTCCTTCTCCTCCGCCTTGGGGATTCGGACCATGGTCGCAGCAATCAAGGCTGCGACAAGCGACAGGGCCAGCCCAAACCACCAGATGGCACGCATGCCCTGCAGGCCAATCTCTCCCGACGGCAGCTGGTCAACTTTGATTCCGATCGAGTTGGAGACTGACGTCATGATGGCTAGTGTCAAGTTTTGCACCGTCACGAGCAAACTGCCTGCTGCGCCTTGGTATGATCGTGGGACGCTCGAGGTGATGAAGATGGTTGCCGCCGCAAAGCTCAAGTCTGGGCCGAGAGATGCCAAAGCTACGGCGGGCATGGAAAGCGCCCAATAAGAGGTGCTTGGCGTTTGGGGCAGGAAGAAGACGTTGCCTATCCCAAAAAAGACCATGCTCGTCGCCAAAATCCAGTGCCCAGGAACGACGTGGAGTGTTCTGGATACCAGCCAGACGGCGGCAACTCCAGCCAGGGCATTGGGAAGCAGATAGAGTGGCACAGTAAGTGGCGAGGCTCCTTGGTACCTGATCCAGAACTGAATGGCATAAAATTGCCAGGCGCCAGCTGCAAAAAAAGGAAAAAAAACACGTGTTAGTGCCATGATGGCAAGGCGGGATGGGATGATGATTGCTTAACCTACCGTAGCCACCGAATCCGAATACGTAAGCTAACAAGACGGGAACGAAGCCCGGGATTTTCCACACGCCGTGAGGTACAAGCGGTCGCTTCACATGGGGGGAAGAAAAGTAAAACGCAACCAGCATGAGAACGCCTACAATCACCAGCGAATAGGTGTACGGGTTCCATTCCACCGAGGAGCCCTGGGTCAGCCCAAACAAGATCAACCCGCTGCCGAGCGATGCCAGGGTCGCGCCGACAAAGTCGAAATGCTTCATCGACGGCACATCCGCCGAGTTACCCTCCCTGGCCGGGACCAGCGGTGGGATCGTAAAGTAGGCCGCCAAGGCGCAGGCGCAGAGGAACAGCGACGTGCTGCCAAAGATCCACGGCAGATGAGCGCTGAGCGCGCCACATTGCATGGCGCCGATCCAGAACCCAAACGGCGCGCCGGCCGCCATCATGGAAAAGACGCGCGTCTTGCGCATCCCGGGATTGTACACCCGCCCCAAGATGCTCATCGACGCCGACACCAGCACGCCCACGGCCAGGCCCTGCATCGCGCGGGAGACGAAGAAGACGACCTTGAGCTGCGGGGAGATGACCAGGGCGGATACCGCGTTCCAGACGGCCTCCCAGAGAAAGGCAGACACCATGAGCGGCTTGGGCGGCGCCAGGTCGGCCAGAGGGCCAAACACAATGACGGACAGACCGCTCGCCAGGCTCGAGGAGCCAACCAGCCACGGCAGCTGGGACGGCTGCAAGTCCAGCGCCTTTTGAAAGACGAACTGGTTCACGGTCATGTGGCCTAGAGTGAGGGAGAAGATGAGCTGGCCGGCGGTGCAGACGAGGACGAAGACCACCTCGGCCATCAGGTTGGGCAGTTCGGGCGGCACGCCCTGAGGCAGAAGACGCGCCGGGCTGCCTCGCTCCTCAGACAGGCCGCTCGCATCATCGCGAGGGCCAGTATCGGCAGTGTCGACCTGCCTGCTCCGGACACGGCCAAGTTCAATCAGTACGCTCGGAGACGCGGTGTCCGCAACGGCCCGGCTGTTGAGCGTCACCACCGACCGCGTCTTGGCGAGGCTCAAGGTCTCGGCGTGGGCGGTGGAGGGCTCGGCGAGGTATTCAGTCTGCGTTTGCGTTGCCATGATGAATAAACGCAGGTGTTTCGCCACTCACAGAATGGAGGTAAGTAATTAAATTGTGCAAAGTTTATGCCGACATCGGATTGTACCACTTATACACGCAGTAACTGGTGCCACCTTTCTGACCAATGGCTAATATACACTGTGCCGATGTACGTAGTTGGCGGTGAAACATGTCGCCGAATCTGCGGTGTATAAATGTGTTTTGAAAGGGGAATGAGAATTAGACCAGATCTTTTCAACAATTTCACATTGACCATGCTACGAATAGGTTGTGTTGAATATATGAGATCGTGTACTACACCACCGCCGTTTGACACTGAGATCGCGCTAAGTCAGTAGAAGTCAGTAAATTATAACTTGCCAGCTTCACCCGCACTGACTGATTGAGCGGCGCAACCGCCTTTGTCTGCTGTTCTTCTCCACCCCCTTCTTACAATGACTGACGGAAACACGACGCTGTCCACCGCGTTGACGCGCAGTTAACTGAGCAGACAGTACCGCGACGCGGTGCTCGTTTGCACTATCCGCGCGCTCAGATTCGCCGGAATTGGCCGCGCCAATTCCGCCCACCATCTTCCCATCCCATTACCCACCACGACAGCGTCTCCTCACAAAATCATGGAGGATGAAGCGGAAGCGACGCCGGCACAGGGTGCGATCGAGGTCGTCGCTGCTACCAACGGCGAGGCACATGCTGAAGCAGCGGACAAGGCAAACGCCCCGTTGGAGGCCACCACGCAAGACGCAGACACCGCAAACGCGGCCTTGGCGTCGCGTCCCCGACGGACCCTGCGAAGCACAGGACGCGTCGCGGAAGAAAAGATTGTCAAGAGGGCTGTGAGGATCATCACCAAGCGCACGCAGCGCAAGTGGGACGCAGAACGGCTCCTCACAGATCCCAAGTCGCCACTAGCCAAGGCTAACCTACGAGTACGTTCTCATCTCTCCATCTGCCATTGTTCAAAATACCTCCCAGAAATTGACCAAAAAAAAAACAGACAATACTTTCCAATCCTATGGCGTGGAGTAGCCTTGACGCCGCCGACCACGCCGAGATTCTCGCCCTCTTTCCAGACCCGCGCCATATTCTGGCCGCTAGCGAGGACGGCGACACGCCGCGGCGGCCCGACATGGCGTCTCTACGCAACGACGACAGCTTCCGGTACGACTGCGCCGCGTACACGGAGAGCTTGGCGCAGGGGCGGCACGACCCGGACTGGCTGGCGCAGGCGTGGGCGGCGCACGAGAGGCGCCGCGCAGGCGACTTTGACGATTTTTTGCGCGCCAAGTTTGAGAGCGACTGGGACGTGACGCTGCCGCCGGAAGGGGGGGAGAGTGTGGACGGAATGCAGCGGGAAGGGGGCAAGGAGGATGCGGAAGTGGTGGTTGGTGATACTGAAACGGGCGCAAACGGCTTGAAGGAGGAGGAACATGTAACAGCGTGAGTCGCATGTTATTGTCCACCAGTTGCCCTTTATTCTGTCTGCTCAGTGTCTAGGGTTATCATTACGGCAAGTGATGCATCGGCTCTTAACGCGGGCACATAGCTCACTACCATATGCTTACATTTTGTAACGACAGACTATGTATTGAAGACCGTGTAACTCTTCATTGCCTGTAATTATAGAACTCTTTCATTTCGTGGCGCTGACGAAATGCCATTGTAAAGGTTGGTGTAGACAGCGACACTGGTCAATTTCTCCACACCAGACTTGGGTGCTGCAAACTTGTTCCTGGGCTTGACCATCAACAAACAACCTTGGCACATCACCGCTACACACAACCAAGTCGATCTTGCTGACTTTAGCCGGTAAAATCTCTCGGTGGTACGGCCATCCATATGATTTTATAAGATAATGGCTACGGCAAACCCCACACATACGCGGTCGCACAGTTTGCTGTTGCTGCAGAAGCTGCTTAATCTGAGAGATGGCGCCAGCCCTCTCACGCTGCTCCTGGACAACCTCGAGCAACGAGCTACACCAGTCGTCTCGGAAATCATCACAAGAGCAAAGGTATTTATTTCTCTACCTTGTATAAGCACAGTCATCACGGCATGGCTAACCAGATTTTATAGCTGTCAAAGACCAAGGTCATCTTCCTCTCCTTCGCCACCATCACAAAGCCGCGTGGCGTAGATGTCATGGTAAAGGCCACTGGGAAAGATCCCAATGCCATCAGAAAAGAAATCTTGTCTCATTACCCACCCACGGATACAACACCCGCCGCCGCGCGCGACCGCAGCATCTCACGTACGCTCACCCCCCCTCGCCAGCCCCCCAGCTCCCACTAACAATGCGCCCATTCCCAAAGGCGCCGTCGTCATCATTGACTCCCTCAACACGCTCTGCTCCGCCATCCCGCAATCCCTCGCGGGCTTCCTCTCCGGCCTCCTCACGCCCGCTGCCTCCATCGTCGCCGTGTACCACCTCGACGCGCCGCTGCTCCTGGCCCGGACGCACAGCGAGTACGAGCCGCAGCCGCTGACGCTCCTCTGCCACCTGGCCACGGCCATTCTGCGGCTGTCGAGCCTGCCGCAGGAGGTGGCGCGCCAGCGCGCGCGCGACAAGGCGCTCGTGGAGCCGGAATGGGGCCTCGACGAGGGGCGCGAGGGCGTGCTCATCGGGCTGGCCTCCAAGGCGGCGACGGCGGCCGAGGCCGAGGAGAGGCGCGGTGTGGTTGTTGCCATGGAGCTGCGGAGGAGGAGCGGGCGTACGGTCACGGAGACGTTTGTGCTGGTGCGGCCGGAGAGCGCGGCCGGAGGAGGCGGCACGGGGCGGTTGCTGCTGCGCAGTGATCACCCGGTGTTTGCGAAGCCGGGGGCGGCAGAGGAGCAGGAGGAGGAGGGACCGGAGAGTACGTTTGATATGGGCTTGACGGAGAAGCAGAGAAAGGACCGTGAGGGCATTGTGCTGCCGTACTTTGATGCGCAGACGGAGGTGGGCGGTGGTGACGGAGGTAGGATTTTGTACGAGATGGGTCGGGAGGATGATTTCGATGAGGAAGAGGACGAGATTTAGTCCATAGTAATAGGACATTTAAAAAAAAAAGATGAACGATTATTGAGCGTCGATGTGTAGCTGACAGTTCATTTACATGTTGGAGGAAGCTCAACGACGGATTTTCAACAAGGTATGGGCAAACTATTATTGCAAAGAGCAAGTCGATAAAATTCGTGGAGCAATTTTTTCTCCCTTTTCTGGCACAGTATTGCCTTAGAAATATATATGCCATCATTGTCATTGTTGAGCAGCTGTCACCGGCCGGTACAGGCGTTTCGGCGGGGCGGCGCCGGGGACCCAAATTGGCCCCTTGCCGATCTCTGCCAACTTCTCCCCTGTAGCAGCGACCTCGAAGCCTTTCCATCAACCCGACAAGCATCTCCCGACAACGTCATAGCAGCATTGAACAGCTGTACGCCCTGAAAGAAACATACTGCCTGTCGCACATCTAGTGTCATTGCCACTCTTGGTCTAGAGCTGCCTGCCTGGAACGGGTGCTAGGTGTCACGCGCCGTTGCCTTTGGACACGTTGTAGAAAGGCGGGAACCACCATCGCCATCTCCAACCGTCTCGTCCTTGTTTTCAAAGCTACAGCTCCAAAACCGCAATCATGATTCAGTCAACACAAATATCACGGCTTGATGGTAGGCTCCCCATATTCTGACTATTAGCAGTCTCTCTTGACGCGCCGAAATTTTGTTCCCGGCTAACTGTTGGCAGGCCTCATGCTCTGCGCCTCGGTCGACGACGAACAGGTTCGCCCCCCCCCCCTCCTTTCCACCCCCGACTACAAACCCTCTAACCCAATCCCCCCGCGTCACAGTCCGAGTCCGCGCTCGCCGAAGTCAAGAACCAAGTCCGCCAAATCATGCGCAAGCTGACCCGGACCGCGGAGCCGCAAGCGTCGATCGAGTCGGGCGCCTACACGCTGCACTACCTCGTCGACGGCGACGTCGTCTTCCTGTGCATCTGCGCGCGCTCGTACCCGCGCAAGCTCGCCTTCACGTACCTCGCGGACCTCGCGCGCGAGTTCCACACGACGCACCCGCCCGCGCAGCTGCACAACCCGGCGCTGCGGCCGTACGCGTTCATGGACTTTGACACGTTCATCGCCAAGACGCGCACCACGTACGCCGACACGCGCGCCACGCAAAACCTCGACAAGCTGAATGACGAGCTGCGCGACGTCACAAAGGTCATGACCAAGAATATCGAGGACTTGCTGTACCGCGGCGATAATCTGGAGAAAATGGGCGAGATGAGTAGCAGGCTCCGGGATGACAGCAAAAAGTACCGGAGAGCGGCGGTGCGCATCAACTGGGAGCTGCTGCTGAAGCAGTACGGGCCGTTTGCGGTGCTCGGGTTCATCGTCTTGTTCTTCATCTACTGGCGCTTCTTTTAACGGCGCTGGACAGATGGAATGAGCTACATGGCGGTGGTATAGTGTGCAGTATGTTTAATAGCGAATGCAATTGGTCGTTTGAATGCAGGTCTGGGTATAATACAAAACTAGAGATGGAAACGAAGGGGGCGGGGGCAGAAGTAAAAATGCAAATACGAATAACGCAAAAGGTTATCCTTTTCATGCTTCTATGTACAATATCGGAAATGCTCCAAGTTTGACAAGAGACTACCCCGGATTCCGACTGCAAGAAACTGCCACGCTTGCAATTATGTCCGTTCAAATCAAAAGTGCCAAATGTCCGTAAAACGCCATCCCTTGTCCCCGTGCGATGCTAGCAAAAGAATGCAGTTGCAGATGTAATAATGGTATCGTAGAATTGTTTCGTGTGAGCTGCGACGATCTTGCCGTCCTCGATTATGCAGCTGGGGTATCGTGAGACTGTCCGTGTTGGCGGGTTTTACATGACGACGCATTTGTCCGTCGACGGCAGCGATACGGGCAGTTTGGTAGGGAGTGCGGCCGCCGGCGCATGCTGCCATTCGAGATGCTCCTGCAGCGCAGCCAGGTCGTCGAAGCGGTTCTCCGGCCGCCACACCTCGTCCTCGTCCTCGATATCCTGCGGCTCGACCGCGGCGTCCTCGCACAGCGGACACAGCAGACGCGCCATCCAGTCGCCGCGGACCGGCGCCATGTGGCTGGCCACCGCGAGCGGGGGGTACACGACCTGCTTGGGCTCGCCGGCGGAGCGCGAGACGCCCGTGGCCTGCCACTCGCCGAGCAGCGCCGCGCCGTACGCGTCATGCAGGGGCATCGTCGCCGTGGGCAGCAGCGAGCCGCCCGCATCCGCACCCGCACCCGCCTCGACGCCTGTCCTCGCCGTCGGCACGCGCTCCACGTCCTCCCACACCACGTGGCCGTCGCAAAAGTCGCACACAAACGCGACGTCGACGTCGCCGAGGCGCTCGAAGCCGCCGACGGCGTAGCACTCGCGCACCTCGTCGAGCTGGCGCCGCTGGCAGTCGTGGTCGCTGGCGCCGGCACCGGCGCGCCGCGCCGCGACCCAGGCGCGCTGCTTCCGGTGCAGCAGGAACGCGCCCAGGCACCGCTGGGTGGTCTCCTTGGCCGAGTGGAAGACGCGCTGGGCCGCGCGGCGCTGGGCGCGGTGCAGCTGCCGCTGGAGGGCCTTTGTGTCACGCACCCAGACGGCGTTGACGGGACCGCCGGAGCGGCTCCATGCGCGCATGTTTTGTATGTGCATGTAAAACTGGCCGCGGAGCGTGCGGAGCTCTTCGAGGGATGTGACTGGGGGCGAGAACAAAAAATTGTTAGTCTTTTTGGTCAGAAAAAAAGCGTTTTGTCTTCTCGGGTCCCCCCCCCCCCTCAGCTTACAGGTTCGGTCGTGCTCGTAGTGGGATTGGCTCTTGAGCAGCGGAGAGAGCTCCTGGAAATCGGCCTTGGCGTCGTTGAGGGCGCGCTCCATGGCCCGCTGCAGCTCATACTCGTCGGGGCCCCAGTGCCGCTTGTCGGCGAGGCCCAGGATGCGCAGGCCGTCGACGAGCAGGTTGGCAATGTCGGCCAGCAGCGAGCCCACCGAGTCGAAGCCGCCCATGGCGTTTCGAGCGAGCGGGCGGGAGGGCCGCGGCAAGGGAGGCGGGCGGGCTGTGTTGCGCGGCTCTTTGTCGGGAGATGGGAGTACTGCTCTTGGCTAGTGGGAAGGGTAAAGGTTTGTTCGTGTCGAAGCGGGTGATGGGGGGGTTTTGTCGTGGCGAGGTGTCTGGTCGGTAACTAGGTAGTTAGGTTGCGGGTGACGAAACCGTGGCCAAAGTCGGACGGTGCAGAAAGACGAGGGAGGGGTGACGGCGGGCGGGCGGCGGCCTCTTTTTCAGCGTGGGCGGGCTGCAGGATGCAGGAGGGTAGAGGGATGCATCTGTGAATATGCAAAGACGGGATGGGACGGGACGTTGAATAGAGTATGATAGCGGGAAACTAGCAAGGCGAACGGTGCTTGAAACGACAAAGGGCCAAGGCGTGATTGTCAACTAGTCGGGACTTGTTGGAGGATCTGGTAGATTTATTAAGCAACGTTGAAGCTGGATGTTAGCGTGCTGTGGCTGGACGGGGCACTTGGGATGGTTTGCGGTATCGGCTGTTGCCCTGAGATAGGAATCAATCGTCTCTTTTAACGTCCGTCTTTTCTTGCGAGATATTTTTAAACATCTCCGTCCTGAACAACAGCTGATCGTGAAACGCACATCCAAGGGGCCGGAAACACCTCTTCCCGAGTCCGAGTTCCTCGTGGTTCATGTGTACCGCCACAGCACCTACAGCTCCACCAGACACGGGAACGGCCCTTTCCCGCGCCATGAATAGTTCACAAAGCTTCAACCGAGCCGAAGCAATGATTATCGTCATCTTCAGAACCTACCTTTAAGTTTGAAATGCCCTTTTAGTCGTCAATTTCTTACTCACCACTTGAAGTCGTCGTCGTCTGGCTCTTCCTCTTCCAGTGTTGATAACCCCAGCATCGAGGTCGGGAGCTCTCCACAATCTTGATATGGGGTAATCTTTCACGAATCTGCCTTGAATTCAATCACATTCAATTAGAGAATGATTGATTGCGGAAATATTTGGTCAACCATTGCTTCAACTCGAATAGTTCATAGCATTCCATGGTCACGGCGGCGTCGATTTAACAAGCTCGAGATGCAACCCTCTCGTCTCCGCGAAGTACCAGGTTTCAACGCTTAGACGTAGGGCTGTTTCGATTTCTTATTCTGCGGGTATTATTTGCTACATTTCAGCAAAGGTGCCGCAGGTCAAGCTGGGTGGCCGCAAGTCACTCTCCCTGGCCGGGGTCTGAGACAGGAGGGGTCAAGTCTGAGGCCGTGACAGGGATCCTACAACATTCCACCAAAGATGACTGACGGTCGGCTCGCGGCCTCGTTAGGAAACATCAGGTTCAAAAGTAACTACGTTATCTAAGCGGAACATGCCACCACTAACACGACGCTGTTGTTGAGTGCATTGCGTTGCATTTGATCTATCGTCGTATCTATAAACCCATGGTATCTATAAACCCATCGCAACTCATACACCTGCTACCCCGCCATGCAAGCTACTCTCACACGCCTCACTTTCTCTTGGTCGCAGCGCCGGTATCAGCACCGCTGGCCTTGACCTTGGCCCTCTCCTCCAGAATCTCGCTGACAGCCTGTTTCTTGGCCTCCACGGTGACCTTGTCCTTCTTCGCCTCCTGCTCTGCCAGCTTGGGCGGCTCATCGTCGTCACCGCCCTGGCCAAACTCATTGACACGCGAATAGTCCGTCTTGTAAGCCCACTTCTGGTACAGGTAGATGAAGAAGATGATGTCGTCGCGGAACGTTGCGAGGCGATGCAGGAGGGGCATCTTGATGGTAAAGGCGAAGAGATCGTCAATGAAGGTGTTGAGAAACTTGTACATCATGGCCTTGCCAGGCAAGTGGGCGACGCTCTTCAGACGGTAGTTGATGTACAGCGAGGGCACCATCATGAGGAATCCGTACGTGTAGACAGAGCCGACGAGCGTGGTGATGATGAACGAGTACCACGACTTGTGACTTTCGTACATGAGCGAGTAGATGCCATAGGCGATGAGCAGAGGCACGGCCACAATGTACATGTACTTGAAGGCAATCTGGTCGTATTCCTTGGTCTTCTCTTCCGTGTCGGTAAGCTTGTGCTTGTCCTCAAACACGAACCAGTAAGGAACCCAGGATCCGGGCGGTGTAGCGCGCCATCGGACGTCAACGACGGTAGTGATCTTCCAAAATTCAATGACGATACCGACGACTTGTGAGCCGAGAATCATCCAGCTAGTGTTTTGCGAGTTGTCGAGGAGGTACAAGAAAATAATTGCCTGCATAAAGACGTTGGCCAGGATGGAGCGCACAGAAATGCCGACATTGTCCTTCTTCTTGCGGTAATGCGCAATGTCAGAGCCAAATGCCAGCGTCTCGAGAATAACGTGCGCAACGGTGACGATGGCGGTGATGGCAAGCAGGATGGGGTTGTTGTCGATGAGGATTTCTTTGACCATCTCAATCTCGGAGCCATCGCCTGTGCCGGGCACGGGATTGCCAAAGGCAGCCTGGCGTGCATTTTCCTTGGCATTCATCTCCATGTTGGCCATGATCTGAAACTGCCAGGCAGCCATATTGCTGAGATCGATGCGAATGGGAAGCTCCTTGACTGTGTCGTTGAGCGCAACCATGTCCTTGGTTAGCTGCCAAAACGTATTGACAAACATGAGCGGGTAGTACCAGCCGTTCTGGCCTGTGCCATCGCGGGCACCGCTTCGCTCGAGATGAATAAAATGCTTCATAGGAGGGGGCATGGAGGCAAGTTCCTTGACGCCGACGCCCGGGATAAACGAAAGACTGGCATTTGGGTGGTAATGGTTCGTGATGATGGGCGTCTTGGGTTCGGGCACTTCGGGCTCGGCCTCCTCGTTGTCGTTGCGCGCGTCGAGCAGGTTTCTCTTCTTGGCCACCTTTTTCTTGGGAAGGTACTGCGTTAGCGGATAGGCCATGTGGTAGGCGGTATCGCTGTTCCAGGTCGGGTCGCGGGGATCGAGGGTGCTGCCGGCGAGGCCAATGAAGAAGTGGCCCCAAAGGGTGCCGTTGTGCTGCACCTCGGCGGGCACCGCAAACTTGCCATCGAAGTGGCGCTTGTCGGAGCTGTTGCCCATGTGGAAGCGCTTCTCGTTGAGCACGACATACTCGGCAGGCGTCTGGTCGATCGGGGCCGGCAGGGACGAGGGCGAGACGGTTACGATAATGTCGACGTGGCTGTCCTGGGGCCAGATGGGTGCGACCAGCTTGGGCAAAATGGCGCGCACGGCGCCCTCGTCGAGCTCCTTGGGGCGCAGCTGAAAGGCCGGAATGTCGCCCGTGTTGGAGGTGACGCGGATCTGTTTGCCCGTAGTGGGATCGTCGACGGTGACACCGCGCTGGTCCTTTTGGGTATACCAACTCAGGCCGGCATTGACGGCGAGGTAGAAACCAGCGCCGAGAAGCAGCCGTTGAAAGTTGAAGCCGCTCTAGATAAACAAAGCGTTAGTGCATGTGCCTTCGTAGAAGTTCGAGGCCGGCGGATTCTTACACCTTGCTGGGGCTGCTGGCCAGCGCCCTGCTGGGGAGGGAGCACGGCCGCGACACCTTGGGCAGGCATTGCGTCGCTGTGATGGGACGATTCGACAGTGTCGATTCGATTCCGATATGTCAATGCCAAACAATGACGGTACTCGTGCGAGAGCGAGCAAAAAAGGTTGGCTGGAGATGGGACGGGCCAGATATGCGCGGCACAAAAGCAAAGGGGGCGAAAAAGGGTCCTCGTGGGTGGCGTTGGCGTTGGCCGTTGGCGATTGGCGTTTGGCCCACTGGAGGCGAGGAAGTACTACCCACGTGGACCATCGCAGTTGCACTCTGTGAATGCAGATCTTGAACAGCGAGTTGTGGTATCTAATAAATCATGCTTGAATTAACATTTCTCTTATCATTCTGGAAGGCGCAAATTTCAACTCTTCCTTATTCCGAAAACGTCAGTTGATCCTAGTTAGCAGGTGTCAATGCCTCGATGGTTACGCAACTTGCACAGATGGCCCATCAACCCTTTTCAAAGCGCTTTGGGAGTTAGAAATTCATATGGGCTCATTGGGTGCGAACGCCGAGAAGCGAGTATGCGTGGACGATGCAGTTGCCGCGCCTTTCTAGACTCTCCATCCGTAGAAGAACATGATCTGTACGGGCATGTTGGGAATCAATCTTTCACTGCTATCACGATCCATCACGGGGAGAAGCTTCGTACGCTCAAGCACCACCTCTATTGGGGAGGTACAGAAGATGTGTTTGCTCTTCCAAGTGCGAACGTTGTTGAACTCGTGCGTCGATGCGTTTGGTGGAAGAGCTCACGTGCAGAAGGCTAGGACAGAGGAAACGGCATGATACCGCTTGCTAGGCACCTTGACATATCTAAAGCGCCTGGTATTATTTCCCGGCTGCCGCTCACAATCGTGGGATGATGGTGGGAAAGGACACGAATAGGACAAATCGACCTCGTCCCCGCTAACGATTTACAAGCTACAGAACTACTACATAAACACGACTTATTGAGTTTGACCTAGCCGTGTCTATTTTTTTATCTTGTTTAATAGTGCGCCAATACTGCACTTGCGCGTGTTGGTGCTGTGGCCGTGTGGGTTCGGCAAACAAAACAGTCTCGTCGAAACTTGGCTAAGGTGTATCAGAAGGAAGTGGAGGGTTCGGAGAGAAGTTGTGGAGATTATTACGGTTAATGATATTGAAGTGAAGACACGGGTAACTCTCGGCGATTTGATGATAATGTCAAGGTGAAATGAAGATTGGGTATCTATGCAAACAAGCGTGGACGCGATCTGGCCGCCGCGGTCTGAACCATGGTTGTATAACTGGACGAGCATGCCTCTCAAACAGAGCCCTGAGGCGGAAACACTGGGGCGACTGAGACCTCGGAGACGGAAAATGAAGGGAATTCGTTCCCTCGCAGGAAATTAAACGATTGGCATACCAATGCCTCTCGAGGACAAACGTGCTAACCTTGGTGCCATGTGCCGTGTTGTCGATTCGGGATGCGACGAGCGCGTGGTCGACAGGCAAGTTTCGACCACACTCGAGTGATAACAAACGTAATAGAGTTATAGAATAAGCAATAGTTTTTGATGAAAAGCAACGTCAATCGTGTTTTGTCTCTTCTGGAGTGCTGTGTGTTGCTGTGTGCGGTCGTCAGCAGTCGTGTCTTGGCAGCCATGTGGTCATGATATTTGCAAGTGAAACAAGGCATTGCATTGGCCATTGAGGTTGTGTGGCTTGCAGAAAGATTCAATGTTGTGAAGCCACGGGACGATGAGCAAAAAAAGAAGCATGCACTTTGCCTTGTCCGGTTCTTTAATCCTGTGCCCCCAATTCGCTCGCCACCACGGCAGCCACGCACCCCCAGTCGTTGCAGCCGGTTGCAACCTCGGGCGTCCGTGGTCAGAGAAGGGGCGGGCGAACTTGTCGTTGTGTTGTTGCAAAGGGAACAAAAAAAAACGTCTTTTTGTCACGAGTGCCAAGCGAATGCCGCAGGAGCGCTGCCTATTATGTCGACCTACATGTCGGGCCCCACGGCCAAGACTCATAAGCCAGGCCTGATATTCATGATTTGTAGCTCTTTATTGGAAAACCTGTGCAGGCTGAATGTCAGCAAACATGTAATAATACCAGACTTCTTAATTAGTTATGACAGTGCAGCATGGCAACATTGGAAAGAGCAGAGGTTGAGCGGGTTTTTGGGGGATTTTTTGTCTGTACATGCCGACTCAACCCCGTTGGGCTGTGCAGCTGAGATGCCCCCCTCCGTGGGGGGGGTCAAGGGTCTCACGGAGTTCACGGATGGTTGAACCAAAAAGTTGACAACCTGTGATGCGGGGAGTTAGTTGACTCGGTTAATTAGCTCCGACGCGCTGTGACAGGGAACCTGTCAATGGGGAAACACAAGCAAGTTGGACAGACTAGTTATTGGCAAGCAACCAGAAAGACCAAGCGGGGGAAAAAGAGAAGAACGTGAAAACAGAAAAAAAAAAAAGGACCAAAAAGAAACTGTCCAGCCAGAAGCGATCCCGGCACGGCGTGTTCCGGCCGTTCGCCGAAAAGGACGGAGTCACTGCACGTCATGCCCATATGGTCTCTTTCTTACCCTCCTTTCCAATAATCCCAACCCACCAATCTCCAAGCCACCGTTAGTTTCCATTCCTGCATATCTCCATTTCCCCTTTCAACAAACATCTCGATCAGATATACCACGGCAAAAAATATAACGGCAGTCACAAGATCAATTTTGGATCTTATTTCCCCGCATCTTGGGCCGTCTATTGCCACACGCAGCACGCTGCAGCGTCTTGTTTTGTTTGCCTCCCTCCTTCCCCGGTTCAACCTAGGAGGCGACAAAGACTACGAGGGACACGCCAGGTTAAATAAGGCCGGTCCGCCATCCCTTTTTCCTCTTCTTTCCTTTTAAAACATTTGCGAGAGAACTGAAACGTTCAACACTTCTTTTTCTCTCTTTATTCCCATTACATCAAGTTCACTTCACAATGACAGCTCAAGCTACAAACGGCCATGCTGCCAACGGTACTAATGGTACTAATGGTACCAATGGTACCAACGGCTCCGCGTTGCGGACCAAGATTTGCGTCTTCTGCGGCGCCTCGCCGGGCAACAAGCCCGAGTACGTCGAGGCCGCCCGCGCTCTCGCCCGCGCCTTGGCCGCCAACAAGATTGATCTAGGTACGTCTCTTCATCTCCTTGCAATATTCTTTCCCTTTTTTCCCTCTTCCTCGTCCCCTCTCCCCCGTTGTCATTGTCGTCATGCCCGACCCCCTTCACTCTCCCTCAGCTGACCGCTTCCTCCGTTCAGTCTACGGCGGCGGCACCGTCGGCCTCATGGGCGAAGTCGCCAAGACGCTCTGCGAGCTACGGGGCCCCGACGCCGTCCACGGCATCATCCCCGAGGCTCTCGTCAGGTTTGAGCGCGACGGTACTTACGCCACCCTCAACGCCGAGGGCCGCTACGTCCCCGACAAGGCCAAGTACGGCCGCACCACCATTGTCCCGGACATGCACACCCGCAAGAAGCTCATGGCCGAGGAAGTCTTTGCCGGCGGGCCCGGTTCGGGCTTTGTCGGCCTGCCCGGCGGCTTCGGCACCATGGAGGAGCTCTTCGAGGTCATCACCTGGAACCAGCTCGGCATCCACGACAAGGGCATCGTCCTGCTCAATGTCGGCGATTACTGGCGCGGCATGCTGGATCTCATTGATAATGCGGTTGGTGAGGGCTTCATCCGAGACTCCAACAAGGATATCGTCCTGGCCGCCCGCGACGGCGACGAGGCCATCCAGATGCTGCGAAACTACAAGGTAGCAGGGGGGATTTACGGCCTAGAATGGGGCAAGCAGTAGAAGCCAAGTTCAAAAAAAGATATAAAACTACAAGCAGATGGTAGATGAGTTTATAGACTCTGGTCTGCCTTAAAAAAAATTGTACATCATTTCAAGGACGCAACACTTCTATTTCGTCATTTGGAACAGCTTGGACATCTCTTCTTGATCAATAGGTACCTATACATAAGAATACCATTCAGCACGTACCCGCCAAGCTCATCACATACTCAAGTACATTGCATGGATTGATATAGTGCCGGACTTGCACAGGATTTGCTACCTCGCAGCGTGTATTGTACATGTTCTAGTGTATTTTTCATCACGTCGTTTGCGCGGCCGCCCCCTTTACCCGTCGACCTCCATGCCTTCTTGGCTCTCACCAACATTGTCGAGCCACACCTTGACCTCTATCTCGTCAAAGAGCTTAAACTGCTCGACGCTGCGCTTGCCGTCCTCGGTCTTAACGCCGACCACGCCCACCGACGTGTTGTCAATCGTCAACTCCTTGTCCTGGGAGAGGCTCTCGCGGAGCGCGCGCAAGCCGTGCTGGACGAGCTCCTCGCGGGTACAGTCAGGAAACGTCTTGAGGTGGCGCTCGAGGTACGTGCGTGCCATCTGGCTGCGGGCGCCAATGGCAAAGGCGGCCATCTCCTCCGTCATGCCTGACGGCTGGAACTCAAACAGATGTGGGCCCGTCTCGTCGACGCCGGCAATCAGCAGGCCGACGCCGTACGGGCGCTTGCCGTACATTTGCGTGTTAATCTGCGCCTTGTCGCCAATCATGCCGACGAGGCTGCGCAGGGGCATGGCGCGGCCATACGTGAGTCGGTGGCTCAGGCACTGCTGCTTCATAAAGTTGGACAGGACGCGGGCATCGGATGTGAGGCCGGCAATGGCGATGCCGGCGTGCTCGTCAATGTTGAACAGCTTCTTTTGGTATGATGAAAGTTCTTCGGCGTTGCGCTGGGGAGGAAGGGGTTAGCGGATGATGCTGTGATGCGGATCGTCAGAATAGTCGCCTGTTTACCTTGACGGCGCACAAGACGGCGTGCGTCTTGCTGGCAATGCCAACGACTACCGAGCCTTGCTTTACAGCTTCGGCGGCATATTCAATCTGGAATATTCGGCCCTGGGGCGAGCTACGGGAAGAATGGTCAGCTTAAGTTCCAGCAATGAGGCGGCGCCAGCCACGCGGTCTGCAAACAAGGGTCGCACGGGGGATCGAGACAGGGTAGGCGTACAATGTGACGGAATCGTTATCGTAGTTGTTACGAAACATGATGTATAGCTATCTGACGTGCAGATGCGCGGACGGTGATGGGTTGGGTTGGGCGATGGCAAGCTTGGAGCAGGAAATAGGAAGGCGAGGGAGGTTGAAGCTCAAGCGGGTTGGCTGTACCACCAGTGGCAGCCAGGCAGCCCCAAGCTTCGTCGCCTCTATGGTCCAGGCTGAAAGCTGTCGGCGCGGTGCGGCAGATCATCGGTTAGACTCCACACCGCCTGCCCAAACGGGCGTCTAGGATGGGCAGCACTACAATGACTCCAACGGCAGCCAGACAAGCTGTAATATGTAATTCATGGAGCGGGAGAAAAAGTTAGCTTGACAAGTCCTTGTTCGAACTCCAATCCGTCAGAAATAAAATAACCTCACTCTAGAGAGCATTTGATCAGAACCGCTTTACCCACCTACAACCTTGGGAGCTGTCCATGGCGGGGACGCAACAGCGCACTTATCCCACTAACCAAAATAATCGTAAAAGCGCCGCCGCTAGCCCACTGACAGACCCCTGTTCCAGGGACCTCTGAGTGAGATTCAGCGCCTGCCTGTTTTTGGGCATTCCGTCTACTTCACCACCATCTGCATGAAGCTGCAGGAGGAAAACTAGGACGCTGTGGGTAGCATCAATATTGCGTATATTGACTCACTATTGTCAGAGTGCCTCAATTAGTGCAAGAATAGTGTCATTATGCCATCTAGCGTCTGCATCCCGCCAGTCATCTCCGGAGCATCGCGCCGATTGTCGGCGGCCGCATGCCGTCATCTGGTTCCCAGCTGCCCGCCATCCACCCACCACACCAACCTTCAAGGTGGGGAGGGGCAGATTCTAAAATCGACACCATCAAGCTTAAAAAACAACTGCCGCATCCATTATCCATTGCTTCTTTGTCTTCAAAACACTCGCAGTTCCCCCTTGTGTCCCCCTTTGGCCAGTTTCTATCTAGTAATATACCCTCGACCGGATACATTACTCTCGCGTTGCTACATAAACCCCTCGTCGTGACGCCCGAGCTTCTGCATCTTTGTCTTCTTTCTACTGTCACATCCCATAGTGCTTCTAATTCAGCAGCACGACAACCCCCACCATGCCTTCCAGAGAAGAAATCACCTACTTCGGTGCCGGCCCGGCCCTGCTGCCCCAGGACGTCCTCGAGACGGCCGCGCAGGCCCTGCTCAACTTCCAGGACACGGGTCTGGGCATCGCCGAGCACTCGCACCGCTCCGAGCTAGCCACCAAGATCATCAACGAGGCCAAGGCCGACCTGGCGACCTACCTCGACATCCCCGAGGACTACGAGGTGCTCTTCATGCAGGGCGGCGGCTCCGGCGAGTTTTCCTGCGTCGTTTACAACCTCGTCGGTGCTTGGGTCGCCCGCAAGCGCCGCGCCCTCTATGCTCGCCTCAAGAAGTCGGAGACAGAGGAGGCCAACGACCCGGCCCTCACGCAAGAGCTGCGCACCACCATCGACCGCGATCTCAAGCTCGACTACATTGTCACGGGCGGCTGGTCGCAAAAGGCCGCCGCCGAGGCCGCCCGCCTGCTTGGCCCGCACCATGTCCACGTCGTTGCCGACGGCCGTGGCGAGGACGGCAAGTTTGGCAGCATCCCGGATGAGTCCACTTGGAAGCTCTCCAAGGACGCCGCCGCTGTGTACTACTGCGACAACGAGACGGTCGATGGTGTTGAGTTTCAAGGTTTCCCCAAGTCGCTAGCCCCTGGCCCGGACGGCGAGGGTCCTATTGTTGTCGCCGACATGTCGTCCAACATTCTCTCGCGCCGCGTTCCTGTACGCAACTTCTCGCTCATCTTCTTTGGCGCCCAGAAGAACCTTGGATCGACCGGTATTACCGTCGTCATTATCAAGAAGAGCCTGCTTGCGCCCAGTCTACAGCAGCCATCGGCGACCCTGATGCGCGCCCTGGGCCTTCCCATTCCTCCCATTATTTTCTCGTACGAGACCATTGCCAAGAACAATAGCTTGTACAACACGTTGAGCATTTTCGAGTAAGTAGCGTAGTGACGTGAATAGAAGGAAGGTATACTGACTTCGTCTAGCGTCTACATTGCCGGCCAAGTCCTAAAGAAGCTTCTCAAAGCCTACCCCGACCGCGTTGATGGCCAGGAGCAAGTTTCCGCCAAGAAGGCCGAGCTCGTCTACGGCGCTCTCGATGCCCATCCTGATGTCTACAAAGTCGTACCGCAGAAGAGCGTGCGCTCGCGCATGAATGTTTGCTTCCGTGTCAGCAAGGGTGGCGAGGTCGACGAGACGGAAAAGAAGTTCCTCAAAGAAGCCACCGCGCTTGGTCTGACAGGTCTCAAGGGCCATCGCTCGGTAGGTGGTGTTCGGGCTTCGTTGTACAATTCAATTCCTCTGGAGGGAGCCGAGAAGCTGGCAAAATACATCAACGATTTCGCCAAGGCATGAGTGATGTTGAGAAAAAAAAGAATGATTGAGACGTCCCAGTATAGGGTATGGGTCGCTTCGGAGGATTGTGCAAACCGAAAAGGAGTGGCAAATTCAACTTGCCAGCTAGACGGTGATATCATGCGAAAAATATACCTTTAACAGTATCAATGAAATTTAACGAATCAAGTAAATTGCAAGGAAGTCGCGCATGAAATCGTGCTAGCAAGAGAACGTTTCACTCCAGAACTCGCTCCCTATGCCACTGCCCTGAGGACAAAGTGGTGGTCCCAGAGGTCCCACAACAGCAGAATCCTGACTCTTCAACAACAGCCCTGGACGAAGCGCTGAGCAGCCTCTGTGTATACCAGAGAGTAGAAAGCAGACTTTTGGAGTGAAAATGATGAAGAGATGCTACGACGTGGCGCATTAATACGCAGAGTTGCTTGCGCGACAGGTCGCCCAGCTCGCGCAGTACCTAGCCGCCCTGCAAACTGCGGTCACCAACGGCAGCTGTTCTGGCGGAGAGGACTGACCACAACGCGCCATTGCCCTGTTGCAGCTATACAATCTGGACTACCGACTACGGCAGATACGATATATGCCCTGTCTACAGCTCAAGGAAAGGCTGGGATAGCTGTGATTCGTGTATCTGGGCCATCATGTCTGGAGGTTGGTAGTCCTCATGCCCCCGACCAACGAAATCCATCTCACACGGCCTTAGATATACCAAAGTTTATGCCCTTCTAAACCAGCACCAAAGCCACGCTACGCTACTGTCCGCACCCTCCTTCATCCCCAATCTGACGGCGCGTCTGCTGTCGTGCTCGACTCTGAAGCACTGGTTCTCTACCTTCCGGCCCCCGCCACCGTGACGGGCGAAGATGTCCTGGAGCTTCACGTCCATGGCGGCACAGCTACTGTCAAGGCAGTTCTATCTGCTATCCCTCACTGCTCATCTTCGTTGTCTGACATCCGCTATGCCGAGCCGGGCGAGTTTACCAAGCGCGCCTTTATCAATGACCGGCTGGACTTGGCCCAGATCGAGTCCCTCAGCGATACTCTTGCCGCGGAGACGGAGCAACAGCGCCGCGCCGCTGTCCGTGGAAACTCGGGCAACCTCGGCCGCACGTACGAAGGCTGGCGAGAGCAGTTGCTCCTCGCGCGTGGTGAGCTTGAAGCGCTGATTGACTTTTCTGAGGACCAGCACTTTGACGAGTCGCCGGCCGATTTGTTGGTGAGCGTGACCAGACAAATTGAGGCAATGCTGCATGGTATAAAGCTTCATGAGCGAGGGAGTGTAAGGAGTGAGTTGCTACGGAATGGCATCAAAATTGCGCTCGTTGGACCGCCGAATGCGGGTAAGAGTTCGTTGATGAACTTGATTGTGGGACGCGAGGCTTCGATTGTATCAGGAGAGGCAGGAACAACGAGAGACATTGTGGAAGCGAGCTTGGATATCAGAGGGTATCTGTGCTCGTTTGCAGACACGGCGGGCTTCAGGACGAAGGACGAGGGGAGTGAGATTGGGATAGTGGAGGAGGAGGGAATACGGCGAGCCAGAAACAAGGCCAAAGAGGCAGATGTTGTGGCGGTGCTGGCATCTGTCGAGAAGAACAGTGCTGGTACGACGTATATCCGATATGACGAGCAGACGTTACAACTGGCAGCCGAGGCGAATGCCTGTCTTGTCCTCCTCAACAAGAGAGATGCTGTCAACAAAGAGACACTGGAAACTTTGCTTTCCGGTTTCACACAGACGCTTCGCATGAAAGGCGGAAAATTGGACGGCCTCCAGGTACATACCATCTCCTGCAAAGAAGCGCAGGGGACCGTGGTTGGGACCACCGACTCTGGCGGCGTCCACGCCTTCATCGACCGACTGACTGCTCACTTTGCTTCCATGACCTCACTCCCTGTCGAGCAGCAGGACCTGCTCGGCGTTACTGAGCGCCAGCGGCAGCTCCTCGCCCACTGCCGGGGCCACCTCGAGGCGTTCTTGCTGGAGACGGCGGCGGGGTCGGACGAGGGCGGCGAGGCGGATTGCGTGTTAGCGGCCGAGTTTCTGCGCTACGCTGCCGACTGCCTGGCCCGCATCACGGGGCGTGGGGAGGCCGGCGATGTGGAGGACGTCTTGGGCGTCGTGTTTGAGAAGTCAGTATTGTTCGTTTATTAGACAAGGCAACGATGTTGATTTGGCTGACTCGATAATAGGTTCTGTGTCGGAAAATAGACTTTGCGCCCTGGCAAGAAACATATGTGAGGTTACTGACTCGGCGACGGGCTCTGTATTGGAAACAAGACACTATGCCATGGTAGGATATTGTACCAATATGGTCAAGGGAAAGGACATGTTACATATGACATACTTTTACACTAATATTTTATTAAATTTTTTGATGGAGATGTATATGCAATTGCGCAACTACGGACATGAATTTTCCTCACGCGCCAGAGCAGCTCGGTCATCACCAGTGCTCATCTGCTACGCAACTGCCGTGTCTGTTCCCCCCCTGCCAAGACTCCCCAAGATGCCCTAAACAGGCATCAACACTCATTGATTCATTCAAAAGGTGTGCGCCAAACCGCCTCACGTCGCGGCCTCCTCGGCCTCGGCTTTGCGGGCAGCCGCCAACCCGCCAATCTTGGTCGCGGCGGCCGTCAGCGCCGTCCGCGCCTTGCCGTCGCCGCCGAGGATCTGGAGCTGGCCGTGGACCATGACCTGCTTGCCGTCCTTGAAGAAGAGAAAGGTGGGCATGGCGGTGACCTTGTACTTTTGCGCGGCGTCGGCGGCCTCCTCGACGTTGACCTTGACAAAGGCAAAGTGGCCTGGGATGCCGTGCCCCTTGGCGAGCTTCTCGTACTCGGGCGCGATGGCCTTGCAGGGCGGGCACCAGGTGGCGAAGAAGTCGACGACGACGTACGTGTTGGCGGCGAAGACTTGTTCGAGCTGCGCGAGGGACGCAACATGCTGAGGGGGAGGGGCGGCCATGGTTGTTGTTGTTGTAACTATATTGTGTTGTGGCTGTGAAGGCGGCGGTGGTGTTCCTTGCTATTCGAACCGTTTTTCTGGGGCGTCTAGCCAGGGGGAAAGCCTTATGGGACGGGTAGATTTTTGACTTTTTGAACAGATTGTCGTTGCTTGGTTTTGGATGTTCGGAACTCTCAAGGTCCGGAAATAGCTCGCCCTTGCAATAACGGATGGGTGGTGGTGGAATTGGCTGGAGTGGGGTGGAAGATGGCGTCTTTTTGCCCATGACTTGGTCAGCATAATATTATCTCTGGGCAATGCCACTCTCAAGTCTCAAAAACCCCGGCCTCGATCAAAGCATGAATTTGTGGCTAATCTTGAGCTTAAACCCATCATTTGTTCGTTGATTCCTTTGCCGATACTCATATCCTCTGCACAGACGCGGGTGCCTCCCCGCCACGCGCACCGTCAATTTTTCTTCTCTGCCCGGCACTTTGGGGCGGATTGGCGGGCATCTCCCTATCCGATAGGGCCAAATCTAGGTCTATAATTCCCTTCCTATCGACTCTAAATCTATTCTTGGAATGGCGATGGCCCCGAATTAATGCCATACTATATAGAAGCAGGTGTTCCTGCCACCGCCTCACGTGGCTTGGCTGTGAGATGATAATATCTATACTATCCACAGGACACAGCCCTGATGAGCCTTCCTCCAACTCCATTCATCGGCGAGTCAGTGTCACGGCCCGCAGTCGGTCAAGGGTAATAACGTTTGGACAATCATTCAAGCGCATAAACCAACATGCCCAAAATTGTTATCGAACGGCCAACTAAAAATACTTCCGTCGATGTGTGGGGTTTACGTAAATTGATGAGGCCACTGTCGTTGATTGGTGTTTATCTTCGCAATCGCCAATGTTATAAGATCAAGGCGCTCGGCGCCACGAATAGCTCAATACCCTCATGTTTCTCATACATTCACAGATCAAGATGGCTCGCATTCAAACTTTGACACTACTTCTCGCAAGTGTCTTGCCGTGCCTGGGCCGGTCCGGCTACAGCCAGCATCCCCTTCGACAGTCCGCGATCGAGGCGCGCACCAACTCGCCCTTTACCGACGACTTTGGCACCTTTGTCGATTCCGTCCTGAGCGACTTCAAGGTCCCGGGCCTGTCCGTTGCCGTCGTCGACAGAAACCATACCTTTTCCCATGTACGCTTGCGCGCCACCGCTCGACAACTGGTCCTCCTCTGTTTGCTAACCCAAGTCACCTTGATTCCCAGGGTTATGGCTTTGCCACGCTGCCCGACATCAAAGCGACCCCGGAGACTCTGTGGTTCGGCGCGTCCACCACAAAGGCCTTTGTCGCCGCCACCCTATCGCAGTTTATCCAGAACAAGAGCTACCCGGCACTGGCAGAAGACGGCTGGGGCACGCCCATCGCGTCCATCATCCCCGACGACTTTGTGCTCGCCGACGACTGGGCGACGAAGCACTCGACCCTCGACGATGCTGTCTGCCACCGGACCGGCCTGCCGCGCCACGACTACACCTGGCAGTACACGACCAACGGCTCCCACACGCCCATCCGGGACGTCGTGCGCAGCCTGCGCCACCTGCCGCTCACGGCCGAGCCGCGCACCGTCCACCAGTACAACAACCTCATGTACATGGTGCTCTCCCACGTCATCGAGACCCTGACCAAGAAGCCGCTGCAGACAACCTTAAGAGAGCTCATCTGGGGGCCCCTCAAGATGAACTCGACCTTTTTGGACGTCGCCGAAGCCAAGGCGTCCCCCCACCACCTCGCCACCGGCTACCACTGGAACCAGACCTCGCAGAGCTACGGCGCCATTGTCCACGACACGCTGCAGGAGTCGGGCGCCGCTGGCATCATCACCAACGTGCTCGACCACGCCAAGTGGATGCGCAGCCTGCTCACCCGCACGGGGCCGCTGTCGAGCGACACGCACGACGACATTCGCCGCCCGCGCATCATCAGCAAGGAGCCCGGGTCTGGCACCGACTACGGCCTGTACGGGCTCGGCTGGGACCGCACCGTGTTCCACGGCGAGCCGCTGTACCGCCACATTGGCGAGGCCCTCTCGTTCGGCACCACCTTTTACTGGCTGCCGAAGCGCAACTACGGCGTCGTGGCCATGGCCAACGTCTACAAACAGGGCAACATTGCGGGCGAGGTTGTCGTGCGCCGGCTGGTGGAGGACGCCATGGGCATTCCGGACAAGGACCGCTTCGACAGAGCCAAAGAGTAAGTTGACGGAACACCCCTTATAGAGCGTCCTTTTAGCTGGGATTTGGTCTATGCCAGGATACCGAAAACGACTGACACAAACGTTTTTGTAGGGGCAAGGAGCTACTCGAGACCCTGGACGGCGAATTCGCAAAGGCTCCCGAGGACGTGTACGGCAAGTTGCCGCAGAAGACGGTGCCCCCGCCTGTTGCTCTCAGCAAGCTCGAGGGCGAGTACTTTGACGCCGGCTACGGCCGCCTGGTGTTCAAGCTGTCCGGCAACAACGGGAGCCAGGTCCTGATCGCGGAGCGCCCGGAGACGGTCTACCAGTACAACGTTCGCCTGCAGCACGTCTCTGCCAACGACTGGGTGGCCTTTTTCGAGTCGCGCATCGGCTCGCGCCTGCCGGCCCAGTACTTTGGGGCCCATTTCAAGACGGACAACAGCACCGTGTCTGCGCTCGACATCAACTTTGTGACTGGTCAAACCGGTACGAAGAACTACAACGTTACCTTTAACAAGGTTGCTTAGAGAACTTTCGACGTGCATGGACGTAGTACATAGACCATGGAGCGCAATGTAGATAGACATACAATACATATTCTGTCAAGTGTTTTGAAGCACTTGTTCAATCAGTGGACCCAACAACTCAGCCATTTTCCGTCCGCCCTCTACGCTCGGCTCGACTCTCTCCTCGTAGTCCTCCACGTTCTTGCCGTCCATGGCCTCGAACAGCGCGCACGTCCTGACCTGCACCCCCTCAATCTGTATCTTGCGCGTCGCCTGCTCGTACAGTTGCCGGATGCCGGCCTGCAGCCTCTCCGGGCGGCTGTCGTACCCGAGCGCCGCGAGCGCCCTGTCGGCCCAGCTCGGCGGCAAGCCGGCGCGGGCCTCGAGCGGGTAGTAAATCATGCAGACAACGACGGCGCGGGGCCTGCGCGCCGCCACGAGCTTCTCCACGTACGCCTCCGTCTGCGCCCTGAACATGCGGACAAAGTACCGGAGCGCGCACGCGCGGCCGCTGCGGATCGACGACAGCGGCGTGAGCCACGCCAGCCACAGCATGTGCAGCACGGTCCGCGCCGTCGGCCGCAGCGCAATGTCGTTGGCCCCGACCGAGACGACGAGCACGTCGTCGGCCGTCATGTGGTCCCGGATGAACGCGTCGTGCGCGAGCAGCAGCGCGGACGACCCGTGCCGCTCGCGGAGCAGCGACGCCTCCACGGCGAGGTTCAGCGCCGTGGCGCGCGCGCCCAGCCGCCGGTTCAGCCAGAAGGCGACGTCGCACTTGGGACGCGCCGGGTGCAGCGCCAGCTGGTAGATGGCCGGCACGCAGTCGGGAGCGCCGTGGCCGGCAGGCAGCCAGTACTTGTTGTCGAGCGAGGAGTCGCCCGCCAGGTAGACGATGGGCGCGCCGGGACGGTGAGTGGTGGTGATGTCCAAGAAGGTGGCCACGTCTTCGATCGGATGTCCTTTGTACTCAAAGTAAAACCTCGCTGTATCGATTTTGGTATTCATTTTGAAAAGCATAGAGGAGGCTCAACCTTGAGGCTGGCAGGTTCCTGGAACTAGCAGCATGGTTGCAGCAGCGATGTACATGGTGGCGACGGCTTTTTAGGCACCAGCGTTTACATAGCAACATCATCTTGCAATTACACGTGAGAAGACGGCCTTCACAACCAGTAACCATAAAAGAGGATGGTTGCCTAAAAAAAAAGGGCAAAAAAAAGAACACCCTATGGATGCTGGCGGTCTCTCCCGCCGGGAATTGAACCCGGGTCTCAAGCGTGACAAGCTTGCATACTGACCACTATACTACGGAAGATGTGAACAGCTGTAATCAACTGTCGTAGTGTGGATTGGACAGCGTGCGACAATAATCTGTATATGAACCTTGGCAAATCGCATCCCAATTTCATTCATTGCGCATATCCATATGATTATCAAAATCGTACGTAATATTTATTTCAGGGCCATTTGATGCCATCATAATATTTTTCACCCATCCTCATGCAGCATGTTCTTCTATATCCTCTCCGCCCCTTCACTTTTTTACAACTCATCATGAGACTTTTTACCCTCCAAGTCCTCCATGGCCATGATTTTGACCACCAGGCTTGTCCAGCCGGTAAAATGCTGCGTGCGCTGACCGGCGCCCGTCTCCGGGCTGTACTGCTCCCACGCAAAACCCGTCTCCTCCCAGCTGTTGTAAACTGTGTTGACAAGATTCTTGCGCAGGCGAATGTACAGGTCCCGCGCCTTTTGGCTGTGCGGACCGCTCTGTGTGGCAAAGTGCTAAACTGGGGTCAGCGTCAAATCGATGCAGCATTCTCGTCGAGATGTAACGTACGTAGAGCTGCTTCACAGCCATGTAGTTCATGGGCAGCCAAATGGGGCTGCGCCAATAGTTCTCCTCTGTTCCGTAAAATTCGGACTGTTTGCTCAGGCTACGAATGCCGTATGGGCTAAAGAGGTGCTCCTCGTCGCCAAGCAGATCCAAGATCTTGCCCAGCTTGGGGTCCTTGGGCTTCATCAGACCAACGAGAAAAGGCATGATGGAAATGTAACCCTTGTGACAGACCAGAGTGTGCTCCTCAAAGTCGTCGAGGGAAGCATCGCAGTAGCAACCCTCCTTCTCAGACCAGTGAAGATCGTTCAAGTTGTTCTCAATGGCCTCGAGATTCTTCTCCATGTCGGCCACATCCTCGGCAATGCCAAGGGCATCGGCAATGTTGACGAGCGACTTGGTCATCAGACCAACCCAGGCGAGCAGGTCGACGTGCAGCTCACCAGGTGATGGGGGGCTGGGTCGGGGGTAGTCATCCAGGCCACTGGTCAAGCAGTGAGTCTCGGTGCGGCCCCGCCAGCGGTAGGCCTCACGGGTGGAAAACGCCTCGCGGTCATAAGTCTTGATATCGCCACGCTGGGTGCGACGGAACCATTGGTACTGGCGCTGCAGCAGAGGATAAATGTTGCGCAGATACGACTCGCCGAGTTCAGTGTTTTTCAGGTGTGCGTCGTGTAGCTCGTCTTCTTTACCCATAATCTCTCTCGCAGCAACACCGGAGCCATTAACCTTGCGAAGCTGCTCCATGAAGTCCTCAATGACGAGGAAGAGCGTGGGAGGGTTGGCGTAGTGGGGGTATTGGATCTGAAACTCGGGAGGCACCTTACTGCGGGCTTCATACCCGAGAATCTGCTCACGCGGGATCCAGCCGTCCTCATCCATGGTGTTGTACCAGCTCTTGACAACATCTAGGGCGAGATCGATATCCCAGTCGGCGATGGGCATAAGATGAAAGCCTTCATCCCAGAGGAATCCGCGAGGGAAGAAAGGGCGCGAGGGCACGCTGGTGAAAAGCTCGTAAGGGCCCTCAAGTGCAGCCTTCTGGCGGGCTCTGGCTTCAGCCGCGCCCTCCCAGAAGCGATCGTCATCCTCGTCATATTCTTCCGCGTACGAGCGATCGATAATCTGCTGGCCGTGAAAATATCCGACGCCACCGAGAAGGTTGGAGAACATGCTCTTGCCAAACTGCACGTACTTGCCGCCGTCAAAGGGGGCCTTGAAGTCGAAGATCTTGGAGAATCTCTGGCCGAAAAGCTCTGAAGTCTGTTTGATTTCACGTGCAACATCTGACGAAGTCAATTGCTTACCGGCCGAGGCCGACGAAAAGATGACGTCAAATTCAAACTCGCCCTGAAAGTTCTTTTGCACAATGTGCGCATTACCGGCGCCTGGGTTATTGGCGATGCGGTAAACCTGCCATGGGAAAGGGGCATTGTCCTCGGCAAAGTCGTGCTGGATCTCTGTCGCAGCAGCTTGGAGAAGCTTGAAAACGGCGGCCTTGCTCTGCCAGAGCTCATGCTGGGAGAGATCCTGGCTATTCACCAGCGTCGTGTCCGTCTTGCGCCTCTTGGAAAGTTCATGATCCGTGGTGGGATGCTTGCCCTTGCCCTCGGTGACTACAACGGTGTACTCACCCAGCGACTTGGAGTTCCCCTTCAGGCTGACATCACTAGTGTACCCGAATTCGGTCGTTTCCGTTTCCACGGCGAGCTCGCCTTCGCCGTCCTGGGCAATGTAGTAGTAGATCATAGTGTTGATGTCCTTGGGCGCGCCTTCTCGAGGCACGCCCTTAATGCGCGCAGCCCAGCTGCCACCATGCTCGCCACCTGGGACCTTGACAAACGAGGTCGTGATGTCGATCGAGTTGCCCTTATCGTGGATTGTTTGGATACCGCCATGTCGGGCGTCGAACTCGTTCCAACCGTAGCCGTGGGCATGCTCGCCCTGTTCGCAGGTGTATCGGAAGCCTGCATAGCATCTGTCAGCATGTCCCTTCCAGGGCTGGACTTGTCCTGGGTCATACCCTCTTGCACCTCGCCGTAGTTATCGACCTTGGACCACATCAAGCCTGTCCATAGACCCTCCGGCGTTCTGGGTCGCACACCAAAGTATAAATTTGGCTTGTATGGTCCCCAGAAGAGGCTCTGATTATTTTGGCGGCCAATCTCGGCGGTGAGAATAGATTCGCCCTCGGCGACAGCTGTTCTGATGGCAAGCGCCGCCGCGATCCATTGCGCGAGCCGCGCCATCTTGATGGCTTGCGAGAAAGCGATAAGCTGGTGGATATGAAATCAATTCTGCTTTAATTGACTGTCCGACAACTTATTTGCGGATCGGAAGGGTCGTCATTGACAAGCAAGGTTCGGCGTTTGTCCTTGTGGACACGGTGTAGTTGGAAGATGTGAAGCACTCAACAGAGCTGAGAGCTCCCTGTGATTAATTAGTGGTGCGGGTTAATGCTAGCCACATCGAGGCGCAACAAAGGCTAACAGGCGAAACAAAGTAGGCTCAAAATAGAGAATAGGTGATTAATATATACTTAAACTGATTTGGAAATATATACAATTTTAAGATTTCGCGAATTGCTGGTATAGTGGCCGTTTCTGCGACGCCTTCCACCGTGAGACGAGTGTTTGCCCCTGGTGCCTGCGCCAGCCACATCCCGCCACAGCGTCATTGTGTGGCTTTGCTCCCCAACTCCCTCAGAAGCTGGATCATAACCAACGTGCTGCGTCCCCATCGATCTGCATGCTCCATCACAGAAACCTTCTTGCGTGGTCGATCATCGCTTGGATCATCACGCTTTCCGCCTCGCTCAGCGCGTGTTTCAGGCCCGCCGCACCCGTCAGGCACGCCTTGTTGCCGCCCAGCATTTTCCACGACGTCGGCGACAGCTTGTCGGGCTCGACAACGAATTCGCGAAAGTTGCCAAACTCCCACTCCTTCTTGTCGAGAAACTTGTTTTGAACCAGGCCGCCGTTAAACCAAAGCGGGCTGCCGTCGACACCTAGGTGAAGCAGCTGCGGCGCGCAGACTGTGTAGGCTTTTGGGAGGGTTTTGTTCGTCGTCGCACCTGCTTGGGACGCCCTTTTGAGCTCCCCGGCATCAGCCTTCTCTTTGTCGGAAGCTTTGTCGGAAGCTTTGTTGTCTTTTTCTTGCTCGGCGACGCCCATGACGGCAACGCGGCCGCGATGAAACGCGTAGTCCGTATCACCCACGAGTTCCCAGCCGATCCAAAATGTTTCCTTGTCTCCTAAAATATCGTTTAGCTTCACTGCTCTTCAGCCCCGAAGTGCCTCACTCACCATAAACCATGTCATAAACACCGACTATTCCCTTGTCTTTCTGGCCGTCTCTCTCGGGACCATTCATGCGGCAGACGGCGAGCATCGCAATGAAATGACGCCACTTGTCCACGACGACGACTCCCGACTCCTGCATCTGTCCACTCTCGCCTTTCCAATAGCGGCTCGCGAGAACCTTCAAAGAGATGGGCTTGGGCAACACCTTTTTGAGCCAGTCCTGTTTCGATTCGCGCCAAAGCGCCCGGTCCATGAAGAACAGCGCGCCTGTTTTCCGGTAGTCCTCATCGTCGAAGAGAAGCTCTGGATCCCGGAAAAAGAGGCTGTCGGCATCAACGAAGATGGCCTCACGAAAACTGGAAAAAAGGATTGCGTAGGGCTTCGCCGCCCAGCCAGCCAATTTCCAACCGTTGTCATCCACCATTGGCCCAATTTCTCGGGTAATGACTCCGTCGAGACCCGAAAGTTCTGCCTGCACGTCGGGGCCGAGGTCATCGTCGTCTAAGTACATGACTTCGATGGGCAGAGTGCATCCAATATCTCGCAAGCTATGCACGAGTGTTTTCAAGTGTGCGGCCTGGGCGTTGCCAGCAGTGACAACGATGCCGCGCCCTCCGTGCTTCAAGTTCAAGTGCAATGTCATGTGGTCTGCAAAGTACGGTGCGGTCCAGCTGGCGATCAGCTTCTCAAACTTGTACATGAAGGATTTGTACTTTTCGTACGTGCGAACTGTTTGTTCTACACTGCCGGCGGTGATGCCGTCCGGGCTCGTGGAAAAGTACCGACGGATAAAAGGGATCATGTCGGCTCTGAGGAATGTCGTGTGAGGACCGCTTTCCACCGAATGCAACGTCTCCCAGGCTTTGAAAAACTTTTTGTATTCACGCGTGCGAAGTCCAATCTCCCGCAGCTTCTCCGGACCTGTGCCTTCAATGGTGTGCAGCATCCAGCGGGCCTCCATCTCACTGGGAAGAAGGTCCTCCACGCGGCGGAGAGCCTGCTCAAAGTCGACGTCTCGCACATGTGCTGCAGGCTGTTGATGCATTTGCTTGTGTGGATTATTTTTATGCTGGGACAGCGGCTCCAGACTCGGTAGGGCGATTTCGTTGCTCAAATACTCTCCTGGAGCGACTTTGGCAGCCTCCTCCTCCTTGCTCGGTGTAAAGGGATCGGAGTCGAACGCATACTTTACTTGATTCGTGCTGTCGATATAGAAATATATCAGACAGGTTATGAATGCGCCCATCAATAGTAGCTTCACGCAACGAACGGCTCGTATCTGCCGTCCGAACTTGCCAAACTCGCGGCTGGGCGACATGCGCCGGAGTCTGCCTATTATCGGCATCAGGAAGGGGACTTTTGAAGAGTGGATCAGCTGAGAGTTGGCAGAAGACTGATAGTGTAATCCAGACGACAAAAACAAGATGGGTGTCAGATATCAGGAGTTCGTTACGACATTCTGAAGTGGTGAAGATTGATGGCGCAAGGTTCCGGGTCGATGGGAGAGATAAGTCCAACCCCCACAAGCTGTCAAAAATACCGATTTGGAAGGATCATCTCTTGACTTGGTTTCGTTCTAGTTTGGCGCTGTCCTGGTGGCAATTTGCCCTCAATGCTCGTATCTAAAGGCCTTCTTTAAAGTTCAGTGATGAGTCATGAGACAAGTAAGTCCACGGACAAGTCCACAGACAAGTCCACGGACAAGTAAGCGCCTTGACCGCTGTGATAGGATCAAAGCTACAGCCTCGCTGCTTTTCAAAAGTCTATTTGCGGGCCGTTGTGTCGGAGTGGCTTCAGAAGGACAAATTACAAGATGGCAAAAAATAGTTCCAATCCCCAACCTTGCGTAGCACCAACGCAAGCCGTCGTTCAGCCCCCATCGCTGGCGGTGGGGGTAGCAGACGTGCGAGGACGCGCGTTACCATTGCTTTGTGAAAATCAATTTGATGTGGTTGGTCGAGCTGGATAAAGACGTATCCGACGAAAGCCGGGGCAGTCCCAAGGACTCGTACGAAGAGAGGCGTACCGGCCGTAATCCCATGTGAAGCTTATACAGAGTTCGCCGGCTGCATGTTGGTGGACTGACAGACAGACAGAGCGGAAGCCAAAGCGCAAAGACGGACTTGTAAGTTATAATTAACATTGTAATCTCGAGCGCATCAAAGCGCAGTTGCCCATCCGCCATTGCTGACGACTTGTATGTGCGTGTGTGATTTTATATATGCGCTAACTTTTAGATTAAAGCAAACACCTCTTGGCAATGTGGTACTGGTGAAGCGCTGAAGCGGCAGGTATCAGGTCGAGCGAGGAATTTTCTTTTTATGCCTGCAAGACTCTTTGATGACGGGACCAAAGAAGGAAGATATGCATCCTCGGCCCGTCTACACGAGGCTTTGGTTCTAGTCTTGGTCTGAAACACAAGGTCGTCATCCCGGAATCCGGCCGATTTCTACGAGCGGACGGGACGCTGCTATAATTAGACACATGCCGAGTCTACAAGAATCGCGGGCGATCCCGCGGCCGAGCGAAGCGAATTGTGGCCTTTTTATAACTAGTATTAGAGCGCACAGAAACTCGGTTTAATAAATTCCACCTCATATTACAGTATATATAGTACGACAGTTCTCGCGGCTGAAAGATAACATTTGTGGCGTAGACGCTTCACTTTCAATCTTCCAAAAGCCAACTCGTCAAGCGCTTATTTTTACCACACCATCTCCGGGCATGTATATATTGACAACTAATCTTGGTTCCGGAACAAACTCACGATTCAACCCCATTTTCGTTGCTGGTGGTTCAGGCTCGACTACCTCATAAGTCTCTCAACGCTTGGCAATGTGGAACTGGCAACCCGAAATCACAGTGCCGCCTCGCAGTCGTATATACCCCGACGAAAAAAGCGGAAAATTTCTCCATCGTTAATAAATCGAGATTATAACTAGCCCGCGGCATTAGCCCATAATAGTATTCATGGTTGGCTGGTCTTTCAGGTTGTGCTTATTTTTGGTGGACTCTCGTATTGGCCGGGCCTGGCTTCTTCCAAAAGAACAAGGGGTCTTCAAACTCCGTGAGCAATACGAACAGTGTTTATTGATTAATTTATAATGAGTGATTTCCGATGAAAATTTCTCGCTTGCCAACGCCAAGGCACCTCGCGGTACACCCAAGTTCACAGGTTATAGCTACAGTCAGGGACAATATCTGCAAGAGCAGGAACCAGGAACTCAATGTGGCAGACATGGCTATAAAGTTCCTGATTTCAGCAAGTATATGGAGTACGGGGCTACGTACACATCTTGCGCCGCGCGTCATAAAGTTGCTGGCGCAAATGTCGTGCAAGTATTGGTTACCAGCGGGGGAAGCCACGGTGGCTTTCGAGGGCCACGTAGATGGCAGCAGAAGAATGTTGCCGTGCAAATAGGTGTGCCACTATAGATACAGATATACGAGCATACACACTATTCCCCCTAGTTATGCCAGGAAGAAGAAAAGACGCAGAAGAACAATAACAGCAAGTTATAGATCATTCGTAGTGACGGCAAAGTTCACAATTTCAGTAGCGCAACAAGAAAAACGAATAATAGGCGCCCCAGAGACCTCCAGCACAGGCAAAATTGGAATGAGTATCGGTTTACAATTTGTAGAGGACATGGTGGTCGAGATGCTTGGGAGGCCTGCATCCTCACGCTCGTGATGGTGCCAAGAGTAGAATCCAGCAATGGCGGAAAGAACTCGCCGCCGGTTCCAGCCTACAAAGTCGCAATAGCACGTTTGACAAATGTCTCGGAAAAGCCAGCTCCTCCTACGAGGTGCCCAACCCGGAATCGCATTTTTCTGGGGTTTTTCTCTTTTTTATTTGGCATTTTGGGGGCATTATGTTCCCCGGCTTATACCCAAATTCCGTTGTTGTCTTGGCCCGTCCAGAACAAAGGGCTTAGATGCCTCTTTCGGTTGAATGAAACTTTAAGAAAAAAAATGAACCCCTGAACCTTGAAGAATGAAACCCGTTCAACCTCCGGTGAGGCTGATGCAAGCCCTAAACAAGCCAGGCAAAGCCTCGAAGCCACCATGTGTGAGTTATAGCCTGCTCAGCTTTGCCCCGCGCCCACTGCACGATTGTTAATTAACCTTCTGTTTGATTTGTATTGCGCGAGCGCCCCCTGGTTGCTCCTCAGCTGATGCCAAGAAATCCGTGCCAAGAAGAAAAACAAGCTGCCAAGCAGAGTAGTGTTACTGCTACTGGAGGGCCTGGACCCTGACTTGTACAAGCCACTGTCCGGAGCACTTTAGCGCCTACAAATTCCGTCTTGGGCAACAGGTCCCAACAAGCGGCAGGCTCCTTTGGGACAACTTAAACGTGTCAGCCTCCCGAATAACTGCCCACTACCCACCACTTAGACGCCAGCCCCTCAGAACAATGTATCGTGTATCTGGCATCGCCTGCGATATCCAGAGTCTTCTAAGGAATGAATGTATTTTGGAAAAATTTGCAGAGTCTTTTGCTTGGATCAATATGTGTGACTATCTTGTACGTTCTCGCCTCGATTCGGCTGCCACTGCCGAGGGTCATGTACCCGGGCATTCCGGACACAGACGATGAAGTCGGCCGAGGGAGGCGCATTGCAGATTTACCCCGGGATCAGTTAACCTTAAATTGACCGCCAAAAAACACACGTAGTATTCTGTGTCCTGTTTCACGATGGTCTCATTGCCGGCCAGCAGCTACAACAAAGCTACCATCACATCTGCCTGGTTTTGACACAAACCAGGGGGAATTTCGGGTGAAGTTGGCGCGGCCCAAATCACGCCAGAATGGCTTCACTCGCCTTCAAGTAGGTATCATAGATGTAGTTGTACGCTAACAGACATATCCTAGTTTCACTTGCTAGCATAGTTTGTTGATTTAGGACGCTCCTGGCCGCGCACTACCAGGCCCCAGTCACGATAACTCTCATAATATCAATCTATCATTTTTGTCTCACAATGGTTGGGCTATTCTTCCGCTGTTTGGATACAGAACTTGCCGCTATATGAAGGCGGATGTTCCCAGTCGTGAGCTTCACACAAGATCTCCAGTATCATACACTCTTCTCGCCCAGTACATTATACTCTCGCACTGCAAAACATCTTTTGTATAAACACTCGATATCATCCTCTCCACCTCTCTCCGTTATCCAATATGCTTCTCCGCAAAGTGGTGGGCATGAGCCTGCTGCTACCTGCCGTGCAGGTGTCTGCTTCGTGTGGCTACGGTACCATCCTGCACCCAAGAGCAGAGAACGGAACGTTAGAAGTCAAGGACTTTGGCTACTTTGGATCCAAGGTACGCGCTCCTCACCCGCATCTTAGAGCGCGGCTTGTTCCTAGTATAAAGAAGAGAATCTAGAAACTAACGGCCATCTCACCGCAGGGTCCCACAGTCTGGGTCGCTCTCGATCCCACGGCGAATGCCCTCTGCGCAAGTGGAAACTCGCAGTCGCCCATCAATCTCGTCAAGGGCTCTCAGAGCATTGTTCCCGCGGCGGAGCTCAAGCTGGCCATACCGGACATGCCGGACGGGGCCACGTTTGAGAACCTGGGGACGACGGTCGAGGTCGTCGCCGCCGGGGGCAACATGTCGTTTGGCGGCACCGCGTACACCCTCCAGCAGTTCCACTTCCACCTCCCGAGCGAGCACCTGGACAACGGCGCCAGCATGGCCATGGAGATGCACATGGTCTGGCAGGGCGCAGGCGGGGAGGTGGCCGTGGTCGGCGTCTTTGTCGACATTGCCGACGGCGCCGCCGCCGGCGCTGCGCCGCAGGACGGTGCGGTGGCCGCCGAAGCACAGTCGAGGCGCCGCTCACCGTCGCTGAGAACGCGCAGCAAACGTGCCGCGCAGGCCGCCGCACCGCCGCTTCCGGGGATAAAGACCGGGTTCTTCCACGTCAACGCCCCGGATAATGAAGCCAAGGTGTCTTCAACCCTGCTGGAGACCGTTCTCAGCTCCGTGGCGGAAGTGTCCACGCCGGGTTCGACGACAAAGACCAAGCCTCTGGTCATGTCCGAGCTCGTCGACACCCTCGCAGCAGGGGCTTTTCAGACGTATGGCTTCACTCTATACGGTTTACATGTATTGTGCTAATCCGTGAATCAAATAGGTACGAAGGGTCTTTAACTACACCTCCCTGCTCAGAAGGCGTCCGGTGGCTGGTCTCCAACCAGATCCTGTCTATTCAACCAGACACGTTTCTCGGCGCACGATCAGTTATTGGCTTCAATTCTCGGTTTCCGCAGAATACGCCAGGGCAGGCGAATGTTCTCTCTCTAGCTGCTGCGCGGCTATAGACGGCATGGGCAGAGCTGGAATGTGACTATTATGCCCGTGTACTTGAGTGAGATGAGCGTTGTGCCTTGACAGATTGTCTGAAATGATGAGATGAAAAGCGTTTTCAGGAGGTCATTGTCTGTTTCATGCGACTAGACATAATCATGATATATTTGCTTTATAACTACTGTATACATAACGTATGACTACCGTGTATATAATGGCTTGGAGCGGTCGAGTGATGCTCAAGTGCCTCCTCAATCCGGCGCAAGATGGTGTGTAGCAAGCTGCCATCAGGTAAAACAGCCCCATGTGGATATACGTGGCTCCTGGGATACTGAAACCCTACTTAAACTTTAAAATGTTCATTTATCTGCCGTCATCTACCTCGCTTGCGTTGGCGAATGCTTCCCGAGGCCGGTGGCGAGGCGGAGCTCTGAAGTGCCTCCCTTCACTTGCCAAGAGCACCGCATGACAGACTTTTGTGCTACGGTAGTTGATGTCCCCTCGCAATTTCACTCATCTTTTCTGGCTGTGACCTTGACCTTGATCTTGCCCCGTACATTTGTCATGCTCCTTCTCTGCCTAGGGTAGCCCGCGAGGCGAACATGATGGATTGTCATATCCTCCACAGTAGTCTGGTGCAGATCCATTTAAATCCAGGCGGGCAATTGTGAGATATATATCTGTGAGCTGCAGCCTACCATAGTCATGTCAGTAGGAATACAGCGTGAGTTTTGAGGACAACATACTGAATCAATGTGTTGTCTACCGCCTCTGGGAAGTCGTCTAAATATTTCTTCAGAGGACATCCGCCCTTCGCTTCCCGAATCCATCGACCAAGACCGAAAGTCAAAGGACCCAGAGAAAACATACATCAGTGTTGACAAAATAAATACACTGACTGACAAGAGTCTGTAGAGGTCATGGGGATTGGCTCGGATACCTTCGGTCATGCAACGAGCAGATGGCACTTACTCCAGAGGGGATATGATGTAGTCTTAATGAAGTATGGAATCGTGAGTTGCCACAGGCGGTGGTCTATTCAGAGTACCAAAAGAGAGCCGGAAGCTCTCATAGACAATACCAGTATGCGTGCGTGTCAGCTTGGTAGTAGAGCGCGAGGCCAAGACGAAGTGGAAGCGCCCTCGTCCATCAGGCGTTCAATCTGCCGCTCTGGGCAGGGAATATTTGAATAGCTTACCTAATGATATAATTGCTCGCCTTGCCATCCTTTGCTCCAATTGAGGGGAGTATTCTCTGCTTGATGGTCCTGTAGCGTCAACAACTCGGCCACCGGTGGCGAGGTCAGCCGAATGACTGCGGTGGGCATCCGCTTGAACAGGGAGACCACCCCTGGAATAAATCGCGCGTGATGTTAGCTCATATCAAGTACAAGAAAGGCCTCTATGATGACGATTGAAAGTTTGGAACAGCAACGTAGCTGAGGTTCTCGCCGACAGCCGCTCGGTGATGATGTCGGCAGCGAGGGCGGAAAAGGCCGAGTCCAAGGCCAGCACCCCGTCGGCTTCCATAAACGCCTGCGCGCGCTTCCAGAGCTTGCAAATGTACGCATGAATTATGCTCCCCATGCCGGCGACGGAGCGCGTACTGAAGTAGGGACTCAAGTACCCCCGCCAAGCATGGTGGTGGTGGTGGTCGACGGTCGCCGCGGTTGATGTTGGAAGCGAGAGGGACCAACCGTCGCGGGATCTTTGTTCACCTTGCGCGCACTAACGGTGTTTATGTTTCCGTAGTACTCCGTGTCCTTGATCTGTATCTCGGGAGGATTGCGGTGTCAGAACAGCTCTCCGCGACCAGAGTCGGTGGAACTACCCTATCGTATTTCGCGTCGATATTTCCGTAGTACTCCAAGTCCTTGCTCAATCCCATCCCCCACAGTTATCTGCCATCCCGGATGACGTCGAAGCAGAATTCATGCAGGCTCGTCATGGCGGCGAATTTTGACCCCGGAATCTTGGCGAGTGGCTGAAACGTGACATTGTAAATGCAAGTGCCCATGAACTTGAGTAAAACCAAGCCAAGAACGACCCAGTCCAATCGCGTTAATTGATCATTGCGCATACACGTGGCGAAGAGGGTAGTGACTATACCGGGCCTAGGAGATAGCAAGTTTATGCAGTGGCGAAGCAGATGGGTGAATTGGGACTGCCAAGCGGGATGGTTTGCTAAAGGCCTTTGACTAAATAGTATTGTAGAGTTGATGAAGGAGAGATATTATGATATCTTGGACGCGAGACGGCAGACTCGACGCAGATGTCCTGTGTAGTCGATTACATGGCCGATATGCGGCTCGCAGACAATTCTGCAACCTGATCGCAATAAAAGTCAGCCCGGTAGGCAATCTAGCAGTTCTCGGAGTATTATTTAAACCGTGCTGTCAAAAAGGGTGAATACAATACTACCAATCACATATTTGCGTCTCTCACTTGATGAAAGGCACACATGTCTTGAAGAGTCTTGACATGCTCGTGTGCCATGTTTGACAGCCGCATTCGTCAAAAGCCTTTGGTAGTAGCAATATCAAGAGGAATTAACTCCTGCTCACCTCGTAACCAAGAGGAGGATATGTCACTACTGCGCACCGCGGCGGTGCACGACCAATCACGAGGACGTTAGATGCAGCAAGGCCTTATTCACCTGACGCCAGCATATCCGGCAAATCTTGTCCGGGTCCAGTCTTGCCTTTGTCTTCCATTTCTCAGTTATTCGCTGCAAATGATTTTCAGCTGGGACGCCTGCCACACGCCAGAATAGTCCGCCTTGCTGCCTTTCTGGCTGCAGCCTGCTGCACGCTGCAGACTCAGCCTGCCACTGCCACATTGGGTGAGACGGGTCTGGTGATTCCCCCGCCCGGTGCACAATACTAACTCGTTTGACGCTTGCGGACTTGGGATTATTCTTCTCCTTGTCACACAAGCCCTCGCACGGCTGTCTACAACAATGGCCGAGGTAGTCGGCGTCGTCGCCGCGGGATTCGCTTTTGGTGAGGTGGCTCTCAAGCTGAGCGCGCACGTCTTCAAACTGAAACACATGTGGGAGGACATGAAACAAATTCCAGACCACGTCAGGATGCTCGTTCACGAAATCGAGCTGCTTAGCCGCGTGTTGCATGAGATGGAGGCCGACTTGAACAGCCCGAGCCAGGACGGAGCATCCTGGGGCGGCATCGGTGTTTTAATTGTTTCGATGTGCCGCTCGGCCGTCGATGCTTTAGACGCATCAGTGAATGCGGTATCACAGGAGCTTGCTTCGGTACGAGGCGTGAGGAGGACGATGCACAGGGTGAAGCTGGTGCTGAAGCAGGACTTCTGGTCCAAGATTGAGAAGCGGTTGCAGCATGTGGTCGGGCCGCTGGGTATCGCTCAGCAATATTGGTTAAGGTTGGTGTACCTGATTCGTTTTTGCAATCAACAACTGTGCTGACTGATTGGAGTAGGTCATTGACACAGAGACAACCAGATGTAATTGTTTCTCGCCTGCAGTTGCTGCAAAGCGCGGTGCAGCCGGACCCTATTGACGACTCGACCGGAACTCTGCAAGACAAAGACAAGACGCCAGGTCCTCGTCCCAAGGCAATGAAATACTCCACTGATCGGCGAGGTCAATTGATGCAAAAACACCGAGGATCTTCATGGCTCGGGAGCGTGGGCCTTGACTGGACTCAGTCAAGCGAGGACAACCAGGGAACAGCGGGCGGTTGCAACACATACTACATACAACTGAAGCCGCCAAACTGGCTCACGCGAAAGGCATGGAGCGTAGTATCATCGCGCAGCGTTTCCGGCTTTGATATCAATCTCCGGGCATATTCTGTCGTGCCAAGAAACTCGCCAGTCATGGAATGTGCTGCCGTCGGAGATGTTGGAGGTTTATTGGATCTCTTTGACCAGGGGCTCGCTTCACCTTTCGACATTGACCCGGATGGCTATGGACTACTTGACGTATGAGATTGATGACACTATGAAACTGCACGCACCCTTTCGCTAATTGCTGGATAGATGGCTTTACAGCGGGAAGGCGTCAGCGCGTTGGCTGTAATGATGAGCTGGGGCCTTGATTTGGCAAACTGTTTTGACCCCACGGCTGCACGTGCCACTACCATGTTTTTTTTGCTAGACCGGGGTGACGAGAAAGAATTACAGGTCATCCATGAAATGGCGCTGGCCAGCAACGTCTATGAAATTTGGGCTGATCGGTGGACTGACGGGTTTCTTAAGCGCACCTTGTACTGGCAGTGTATGGCAACGAATGTTAACAGCGTCAAGGTATTTCTCCCTCGCTTGCGGCCCGGTCATTATCAATTGCCGATTCGGGACCGGCTGGGTTGGATACTGTTCCTATCCTCAGTGCCCGCCCACTGCCTGCGCTATATCCTTTGGAAAGACGGCAAGGCGCGAAGGGAAGACGTCAGGGCGCTCGATGAGATTCAATACCCTCTAATCAAGCTTGTTGCAAAATGTTACAATAATCCGTGTGCTCAAATACTCGATGTCTCTGCTGATGGTGCGCGAGACCTTGCGAGACAAATCATTCGCTGCTCGGATGTAATTCTATATAGGGAGCACTGGATCCTAGCAAAGAACGTTGCACTGCCCTTTATTGTGTGGCTCGACCAGCTCGACCAACGCAGATCTGCTGTTGCCGGCGCTGCCGTACCATGACATGGACTTCGAAGAGACGATGGACCGAGCGTGCACTGCGGCAGTGGCTGGAGGACGTGCAAGCAGCCGGCACGAACCTGTGCGAATACGGCAAAGTCGAAGCCAAGATTTTTCAAGAAACGAGATCAATCAGGTCTCTAAAGTACGGGTTCTCGTATTGGGATTGCGGAACTTCGGAGCACTCCGAATCGAGCTCTTATTGTACACTCGTCGCCTTCACCTATGGGCCTGAACCAAAGGATTGGAAATTCACGTGGGACCTTCAATGCTACGAGTTGGCGGGGGAATTTTGGGAGTTGATTGAAAATCCACCCTTACATATGGTTGGAGGATGGGACAATGACTGGTAGATTGTACAATGACTGGTAGATTGTAGACAGACCGTACCCGTCGCTCTACTGATATGAGGACCTCCATGTCAACACTAGCTAGTTACTCCAATCTTCAGTAGATTTCAATATCAAACAAAAGAAACACACAAAAAATGGCTACTCGTACAGTATCATTGGGGGTCTTGCTCAACCACTTTGCACCACTTACACCAAGCCCAGCCAGCAGTGGGGGCGGCAAAAAAAAAAGCGGGAGCATTGCCATCAAAATCTCAGATCGCACACCAACCCCAAACTTCATCACCACCATCACCCATCCCTTCCACACTCTCCGTCCTCCCCGAACCCTCTCTTCTGCCACAAACATCCCGCAGCCAGCCGAACACAAAGCAAAGCAAAAAGAAAACCCCTGCCTCCCCTTCCAAGAACGCCATGTCCGACCAGCGTCGAGGTCGCCGGCCCGATACCCGCCGCGACTGGGACGCGCCGCCGCCGCTGCCCGCCGCCGACCGCCGCGACGACGGACCCTCCCGCGGCGGCGGCGGCTCCAGACGCAGCCAGTACCGATCACGGTCGCGCGACCGCCGCCGCGCCGCCCACGACAACAACCGCTCCCGCTCGCCGGATCGACGACCGAACAACGAGGGCGAGGCCGGCCGCGGTGGCAGACGGCGCGGCGGCGACACCCGACGAGACGGGGACTACCGATCGCGGCGGTACGACGACCACGACCGCCGCCGCGGCGACCACCACGACGAGGACCGTCGAGGCGGAGACGAGGACCGTCGAGCCGACCGACGACGCGTTGATGCCATGGACCAAGACCAGGATCCCACACCGGCCGCTGCTGCCGTGCCCATCGTGGAACAGGACGGGGCCAACAACAACGACGACGACGACGACGACGACATGGCCGCCATGCAGGCCGCCATGGGCTTTGGCGGCTTCGGCACCACAAAGAACAAGCGCGTCCCGGGCAACAACGCCGGCGCGGTGCGCAAGGAGAAAAAGACCGAGTACAGGCAGTACATGAACCGTCTGGGCGGCTTCAACCGGGCGCTGAGCCCGACGCGGGAGTGAAGAAACAAAAGGGGTTTTCTTTTCTTTCATGATCCCTCTGCATTTCGTGTTTAGCGACGTCTTGTTTCTTTATCCACGGTCTAGGCGTTTCAAAGGTTCATAGGCAGCTGGTTTTCCTTGTTCAAATGCAAAACATACTCTTTTCTTGATAACAGGCTTACTTTCGATATTGAAACGGCAAAAGTAGAAAAAAAGACAAAACAAACAGGAAACCAACCCCCCGACAATCGAAAAAAGGCCGGCGATCTGAGCAAATGTAAAAATCCTTCCCAGCCGAGAAAAGAAACTAAAAACGAACCCAATACATTTCCGCCTTCTCTACAACAGGTGAGGAAAAGAGACCAAAAAGGTCAGACGATAAAAGGAAATTATATGCGCTATATGTGCTTTGTATGTAAACATTACGTACTTTGTATAAAAAGGAGTGAATCGCGGGTTGCCTTTTCCGTTCCTGTCCTTTCAAGCCTCCCGCCCCCCTGTCCATGCAACCTTGTCACCAGCAGTCCTCAGCTCGGTGATTTGTGTTCCTCCCCTTCGTGGCCGTTTTCCAAAGGTTCCGCGACAGAAGCCCGGCCAGACTCGTCATAGCTGGCGATTGATGCATCGCCTTCAGCTGCGCCACCCAATTTGCCAACGTCCTCTGCATTGCCCACCGAAGAGGCCTTATCGCGGCGGCGACGGCGCATGCGTCGCTCCTCTTCGGCTGTTTGCCGCCTTGCCTTCCGTAGGCTTTCACGCTTCTCGCTATCGTCGCCGTCGCCGCCGCCGCGCATGCCCTGTAGGAGAGCAGCCGCCCGGTCTGCCACGTCATTGTCACCATCGCGCGACTGCGTGAGATCGGGGCTTGCTGGTCCGGCAGACGGTCCGGGTGTACTGCCTTCCTCCTCGGGAATAATCTGATCCGACGTAGTCAGTCCAGGTTCCACCTCGGGAATCTCGTTAAGATCAGGAATCTTTTGCCCAGACGCAACGCGCACCTGGTGCCGGTCCTTGAGACGCGCGCGTCGGCGTCGGTCTCTCTGGTCCCGAGCCTGCGGCGCTGCTGCCCGGAGCTTCTCAAGCAGCGAATCCATCGCACCAGTGCTGGTGGCAGAGGCCGTACCAGGCTCCATGGCAGCCTGCGCCGCCTTTTGCGCCGCGTGCTTTCGCTTCATCGAAGCCTCGTTTCGTTTCCTGGTTTCCTCCAGTTGCATATTCTTCTGCCGTGATTTCTTCCACTCAGACAGGAAGCCGGCAAGCTTGGCAAAGAAGTCTCGTCTGGCATTTTCATCGGCAGGATCTTCGCCGTAGAAAATCATGATATCCTTGAATGTACGAATCATCTCGTCCAGGTACAGCTGCATCTGCTCGGCCTTGCGACGGGCTTCCTTCATACAGCGCTGCACAATCAAGTTGACGCGATCCTCGGGATGGAATTTCTTCGGATCGCTGAGGTTGCCCGAGTCAAGAGACATTTGAACGTTGCGGATGTTGTCGATATACCTCTTGGCATCGGTTTCCAGCTGTTCGACATTCATCTTTTGTGCCGAAATGACGCCGCCGATTTCAGTAGAAAAGTTTTCCCACTCTGGGTACTGGCTACGAACGATGCGCTCGACCAAATCGGCCAACGTTGACTCGTTCTTGTCATCTTTGACCATACCAAGCCGCGAAAGCGAGCTCAGCTTGAAACCACGAGCTTGTTTATTTGCGTCGTTCATGTAATTACCAATATCCAGGATGAGACCCAAGACATTCATGAGCGATACCGAATCGCGAAGGGACTCGGAAACACTGACAACTTGGTGCATCTTGTTGTAAATATCTTCATACTCGGCCTCAAAATTTCTTGTCAGGGCCAGAGCACGCATCCTGCTCTTCCAATAGTGGTGTAGCTCAAAAGCAGTGTAGAGATAGATTTGATCTTGCCTGGTCAAGTCGGCTGGGTCCATTTCTCTTGTCAGAGCGGCCGCATCTGGCCCGGTGAGATCCTTGCTGTAAGGAGCCATCTGCTTGGACGTGTTGTCGGGAATGTTGCAGAGATCGTCTTTTTGCAAAAAGTCCATTACAACGACGTTATCAAGGACTTCGGGATCGCAGTGGATAATCATTTGCGCAACCTTTTCCACGGAATGCTGTGAGAACTTGGCCAGTGCAATCTCGTATGCTTTGCGCAAATCCGCGGAAATGATCTGCTTCTTATCATCCTTGCGCCCGGTGGCAGCGCCAATCTTCTTGATCTCCTTGGCCATAAACAGCTTCTCAACTTCGTCCAAGATACCCTTCCTACTAAGTTCAATGTACTTCTCTTCGCGTGCCTCTGCAGATGGTGTGTGCGCTGCCCAGTGACTTGTCTCGGGTGTGTCCAGCTTTTCCCAGTGAAGCGCCTTGAGTTTCTTCTTTGGTCTTGCGACGGGCAGCCCGACGCTAGGCGTAGCACTGTATGTGGGTTGGGGGAGGAAACGGCCCGTCTTCGCACCAGGCATGGGCGGTGGTGGCGGAGGCATAGATCCTGCGGGCGAGGCTGTCCCGTCTGCTCCTATGGCAGGCGACCTCATGCCAGGCATGGGAGGGGGTGGCGGCGGAGGAGGCGGCGCGCCGGGGAACTGGCCAGGCATGGGAGGCGGCGGTGGTGGTGGCGGCGGCGGCGGCGCTCCTGGAATTTGTCCCGGCATCGGTGGTGCCGGTGGTGGCGCTCCGGGAATTTGGCCAGGCATGGGCGGCGGCGGCGGCGGCGGTGGGGGGGGAGGGCCGCTGACAACTGGCGCGAGTGCTCCCTTGGCAGGAGTAGCAAAGCCAGCTTTGGGCGTGTCCGTATCGGCAGGTGTCCGCGGTGCAGACGATTCTAGGCTGGGGTGCGAAGGTCCAGTGGTGACACCTTCATCCTCATCGTCGCTTCCGTCATACTTTTTGAGCTTGCTGCCGAGCTCGTTCACAAGAACAGCTTGTTGCTTAGGATCGATAACAGGGCGCTTGTACTCGACAATTCTTGGCCGCTCATATACAACGCCATCATCATCTTCCATCTCTAATCCTTCTTCAATGACTTCCTTATCGAGGCCCTCGCCATTAGTATTGATGGGCTTGCGAGGGATACGAGTTTGACGGCTGATGCTTCCCAAAACGCTATTGGTGAAGTCGCGAGGGGCGGCCGCGGCCTCGGCTTCTTCATCTTCCATTTCTTCACGCAGAGCGCGCAAACGATCAGAAGGCCCGGCAGCCTCACCCCATACCCTGCCTTCGAGCTTGTATTGTGTTTTCTGTCGCTCAAGCTGCATTTGCAGGCGCTCCATGAGGCGTTGACGGTCAAGAATGCCCGCCATTTGTTCAGGGTCGGTGCCGTTAATTCCGGCCGTAGCCCTAGGAACATTAGAAGTACCATCCTTGGCAGCGTTGGAGGCGGCAATGTCCTGGGCATCACGCAGCATGAGATACAGTTCTCTGGTCTCAAGCTCGTTTCGTTGCGCTTCCTTGGCACGGATCGTCTGCGCACCGTCCAGTTCGGCCTTGAGTCCTTCAGCCTGTCGTCTTTGAGCATCGATAAATCTACTCTGCTCGTCAAGCTGCTTTTGGAGCTTCGCGACAAGTCCGTCTGCACCCAGTTCCAATCGCGCGCGCATCTCGTCACGCTCAGCCATGGCGGCCTCTGCGATTTGACGGGATTCCAGAGACTCGTCCTGAGCTTGTCTGGCCTCTGAATCAGTGTGTAGCTTGTCGAGCAAGCTTTGGACAGTAAAGTTGAGACTCTGCTTCAGGTCCATGTTAGGCAGTCTTCTGTCCATAGCGACATAGCTCAGCATGGCGTCCACGAGCTGAAACATGCGTAGGCGTTCTTCGCCATCATTGGAGCGCATCAGCAGCAAATGCTGAAGAGCCGAAACAAAATAATCGTTGGTCCGACTGCCCTGTAGACGCTGGTGGATGGCGTCGGCAATCTGCACGGGGTCATTCAGATCCTTGACCTCGCCTTCGATACTGTCCTTGATGCTGCTATTTTCACGCTCAAGCATATCCTCGTAGTCAATGGCTTCGTTGGTGCGGAAGCGCTCAATCTGCTTGTCCAGGAGCTCGTATTGGAAAGCTTCCATCTTGCTCAGGATGCGCTTGATGCCACATCCTGTAAATTGGGCGCGGATGTGCATTCGCAATTGCAGGTCCTTTTCCGGAGCATCAATCATCATGTTTATCAATATGACGGACGCAACGGAGTATTCCATGAGTAGGTTTTCCATGCCAACACCACCAGTACGAATATCATCGCTTGCGCCAACCATGCTACCCATCTTGCCACGACCGTCGACAGTCGCCTCAACCAGGCGCATCCAATCATCGAATCGTCCATTTGCGCCAGTCTGGGCCTTGACCTCGTCAAGGGCTTGTATGACTTTGTAGTGGCCTTCGCCATTGTCACCCCAGGTACAGAGGAAAGTGAGAATTTCAGAGACGAGCTTTCTCGTGGTCAAACGGGGCGATACAAGCGATGTGCCAAGTGCCAGAAGCACCTTTTGCTGCATGAGCGCATCATCTGCGCCGAATTTATTGTTCATAAGTGTCTTGAGACACTTGATGATATCATATTCGCGGTCGAGCCCCTTCTCAACCCTGGAGCTCTCACTCGGCGGCGCGTTGGCGATCTTGCGGTTGATTTTGAGCAGCAGAGTGACGAGGGCAACTTGACCTTGGCACTCGACAAAGCGACGGACCCAGCCAATCTGCTGCGTGCGGAGGTTTACTTCCAGACTGCCCATGCCCTTGCCGTCTAGTTTGTCTTCCATGACTCTTCGTACGTACCATTCGGGCGTCCCCTCCTCGTCAGAGTAGGTGGTAACGTCTGGCTGGGCAAACTGACTGACACGAGCTGTCATGCGACGCTTCTGCTCGCCCTGCCACTCGGCCAATCGGTCTTGGTGTAGTAGCGTCCACTTCTTGTCGGGTTTGTAGGCCATCATTTGTCGTCTAGCCTGCTCGGGCAGATTGTGCCAGCCTCGCCTGTGCATAAGCTGGGCAAACATTTGTTCGATGACATTGTCGTCGTCAGGCTTCGGAAAGTGAAAAGTATCGTGTGCGCCGTGGCCGGAAAGCTTGGTATGACGGTGGGATTCTCGGTGAGGTATACTGTAGGAGCTGAGGGAGGATGCGCTCGGTTGGACTGGGCAAGTTGGTTAGCGCCAATATAGCTGGAAGCAGTGACGAACATACCTGAGTAGGCGCTGGCGTCAGAAACACGGTTGTTGGACGAGAGCAGTGAATCATATCGAGACGTGTGAGATCCATTCGCTGTACTAGCGACGCTGCCGCGGGAAGGGCCCCATTGCTGGAACTGCGCGACCCTACCAGTGCTCGCCATGGTCACGTTGCTTGCGGGTGGTAGCATTTTGGAGGTGTGCGAGCCAGCATTGCCGATGGAGGGGTCAAAGGTTGGGTATTGGTGGAAGTCGTGACCCTTATTCAGCTGGTGAGGCAAAGGTTCTCTACGGACGGGTATTTGGTCAGCTTTGGGGAGGTATTCGACGGGTATAGGCGAGCGCGAGCCGGGAGCGGTGGCATCGTACGCGATGGAGGTAATGGCGCCTGGCATGATGCCCATGCTGGGATCGGATGAGGCGAGTCCATCGATGGAAACAGCCGATGAGTCGCGGTTATGGCGGGAGGAGCGAGAGCTTATAGTACTGAGAGCATCATATGATTCGGTATCGGCGGCGCGCTTCTCTTTGTTCTTGCTGCGGGAGAAGATGGAGCGTCCACCAGACGACTGCCTCGTCTTGTCAGACATGTTGAATTGGTATTATACAAGGCGGTTGATTTTCGTAATCAGAAACGCGTAGAAGCGACAGAATGCAGGCCTTGGGCCGCTCGCATGATGCTGACGGGAAGGGTCGTTTCGTATCGTCGCAGAGGGGAAGACGTCAACTGCGGGAAGCGGACCAAGCCGTGCTTGCAGTGCTGTGCCGTCTCGTGGTTGGTGTTACGTGAGGCTCGATGCCTGGTGTATCGTTGTTGGCCCGCGATCCCTGGCGCTCAGAGTATTGCAGCGGGACAGCAGGCTGGTAGAATTCAAGATGTGTTTGGTGTCGAGTCAGACAATGTGCAGTTTGGACATGGGAAGAGGTTGAGGCGTGGGCTTGTGGCCGGCGCGTGGGCAAAAGGGGACGGAGGCCAGGGCAGGCCAACTGATGTGGCTAGTGCGCTAACGTTAGGTGGTGGTGTGGTGTGTGGTGGGGGAGTCGGGGGCAGTTTGTAGGGACGGTCAGGGGACACGCTGCCGATTACCTGCAGACGCAGAGAATGACTAGCAGCGTACGACCAGGATTCGATGGAATATAGGAGAAACAAGACAATAGGTAGACAGGCTCGAGACGATGATGGCGTGGAGTTAGGGCATAAGCATGACAATGTAAAGTGTGGTTGTTTGAGATGCAAGGCGTTGAGTGGCGCGCCGTTGTAGCGGCTTCACTGGCCCCGTGTTTGGTACCTGCGTTCTCGGCCTACCTTCCCAGGTGTCACTATTTCCAATTTCCAACCAAGTCGGCCAACAACTTGTTCAAGCCACGGCATGTTGAATAATATACCGTATGCGTCAACATATTGTCAATAACTTGTGCTATTATGATGACTAGTGCCGGCCAAGGGTTGCCCTGCACCGGACCCCCAACACCCCCTCTTCAGCCTGGCTGTCGTGGTATATTAGCGGCGATGGTGGAGGTTTTGCCGGCGTTACAGTGGCTACAGCGACCTTGCCCCTGATTTCCCAGCCTGGCGCTCCGTCTTGTTTGGGTTAGCCGCCCTCTTGGCTTCTCAGCACCTCGGGAACTCAGGAGTTGTGAAGCATGAACTGCCATCAGGAACCGATATCCCAAAAGGATCTAGCCTATGCCTATGCTAGATGTCATTTCATATCCAAGCCTGAGTCACCACTTCTATCAGCATTGTAATAGTGCTCTCTGTTGGAGGTATGCGCTTCCGTCGCTCCCGATCGTCCTCCAATACAAGCTCCCATCGTCCTCCAATACAAGCTCCCATCGACCTGCATCAGCTCGACGCAGCAGCTCAGTCTAAGACCCCTGCGTTTTATATTCCGCTGCATCTGCCAGTCCATTTTAGCTGCCATTTCTATCAAGCGCAGCATTATCCGTCTGTCGGAAATGTCCGAAACGAATCCGTACACTGTCATGTTACAGGGTTCGGCGCACGGTTCTCCATAAGGTAGACAGACGTCAAACATCAAACACTAACCCCTCGCCGTCAATGCAGCACTGGCACAGTATCGATTCTAGCCAGTACCGCTTCGGCAGATGGCGGGGTGGTTATGCAACTCGCCGTAATATTGGTCTCGGCCTACCGGCTGGTACTTGGATGCAACGTCAAACTCGAGGCCCGCCAACTATGTAGACGCCGCGCGCCAGATAAAGAATGACCAGAATATGGCATATAATGGAGGAGCTCATGGCGACTGGTTTGAAATGAACCGTGGATGTATCAGAAAATACGTCTGAAATAATCACTTTCGGCTCTTCTGTTTATGTCAAGTCTGAGATTCGGTCCAAGCGAAAACGTCGCAATGTCGAATCAACGAAACATTCGACATTCTATGTGCTCAACCATAATTAGTCCTGACCTTGAAAAGGAATTGCGCTGTTCTGAGCTCAGAAGCCGAGCACTCTATCTTCACTGCCCTATCTGCCGCAATTTAGTGCATGTCTTCTAAATGGCACTGCAATACCCAGCCGCAGTGAGAATGAATTGGGATAGATATTTTGGCATACGATGTTTGCAACTATTCTACGCTCCCCTACATTCTTTTGAAAATTCGACTGCGACGTGAGGCAGACGGCGACAAGATTGTATACTCACCAGCGACCACTTAGAAGGTGGCGGCAGACGTGTTAGTTTTTAGCGCTTGGAAGCGGCAGTGGCAAAAAGCTTTGCAAAGCTGTTGTCAGATATTATGTGGATGAGTGCGGAGCACAATGTATTGTTCAAATTGTATACTTCTTGTCAAGCTCACGTCTTGCTTTTGTACAAGTTTCGGCGGACGATCCAGTTTGTTTGAGGGTGCTTTTCGAGCTAGTCACTGCCACAAGGTGTAATATGTTTCCCCTACAGAAAGTCCGCTGTCAATAATTGCAGTGGTTGGTCCGGTCACTAAGACTCAAAAGTCAAAGCCAGAAAGGGGAACTAGATTAAGTATAAGCAAGATAAGTGAATAAGTAAAAAAAAGGATGGTAAAAATAAGGAAAATTAAAAAGAGAAAGAAGTTGATAAATAGTAAGAAAATAGTAAGAATAAGGAAGAGGTTAGCGTTCCTAACTGGCGGGTTATTTTGCCCCCCTGGTGATTACATACCTTAGTAGGTACCTTGGGCACGTCATCCGCGACAGGGGTTTTAATGTGATTGCTCCGCCGAACAAGCGCCTGTACCGCCCCTTCATCATCCTCTCGATTTCATCCACACAGTTTCCACCGCATCATCCCCCCGCTACAGCCATCCAAAGTCTCTTCCCACAACTGTGTGGGCTGCTTCTGCTGCGTCCGCCCGTGTAGAGTCGCCACCATCATGGGCGCCGCCCTGTCCGGCATCAAGGTTCGTTCGCGGGCTCGTCTATTCTTAACCCTCTGCCCAAAAACTAACACGAAGCCTCTCTCCCCTGCCAGGTGCTCATCGTCCCCGCCACCATCTCCCTCGCGCTCTTCCTCCTCGTCACCTTTGCCGTGCTGCCGCTCTGGCGACGTTACCGCAACCGCTACAGCCAGTACCTGCCGCTCGGCTCGCTCGGCTCGGCGGAGTCGCTGCGAGACCGCATCGCGGGCCGCCTGGCCGCTCTCACGCTACCGTCGACGTGGCGGCGGGATAGGGGCCGCTTCGCGGCTGGAACGGCCGACGAGGGGGAGGCAGACACGGGCGAGGAGCTGGGCCGCGTCGGGACGGGCGCTACCGCTGGGCGCACGACGACGGGCTTCGTGCTGAGTAGTGTGCGGCTAAGTAGAGAGTAAGTCTCTTCTGCCATCACGCGTGGCCATCCCATGATGCTGTAGTCAAAACCCCGGAGGCTAATTGATTCCAGCCTAGAAGAAGGCTTCATAGACGACACAGACGATAGCGGCGATGACAGCGACTCTTACTGAACAAAGGCCCAAGGGACTTGCTTGGTTGTATACTTAATAGCATTCGCATGGCGTTCACGAAATTCACGAGACCTATTCTGTTCGAACCAATACCGACCAATACTGTACATCGCTGTCTTGATATCCGCTGACAATGTATCAAAAACCATAAACACGCCCCCGTTGGTAGGTAAAATCACGCCACAGTGGCAGTTCTGAATCTTCCCGTCCTCATTGATCATGTATTCGTGTCAACCTACAACGGCTCCGAGGCATGGAGTGTCTCGTCGGTCTGGACCGTCATTGACCTCGACAGTTCCTCCACCTTGTCCTGCTTGTCCTCCTCCACCTCGGTGCCGCGTCTCGTCGACCCTCCCCAAAAGCTATCCGTTTCATCCGCCAAGTTGAGCACCAACCCGGATCTCTTCTCCCAGGACACGTTCGCGTTCCGCTGCGGCCTCTGGCGGACGGGCGGTGGCTCAATGTCCTTCTCCCCATCTCCGTCGCCACCCAGCGGCACCGACGACACCGGGTTGCATCGCAAGGGATCTTCGTGCGAGCGGCCGTACATCAAGATGCTTGTGCGTCCGTCTTCGCTCTGCGTGGCATTATTGGGCGCGTCCGTGTTGGCTGTCGATTGTGTCGTCTTGGACGCTGCGGACTGGCGAGCGGCTTCGCGTGGCCGGGACGGCGGCGCGCCAGGGTGACGGCTGCGACGAGCACGCGAAAGAGAACAGCCCATTTTTATCGTGGCTGTTTGGGGGCGGTACTGCAGACTATATGTACCGAGTGGTGACTCGGTGACGGCATCAAACTTTGCGCGGCGTCGAACCAATAGCCTAGTGACAATCTGGCGTGTGATTTATGCCTAGTTGAGGAGGGGTCATGCTACCAGACCTGGACTGAACAAATAATGATGGCCTCTTCAGTATTGGAGAGGGTAAACTTTTTGCGGCTTACTTATGCATTGTCAAAGGAAAGTAATAGCGAGGCGCTGAAAGTCGGACTTGCTTCATCGTGGCTTGCACCTACTCTGTCGAGGAGCCGTCTCCCACCAAAGCTACCAAAAGAACTACTATGTAGAGGTAAGCTACTATGTACACTTAAGTGAGCTAACATATGAACTCAAGTCTAGCATGAAAAACAGCCAAGGTCGTTCATTAGACTTCAAAAGTCGTGTGGGCTAAAGATGGCGAATTCAGAGGGCTTGCCACATTGGCCGCCTGCCAATGGCACGTGGCAGAATGCTCACGTCGTTGGAGGAGAATTCAATCTGATTTATTTTTTCTTGCCTAATAAATAGAAAGTTACTGCAATTTTCTTCCTCTGCCACACTCCGACCATTTTCCGTCGCTTCTACTTTCACCAAGTGGGCAGCCCATACTGTCCCCGTCATCACTCTGCTCTTCCAAGACTCACACACACACGCACAGTCTTTTCTCTCTTTTTGCTGCCACGCAAGACCGACACCATGAAGGGGCTTCTTCTGGTCTTCGTCGCCCTGGCCAGCGCCGTCTCCGGGGACAAAGGCAACTCCACGGGCAAGAAGATGGAGTGGGAAACGGCCGTCTACCGCGACTACATCCCCAACAAGAACCACCCGTGCCTCAATCCTCGGGACTGCCAGATGAAGTGCGCGAACGGCAGCTACGTCCGCACCCAGATCGAGGGGTCGGGAATCAACCAGCTCCGCTGCACCGGCGCCAACAGCGACTACTCGTACCTTGCGGGCCTTTGCCGCCTCGAGTTTGGCGGCGGCATCTTTTTCAAACAGCACAGGCTGGCGTGCGAGCACGTCAATGGCCTCTACTGCCTACCAACTGATCCCAAACAGGTCAAGAAGAACACGTACCTTCGCTGCATCTTTGATCGCGCCGACTATGCCGAGTGGAAGGCAGTTTGCGAGCAAGGCGGGGGACTGAATGGAGGGGTCGTTGCTCCGGACAAGAAGGACATCCCCTGGAACTGCTCACCGGACTACATGGACTAATTCAGGGCCGGCCCTGTCGGGTGTTGAATTTAAATTTGAACAAGATGTAGCTTGGCGTATGGCGTTGATAGGTCTTAGTTAGCTACTTGGGATTTGAATTTGCTGTTTTTCTTGGGCCTTTTTGCTGCGATGTGAGAAGAATGATATTAAAACGTGGATACGTTCTGGCTTACTAATGATAACAAAAATAACAAAAATAATAAACTATCAAAAATAACAAAAATAACAAAAATAACAAAAATAACAACAACCAATTACCCAAAAGACTCCTATTTCAACCCCTTAAAGATGTCATAATTCAAGATCAAATTCACCAGCTGAAAACCCTAGAAGACTGGATCGGCCGCCAGCTCCGTGTCGTTCCACGCCTGGTTCTTCTGGTACTTGGGCGGAATATGTCGGCCGCCAGGGCACTCGTCGCGGCGAAGATCGGGATAGTCAATTACGGCCGACCATCTCTTTATGCCCCGTCTGCATTTCTCCTCGAACAGGGGCAGGGCCGCCATCTCGGCGAGGCACACCGCCGAGTCGACTGCTCGGTCGTCGTAGGCGCATATCGTCCCGTTGACGATGCTACACCTATCCTTTGTCTCGGTACGTTTGGGCCCGACCGTCTGGAGGCACACCATGCCGCCCCAGCGGAAGTCGTGGTGCGTCCCGTTGCAGAAGAGCTGCGAGGGCAGCGGCGGCAGCGGCGGCAGCGGCGGCTTCGGCTGCTTCGGCTGCTTCGGCTGCTTCAGATAAAACGCGCCGTCTTCGCACTTGATGTTGCAGTTCTCGGGCGTCCCGCATGGGTGCTGCGTGCGCTTCTGCATGGGCTTGGCCCAGACGGCGACGGCGGTGCAGAGGAGCATCGCGAGGATGCGGCCGAGCTGCATGGTTGCGTGTGAGGAAGGTGTGCTTGTGTGAGATGCCGAGGGCGGCGGCTGCGTTGGGTTGTCTGCTTGTGGTAGAAGATATTTCGTAAATATGGTTGTATTAGAGGAAGAGGAGAGACAATAATATATTAGAAGGGCCGAGTGTTATATATAGTAAATTAGAGCAAAACATGGAACTTGGGGCGAAGCTGCCACATATCTGTCGTTGACGCTTCTGGGAAACCTTGACTGCCACTATTAGATATTATTCTAGTGACTATTTAAAATGATACTTTTCTACTCGACGCTAAGATCTATCTAATGGTTGCAGCCCTAGGTACTCGAAAGGCTAATTAGTGAACTTGAATAAATAAATACATAAATGCTGGCAAGGTACATAATTATAATTGCACAAGCAACCAACCAGTCCAACTTGTATTTTTTTTCTCAAGACACCGCGGCAGTAGAAGGAAGGATCGTTCAAAGGATCAAGAACGAGCCATTTAAAATACAGCCCGGACTCATAACTATCACGCAATGTAGTGAGATATCATATATAACAGTTGATTGAAGGAGGAAAGAAGCTGCCTAGCCTAGGGGGCGAGGGGTCCCCGTTTGACCTGTTCTCTATTCTCGAGGTGCGCTGCCCCGCCAAAATCTACACGCGCTATTCACTTGCTCACATCACCTCTTTTCTTTGCCTATTCAACGTCATGTCCACAACACCAATCATTCGTCATGCGCTTTCGAACAGAACTAAAAAATATCAAGACATTTTCAAGTACACAGCCTATCCGCCATCATCAAGCAGTTCATCTTTGCTAATACCCCCCCGTCAGAACTCACCGCGGCGCTCTCTTCGCTCGAGAAAATCGCCTGGGTGCGTCTTAGTGATGAGACGGCACGCTTCACCGTGATTCCCGACATGGGATCCCAGGTCTGGGCGTACGTGCTCCCATCCATCAGTGTTACATCGACTTACATCCAAATGGCATCCATCAGTGCCCGCTGACACGACTACCCGCAGCTCCCTCTCCATGGACTTCATCTTTGAAAACTACCACATCCAGTCCGCCGAAGCCTCCAACACCATCAACCTCGAGCTTCCGCTGCAGCCGCTGCAGCGCGCCCTCAAATCGGCCCTCAACAGCATCTCCGCGTCCCTGCGGCTCACCAAAAAGGACGGCCTGCCCGTGCTCTCCCTCACAATCACCACCACCACCACCGCCACCAGCGCAAACGCCGCCGCCCTGGGCCATCACGCCACCACCACCGACGACAATGACCCCTTTGCCACGGCGCGCGGGGCCGACGAGGACGATCTCTTCCACGCCGAGCACCTCGAGACGTCTCTGCGGCGGGAGCACGAGAAGATCATCACGCAGGACATTCCCGTGCGCGTGCTGCACCCCGAAACCGTCGAGACCATTATGCAGCCCAAGGTGCGCGAACCCGACGTGCACATCCAACTCCCGCCCCTGCTCCAGCTCAAGGCCATCTCGGACCGCTTCACCAAGCTCGCCCAGACCACCACCGCTTCGGCGGGCACCACCACCGCCGGCGGCAAGGCGCCCAAGCTCGAGCTCAGCGCCAACATGCACGGCGGCTTGCGCCTGCGCATCGCCACCGACACGACCGACATCGCGAGCGTCTGGTCCGGTCTCGAGAACCCGGAGCTCGACCCCGCGCAGCTCGACCGGCCCCTCGCGGACCACCCCAGCACGCGCTTCCGCGATGACGGGCCCGAGCGCTGGGCCACGGTCCGCGTCGACGGCAAGGACTGGAGCCGCGTCCTGAGTGTTGGTCGGCTCGAGGGTCGTGTCATTGCGTGCTTTGCCGATGACCACGCGCTGATTCTGTACGTCTACGTACCGCAGTACGATGACGCGTCCGCGGAAGACTCAGTAGTAACGGTACGTAGGCCAGCTACGAGCAAACATCAATGCAGGATACTAACAAAAAGTGCCACAGTATTATGTCCAGTCATATAGCGCGTAATGAATAATCCATATCCAAGGCAACGGCCAGAAATAATGAAGGAAATACATGTGTAGAAAATCTCTATAATACAACGCACTCTATTATGATACACAAGTAAAAGAACAGCACACGAGACAAGACAAAATCTGCCCCCCCCCCAGCATGTAAAACGCCGTACAATGTACAGAAAAGAGTGCAGCTCTTATTAGGAAATGCCGCGACTCCTGAGCTTCATGTCATGCTACTTGATAATTATTAGTCCAATAGTAATTTTCCATCGTCATCCCTCCTTTCGTTGCTTCATGCCTTCGTTTCCCGCAACGTCCATGTACTTTGTTTTCTATTTCGCCATGACGTCCACGTAGCGGCCAGTCTTGCGAGGCTTCTTCCCAGATGCCTTGCGAGGTCCAACAGCACCGAGAAGATCATCAATGCTGCTGGCATTGCTGATGCTCGTGGCTGGACGGGTAGGAGGTCCGCTCGGCGGCGTGAAAACGTCTCCAGTGCTGGCATTGGAATCGGAGCGCATCATGGGAGGCGGCGCACTGATCCCCAAGCCGCTGGGAGGAGGCATTGTGCCTGCCTTGAGATTGGAGGTTGACGCTGATCGTAGCAGGCTGCCAACAGGCGGGCCGCTGGGCGGGGGAGTACCACTGACAGAGCGAGGGGCACCACCTCTAGGCGGAGGCGCCGACGCTTTGGGGGCCTCTGTCTGCTCAGCACCAGCCTTCTTGTTGATCCACCGCTTCAGGTCAGGATCATACACGAAGCTGTTGGATTCTCCTAGCTTAGCCCTGATAGCCTTTGCGGGCGACGCTTCGCCGCTTCCAAGGTCTGCTTTTTTAGTTGCGCCAAACCAACCGCCAAAGCCCCAACCCCCGGATTTCTTGCCTGCGGCAGCTTCTGCGGCTCGCTTGGCTTCTTCCTCGGCAACCTTCCTGAACATTTCTTGGTTTTCACGGTCCAGATCAGCCTTAGTATTGCTGTCTGCCGGCCTCAGGGTGGGGATTTCGTCCTGGTCATCGTCCATGAAGTTCTTCTTTGGCTTGGGCACGTCTTCTTCGGCATCATACGTCAAGTCAGGCTGGTACGAGGGAGGCTCATAGCCATAAGACTGCGTTGAGGATGGTTCGTATGCCTGGAACTGTCCGGAAGGAGTTTCGTGACCTTGCGGATCGGCTGATGGCGGCTCGTAGCTTTGAGAGGGTGTGGAAGATGGCTCGTATCCGTATGCCTGCATCGACGGCGGCTCAAATTCGTAACTCTGTGTCGATGGTGGCTGATACCCAACTTCGGCAGTATCATTAGTATTGAGATTCTCAGTCTTGGCAGGCTGGGCCGGCTCATAGCCGCCAGTTGGTTGGTATCCCTGGTAGCCATAATTGGGATTCGGGTTGAGATCGGCAGTGATGCTAGGTGAAGGTTGTAGACCGTAGGGTTGAGTGGCAATATTCGATACATGTGGCTGATATGGCGACACTCCGGGTTGGCTAGGCGGATGTAACAACTCGGGCGCGCTCTGGTTAAAGCCAGGATATCCTGTGTTGACACCGCTAGCGCCAGGATAGCTAGGCTCGTAAGGGCTACGAGTGTGTTCGTTCGACGAACGACCATTCGTCTGCTGCTGCGCAGGGGCTGGCTGTTGTGAGACAAACTCATATGGGTTCTGGGTCATGGTGGCAGCAGGGGTCGTGGCTGGGGCATATCGAGAGTTGGCAGCTGAGGCTTGTGGCGGCAGGGCCGGTGCACCGTAGCTAGGTGAGGTTCCATAAGTCTCAAAGTTTGAGATAGATGGTGAACGGCTGATATTCGGAGTAGATGCGATGCGAGCAAATGGGCCATGCTCGCCATCGGCACCCGGTTGTCCGTTGCCATCTTCGTCTCCAGCGACAAACTTGTTGAACCTATTCCACATACTATCAGAAACTTTGTTCATGCTTGGCTTGGACATCCAGCTTGTTCCATCGTCCTTTGGAGCCTGTTTAAGACGTCTCATAAAATCGTCGACAGAGGCCTCGAGGAGAGGGTGGTGGTACGGCGAGCGACGGGTTTGGGCGCTCATTGAGTTGAGGATAGCGTCACAATACTGCAGGGCCTTGTCACGGTAACCATGTTCGGCAAGCACTGTCGCATGCTGAAGTTTGTACCCAGCCAAATGGGGTGCACCAGCAGCGAGATTGGCCGCTCCAGACAGTGTCAACCCATACTCGTAAACCTCACTCAGCTGCAATGCCTCCGTTTCTTTGGCAAATTGGTCTGACTGAGTGTGATGGTCTGCGCCAACCAGGACGAAATCGGCATTGGGGTCGTCAATGCCACCAAAGACGGAGATGGACCTGCTGAAAATAAAACAGATTTGAGCCGCTTCCGCCCGACCATAACCGGAGAGAAGTTTCCCGAGCGCGTTCAAGCCACGGACATCGTTTTCACTTCGGTTGCTGAGCACCAAAGATACAGTTTCCCGCCAATTTTCCAAACCACTCAGAACATCTTGAGTTGCTCCTATACCCACTTCGGTGGACATGAGCTGCATGCCAGCGCGAGCGTGGACAGGAACCAACTCATCAACACAATCTTCAAAGTTCCCAGAGAGGACTTTGTAAAAGGCACCGAGAGATTGGTTACTGTGACCCGGATAGTTGACTTCCTTTCGAACGAATTCTTGTGCCACCCGGCCGTAGAGCTCGGGCGAGGTTGTATGAGCGATGAGCATAGCATGCCCCCAGAGGCGCTTGTCGACAGCTGCCCAGACAGCCGATTCACGGTCACCCTTGAGTAAACTGTCTTTAATGCTCTCCACAGAGGCGGAGTCAACATCATCCGCTTTCATGCCAGTGAGTGCGGCCAACTGGCCGACGCTCGAGCCAATAGGCAGCGAGGAGTCTACAGTTCCTTGTGGAGATAAAACCTCCCGGACTGCCTTTTCAACTGCGGGAGTGCCTTCCAAATGCCCATCAAACTCAATAAAAACTCGGAGAATCCTCCATAATAGAAGTCGCTCGATAGATCTCTTTGCTTCCAACGACAGCTGGGGCGTCAGAGATACGTCAGGCAGTTCTCGTTCCAATGCAGTTATTCCAGACGACAGCCAAGCTAAAGCGTCCTTCTTCTTTGACTTGCCTCGCAGGGGGCCTGGAAATTGGGCAAGCTGCTGGGGTAGGGGCTCAATCTCCTTCATGCTCTTGACTTTGACCTCTCCAGGGGTCCTCAACATCGTTGGCGCAGATTGGTTCATGGTGTATCGTGGTGTACTCTTGGGGAACGAAGTCACCATAGCACCACCAACACCCCAGGAGATGATGGGGACACCTTGCCAGCGTTGTAGTGGGTCGTGCTCACGGCCATCAGTAGGAGGAACCAGATTCAGAGTAAGGGACGCTCCGCGGCCACGTACAGGCATTGTCGTTGCCGGCTGCGCAGCTTGGCCAAAGCTTGGGGCCGCATTCGTATGGGCAGAAGTCGGGCGGGCTTGTTGGAAACTGCTTCGAGTAGCGCCAGGAGACTGCGTCTGGGCTCTCATGGGAGGAGCAAAGTGAGGCTGGTGTAACGCAGATTGGGGCAGGTAGTTGCTAGTGATACGCTTCTCCGGTGATGCGAGCAGGCTATTTGGTGCACCTGGGGTCTGTTGAGGAGCAGGGCTGTACTGGGCACCAGCAGGTGGCTGTTGGAAAGCCCCAGCCTGGGTCATGGCCTGGGTCTCCTCCTCTTCATCTACTTCGCGAGTTGACGGAAGAGATGACATGCGATTCAGCCTCGGCTCATGTGCATAGCTAGCACGTCTGTCAAGGTGGCCAGCATCACCACCTGTAGTAGACTTGTCGTGGTGGATCTCGAACTGAGCCAACGGGCTGGAGGTTCTAGGCAAGTGTGGAAGATACGTCTGGGACGCGGATGCAGTAGCATTATGGGTCGGTGAGGTGTTTTGGCGTGGCAATGGAGGTGCGGGAGAAAAGCGGTTTGGTGCCGCAGGTGGAGGAGCTGAACTTCCTTTGTGTTGCTGGGCGGGAGCAGGTGAGTATCTGGTAGCATTGGTAGCAGGCGCAGAGGGTGGTGCAGATCCCCCTTGCAAGGTGGCATATGGGTTCACCTTTGGTGGTGTGACCAGGTTTGCTACAGAATTCTCAGGGGCGGCAGGTCGCTCTATTGGCGGATGCTGGTACTGCTGGTTCATGGCAGGTGGCGGAGGTACAACGGGGGTAATCCGGCTGGGGTTGCCATACTGTTTGCTAGGCGAGGCAGCGCGGAGGCTCTGGCGCGAGGCCGGGCGGGGTTTTGCCGTCATCGGCAGATCTTCAAAGAAGCTGCCCTGTCGGCTTGCGGATCTAGAAGTCGGAGCCTGAGCGGGAGGAGCCGATGACACAGACCCGGGAGGCGGCGCATACGCATTCGCTGCGTGCGGCGGGGCCGATGAGGGTGGAGGAGTCGGTTCTTGAGCAGGACTCGGCAAGCTTGGTCTCTTCCGGGGCTTAACATTCATAGTGACGAGATCATTGGGTAGATCATACGGTGAAGCGTACCCGCCCTTGGCCTTGTCCGCAAAGCTCTCAGCTTTGGGAGCATCTGCCCGCGGTAGTGCAGCTGGGGCATAGCCAAAAGCGGCGCCGTAAGGTGTTTGCTGCGGAGGCTGCGCGGCATAGCCGTACGAAGTTGCTGGCGAGGAAACAGGTTTGGGGGGTGTCGGGACCTGACTTGGCAGATACGGCATAGGTGCTGGGGCATTTGTTGTGGTGGCAGCCGGCGCATCCTCATCGTCATCCAGTAGGAAGCCTTCATCATCGCTTCCCAAGAAACCAGCAGGGTCAAACGCCTCGCCATTGTTTTCGGTGTCATCCAGAAGAAAATCGTCGTCGTCCCCAGCTCCAAATGCTTCTTGCCACTTTGCAGATAGATCAGCAGGGGCTTTGGCGGCAATAGTCTGGCTTTCGTCTTTGGGCTTTGAGCCGAAGGCGTCTGCAAGAGCCTTGGCATAGTGATCCTCGTCGGCGTGCTCATCCAGTGTATCAAATGCGGGCTGCTGTGTGATCGGTTCTCTGTCCAGGGTGTTTCCAATGACCTGCAGAGTAGACTTGCGCTGAATTGGCTGCATCAAATCCTCAGCAGTGGCTTTGCCATGTTGGACATTGGAAAAAAAATCATCGCCAGCGTCATCTTCTTCAAAGGAGTTGAAAGGATTTCTTCCCGACTGTTCGACGGCCGGAATCAGAGGGAGGCCTTCCTCAAAACGAGACTGAGAGGCTTCCGTAGCAGCATCCCCGATGTCGCCGCCAATTGTCTGGAAAGACTCGTGCGCATTGCCTTCTGGGTCGTCATTCTCCCAAAACATATTTTGTTCCTCCGTGTCATCCTGAGCAAAAGCGTTCTTCTCGGCCTCTTCGACAACGTCGAGAGCTTGAGAAGAAGGTAGCGGGTGCGCAGGGAAAAGGTCCCGCGTAGGCTGTGCCGGCGGAACAGCGGGGAAGGAATTCGTTCGGTCTGTTGGCGCCATAAACTTGAATTGGTCGGTATTGGATCGGGGCAGCGTCCAATCACTCTCGTCATCGTCGTTGAAGCTGATTTCGTGAGAGACGGTTCGGGCGAAAGACATGGAGCTTGAATGCTGAGAGAGTTGGTGTGAAGGCTGTGTATCCTGTCCATCTGGCACTGATTCTCTGGCTGTCTCGGCTTCGGACCTCGACTGTTCTTCGGCTTCTTGCGCTTGGTGCTCTTTAGTCTCTGAAGCTGTCGCGACCTCTGCCACTGGTTTGTGCTCTGGTTGCAAATCAGCAGGTTCGTTATATTCGGCCTTGGTAAGCTCAGTATCATTCGCTACTGGAGCCGGTGCGTTGTCGGGTTGTAAGGGTTCTTGGGCTGCCTTTTCCACAAACCAAGCATCGGCGTTTTCGTCTTCATTCGTGTCGAAGGGGTCGGTCGCAGTAGGCTTCCCCTGAAGCCCGTTCTCAACAGGGTTTTGTGATTGGTTCGGTTCTTTCGCTAAGTTGAATGTCGCGGGAGAAGTTGGCTCCAAGACTGGATCTTTAGGGGCCGCTTCGACGTCCATTGACTGCCTGGGGTGCCCCTCGGACTCTAGCCAAGCATCACCATCGTCTACTTGGCCATCCCCAGCCATCCAGCCATCCCCCAAGTCCGAGCTAGGCGCCACTTCGGGTATCGTGGGTTTCGCGGGCGTGTCGTGAGCGTCTGACGGTACTGGAGCGCTCTGATCCTGGTAGTTCGGCATTCTGGCAGGATGCCAGGATGGGTCCGGACCTCCTTCAGACATTTTTCTCGTCACTCGTAAACGAGGGAGGTGCTCAGAAATGCATGGGGTATACTAAAAGGCCAGTTGTTAGCTACCTAGGTAGTCGCGTCAGGTCGTCAAGGCGCAATTCGAGGAGCGGGTTGCCACTCGAAAGTCACCAGCCAAGCGTGAGAAAATGGTGCCTGAGCGCAAGTGAGACAGGGTTCGTACTTGGAAATAATTAAAACAAGACTAATTTTGGTTGAAGAAGTGATCCCCGCGAGACGATGCAAAATAAGAAAGAAGAAAGCGTCGCTGGCTGAGAGGCGCAGGATCGTAGATGCAAGTTGGCAAGATGGAGAAAGGAGAACTGGCTTGTACTTGGTACCACCAGACAGTCCACTAGACCACTAGTAGGCGGCACCTAGTCGCTATGATAGGTGTGGTTCGCCCTTGTCGCATAGCATGTAACACCTGGCGGGACCGGACCGGAGCCACATTTTATGACTGCTAGCCCGTATCCTCGCCATCGGAGTAAGTAGCCTACCCTGCAGGCATTCTGTCGATTTTCGAGAGGACCGTTTTCTTGGCCTTTAAAACCAGATAGTATTTGTACTACTCTAGAGTGTCTAGGAAATGTATATAATCATAGTCGTCGTGTCTAGCAGTGTGTAACTAACAGGATTGAGCTGTCTTCGCCGACATAGTACTATCCCGCACCTGGATGATACCAGGTCCAGCAAGTGTGCAATGAGTAAGATCATTCGCTGACTCGAAAACGTTCCCGGTGGTCAAAGCAGCATGGCTGAAACCACCCATGACATTTTCGGAAAATGGGAAAGCTGCATCAAAGCTGATCTTGCCACCATCCCACTTGACGTTGCTAATCTCCATCGAGAAGGGCTTTGACTGACCAGTGGTGTAAGTCAGAAAAAGATCAGTGCCATTACCTCCGGCATACTTCATAGCCTGCTCAGACATGCTCAAATCGGCCGAAAAGGAAAGCATTTGATCCTTGGGCTCCAGCGCGGCTACTGCCTCGCCATTGACCATCATCGGTGGAAAGATGGGCAAGCCAATGTTGGCGAGCGGGTACGGGCACGACCCGGGCACGACGAACATTTGCAGGGCGGAAAATGCAAAGGCGGCCGGCACTGCCGTCAAGAATGGTGACTCTGAGGGCACTTCTTTTAGGACCGTGCGATAGTAACCGTTCTGCTCGCCTTCCTGACCAATGACGGACGAGATGAGTTGAATGGGGATGGTGACATTCTCTTGAGCGAATAAAACATTCGCGCCCTGGAGCGCACCGAGAACAACAGCTGTAAACGTCTCCGCAAGATTGACGGCTTGTGTCAAATTGGTGGTCGGGAACATGTACTTGCAAGCCGACGGAACAAAGGAGGTGTTGGCCGCCATAAGGGCCGCCTGGGCTGCGAGGACATGTATTTCCTCTTGCTACATAAGATGGGTGAGTATCCGGTTTTGAATGATCAAGAATATGGGCCACAAACAGCTCGCACGGTAGAGAAAATCTTGATCAACTCTTCCTTGTTCTCGGCTTCGTAGCCTTGCACTCCGCTCGTGATGTTCTGGAGGAGGGAGTCAAAGTAGGCTGTCTCGAACAATTCGTTGAAAGTAATGAGCTGGAACGCGGTCGTGCTCCCCGGTCCGAGCTCTTTAGGCAATGCCACATTGGGAAGTTTACCGCCGGCTTGCTTCTCCAGGGCAACTTGTTGGTCTTTGCTTGGCATGGGAAAGCCGTCGTTGCTAGGCACGGCAGCGGCGGTCACAAGACCAACGAGACCAAGAAGACTCAAAGATTTCATCGCAAGTATCATGTAGGTGAATTGGTATAAAAAAGTGTTATTCAATTCGAAGACGTGTGCGAGCTACGCTGCCGCATTTATATATCTAAAGGTAACCACTAATAACTCGAGCACTCCATCCAGCTCTTCCGGAGTATGACATCTGCACCGCAATGTTTCCATCATTGCCACCTCCCCACCCCGAATTAGGTAGCGGATTAGAATTCTTTCGAGGATTCGATTGTTTTATTTGTCTAACGGCAGTGACATGGCTATGACGTGCTCCATGGGACAGTGATTAGTCTCGTTGGCGATCTAGGTTAGATCGTTCTACCTAGACAAGGCTAGCGCTGCAATGCCATACCTGGGAAAGGCACAAATAACACCATGATCTGGGACGGACGATTCGTCCGATGATTGAAATATACTGCATTCATCACACCTAAGCTGTTTTCAGTCATTTAAAGTTGTGGGGGCGTCGCCAGCTAAGCGGCTCGAACGGAAGACTGCAGCGCCGGGACACCGTGGCAACAGATGGCCACGGAAATGGGCGAGTCTTGATTTGGAATTCCCCTGGGCGAGATTTCTTGTCTTGAGTTGGCCAATTTGGGACTGCGGTTGCATCATAGAGTTCCGTCCGGTAGCCATTGCAGACGCACTCATTGTCCTTTCCGACGCCGGCGGCATGAAATATACTCGCCGCAAAACTTCCGTGGTCAGCTCGGGATTGTCCGTTCAATTCTTGCATTTTTTTTTTGAGTTTTTGCGGTCGCTTTTTAGAGCCTCTTTGTGCCCGATGCCGGGGGACGTATCTCCGTGACAGTCTCGGCCGGGAGTAGAATTACACCCGCCTTGTCATAGCCAGGCGGCTCGCGAAAGGCAGACCATGTACATGAATCAGACGGTGCGCACCCGAAACGTGATTAGTGCAATTATTAGTTTTTTGCTCACCCTTAATTTTATTTATTCTTCCTTGTGCTGATAAGAATGCCCACAAGGAGAGCCTGGTTGGACGGCGGGAATGTCATTAGAAGTTGACGTTTTGTGTCGTCTAATCATCGTCTTGGTGCAGCTAAACAATACGCCGATACACCGACACACCTACAAAACCAAGACCAGTCTAGGGAAAAATACATACCACGTAAACTGACAACCTATCCAGGTGCAATGAAGTTTTTTTATACGTGCAATGGAGTTTCGGGCGTGTACTCCATAATGGAGATCTGGGAACTAGATCCGAATAACTAAGGGTAATCGGCCCCAGCGGGTAGAGCTACAACGCTGTTTGTAAATCTGATTGTTAATGAATCATAATGAGGCTGTCGGAAGGTGGTGAGGATATGCACACTCATAACTTGTGTGAAATATCGAGAGTGTCTGCCACCCTCTCCGGCGCTGAAATATGATGCATTAGCACGGGATTTCTCGACTTTTTGAGACTGCGTGAGCATCAACAATGCTAGCTGAGGTAATCCTTCTCAAGTTCATCGTAATTAGTCGGCGAAAAGCGTGTCCTCTTCCATAATGGCACATGTAACTAGAAACCGCGTAGATATTGATTGACTATCTGTAACTAGTGTTATGCGCGCGGCATTGTATGTATTCTACTGGCAAATAGCCCAAATAGGAACCATACGTCATACGTTGCAACATGAAAAAGTAAGAGTAGAGGAATGAAAGATAGAATAAAAATAAGAATATATACAATAGACATGAGATCGAACTTACTCTCTCACGCTGTTGGGCCATGCCCGCGCCACATTCTGCGCCACGTACTGTTTCGTGCTGCGCCACCTGTGCCTGCGCCATGGCCTGGACGCGTGCGTCGAGTACTGTGTACCCTCTGTACCCGCCCCCTGTTGAGGCTGACGTAGCTTTTGGCGACTTGGCCGCTTTGAAACTTGATAGCCTAGAGCTGCTTGGACCTTCATCTCGCCTTTTACATACCAACTCTTCCGGCGCCAAAACTCCCTCGATTTTCTCTGACCAGTTAAACTTACACGTCTTATAATGCACCTACGCGGCTGCTGCTGGGGCCCGTTGACTTGAACTACCGTGTGGCCACGTTCGAGCTAGCCATGATCAGCCGGCTCTATAGCGCCATCTAGAACTGATTTAGCCACGACACAACTTCCTGGCTCACACTTTCCGGCGGCATGCCTTCCTCACCCTCGTACCGTCATACCGAGCCGCCCGACTCTCCCACGCACGACTCCGACTCGGACCTCGACCTCGACCTCCAAGAGCTTGACCCCATCTCCACAGCGCCCACCCGAGGCTCCAAGCCCGAGCCGGCCGACCCGTCGCAAAAGCCGTCGAGGATCGCCCTCCGCAACCTGCGTATGGGCGGGCTGCGCAGAGCGGGCAAGCGACATCGCGCCTACGGGGAGCTTGGTCACAATCGCGATGCCGCCGACGAGGGCGACGATTCACAGCGCCTCCTGGGCGATCAAGACGATGCTCACGGCGGCGAGGATGGCGCGCCTCTTCTCGGCAGCCGCTCCAGGGACAACCTCGGGCGCAGACTGTCGCTAAGCTCTGTCCTCAGGGTGCCTAGCTTCATGTCCGGGACCAAGAGGGGTCCTGACGACGACGAGCTCCCGGAGGAAGATGACCCCTCGTCGTCACGAATTGTCACAGTCGGATCCGTGCAACCGGTGCGATATCCCACAAACATGGTTTCAAATGCCAAGTATACCGCTTGGTCGTTTCTTCCCGTCACATTATATAACGAATTCTCTTTCTTCTTCAACATGTACTTCCTCCTCGTCGCCCTGTCGCAGATCATCCCCCCCCTGCGAATCGGCTATCTTTCTACTTATGTCGCGCCGTTGGCCTTTGTGCTCTGCATCACCATGGGAAAGGAAGCCTGGGACGATATCGATCGACGCCGACGCGACAACGAAGCCAACTCGGAGCAATACACTATTCTTAAATTTGCGGACCCTTCGCCGGATCCCGGTCCGCGGCCTAAAAAACCTCTCAAGTCCGAAACAATGAAACGAGGGCCGAAAAAAGGCCGTAGCGAAAGAATAGAAAGGGCTGGATTGTCGGATATACAGGAAGACCCCGAATCAGAACCTAGAAAACCTTCCTCGGTGGTAATTGAAGTGAATCGAAAATCCAAGGATCTCGCTGTCGGCGACGTTCTTCGTTTGACCAAGGGACAACGTGTGCCGGCAGACGTTGTGATCTTGCAATGTTCAAACAGCGAGACCTTTGATACCAGCGATCCTGAGCAACAACCAGACCTAGACGATTTGGTCTCGTTGGATGACGAAACTGAGTCGAGCTCGAAGGGCAAGCAGCCAGCGGCAGAGAGACGGGACTCGGCAGCAACCAATGCCACTGGTGGCGAAACATTTATTAGAACAGATCAGCTAGACGGTGAGACTGACTGGAAGCTTCGACTTGCGTCCCCGCTCACGCAAAATATTCCACCCGAGGAGTTGGTCCGTCTGAGAGTCAATGGCGGAAAGCCTGATAAAAAGGTCAACGAGTTCCTGGGAACTGTTGAACTGCTGCCGTCTCGCGAAGAGGCTGCTCAGCAGCAGGCGTCTCTCAACCAGGAAGATGCATCTGTTACGACGGCTCCCCTATCCATTGATAACACAGCATGGGCGAATACAGTAATTGCCTCCCAAGGAAGCACGCTGGCTGTGATTATGTACACCGGCCCCCATACCCGATCCGCGCTATCTACCTCACCATCTCGCTCCAAGACTGGTCTTCTCGAATACGAAATCAACTCGCTGACTAAGATCCTCTGTGCGTTGACTCTTGCCCTTTCCATCGTGCTTGTCGCACTGGAGGGCTTCGAGAACAGGCCTGGAAAGCCATGGTACATCCAAGTTATGCGCTTTCTGGTACTTTTCTCGACTATTGTACCAATTAGCTTGCGTGTCAACCTCGATATGGGAAAGACTGCTTACGGCCGCTTCATTCAGAGGGACCCCGGTATTCCAGGCGCTGTTGTCCGTACGAGCACCATTCCGGAAGATCTTGGTCGCATTGAATATCTTCTAAGTGATAAGACGGGAACTTTGACACAGAATGACATGGAAATGAAAAAGATCCACATTGGAACAGTGTCTTACGCCAATGAAGCGATGGATGAAGTCAACTCTTACGTTCGCCAGGGTTTTTATATCCAGCCTACGACAGACCCTGCCACACAAACCATGCTGATTACTCCATCGTCCACGTACGTCAACACTGTCGCTGTCGGCGCCACCCGAACAAGGAGAGAGATTGGTACCAGAGTCCGCGATGTTGTCTTGGCGCTGGCGCTGTGCCACAATGTCACGCCCACCACAGACGAAGAAGATGGCAAGGAAGTCACATCATACCAGGCTTCTTCTCCGGACGAGATTGCCATTGTGAAGTGGGCCGAGTCTGTTGGATTGAAGCTTGCTTCTCGTGACCGAAGAAGTATGACTCTCGCTGCGACCACAACGGGTCGTCCTGTCGTGCGTGTTAGCATTCTGGATGTGTTTCCTTTTACTTCGGAAGGAAAGCGGATGGGAATCATTGTTCACTTCCAGGATGACCTCCACAACCCGAATCGCGACCTCAGTAATGGCGATATTTGGTTCTACCAAAAGGGTGCAGACACCGTCATGAGCTCCATCGTGGTGGCGAATGACTGGCTTGATGAGGAGACAGCTAACATGGCACGAGAGGGTCTGCGAACACTGGTTGTGGGCAGAAAGAGACTGTCGAACAAACAATACCAGGAATTCTCCTCCCGATATCATGAGGCGTCGTTGGCCATCAATAACCGTGATGTGGGCATGCAAACGGTCGTTGCGCAGTACTTGGAAAGTGACCTCGAGCTTCTTGGCGTGACTGGTGTCGAGGATAAGCTGCAGCGCGACATCAAGCCCTCTCTTGAGCTTCTCCGCAACGCCGGCATTAAAATCTGGATGCTCACCGGTGACAAGGTGGAAACTGCGCGCTGCGTGGCGGTCAGCTCAAAGCTAGTGGCACGCGGCCAGTACATTTATACCGTCACCAGATTGAGGCGCAAGGACAACGCGCAAGAGCACCTCGACTTCTTGCGCAACAAGACTGACGCCTGCCTTTTGATTGACGGCGAGAGTCTCGCGCTCTTGCTCACCCACTTCCGCATCGAGTTCATCTCTGTGGCCGTCCGTCTCCCGACTGTCGTGGCATGCCGATGCAGCCCGACCCAGAAGGCTGAGATTGCCACTCTGATCAAGGAATACACCAAAAAGCGTGTCTGCTGCATCGGCGATGGTGGCAATGATGTGTCCATGATTCAAGCGGCCGACGTCGGTGTTGGTATCGTCGGCAAGGAAGGCCGACAGGCCAGTTTAGCGGCCGACTTTTCCATCGAGCAGTTCTGTCACTTGGTCAAGCTGCTTGTCTGGCACGGCCGCAACAGCTACAAGCGCAGTGCCAAGCTCGCCCAGTTTGTCATTCACCGTGGTCTCATCATTGCCGTCTGCCAGACCATGTACAGCATCGCCCTCAAGTTTGAGCCCGAAGGTCTCTATATTGACTGGCTCATGGTGGGGTACGCGACTGTCTACACGGCGGCTCCTGTCCTATCGCTGGTCTTGGACAAGGACGTGGATGAAAACCTGGCCAACCTGTATCCCGAGCTGTACAAGGAGCTGACGACTGGTCGATCGCTCTCGTACCGCACATTTTTCGTCTGGGTCTTTGTCTCCATCTACCAAGGTGGCATGATTCAGGGTCTGTCGCAGATTCTCACCGGTGTCGAAAACAAGAAAATGACGGCCGTCAGCTACACAGTGCTAATTCTCAATGAGCTTCTCATGGTGGCAATTGAAATCACCACCTGGCATCCCATTATGATTGTCAGCATCCTGGGCACGTTTCTCATGTATCTTGGATCCATGCCTTTTCTTGGCGGATACTTTGACTTGGAGTTTATTATTACCTGGTATGTTAAACCCATCCCTTTCTTTGACTGTTCTATAATCATTCGTTGCTGACATGTTGCGCAGGGGATTTGTTTGGCGCGTGCTCGCCATCCTGTCCATCTCACTTGTGCCACCGTATGCGGCGAAGCTTATTAGGAGAAGGATGAAACCGCCGTCGTACAGAAAGGTGCAAAATCGGTAGACTGGGGAGTGTATTTAGATCGCATGGTGTATGATGATGGCAGACTTGTGTTCATTTATCCATGCTTGTATCCTGCCCATTTTCTACATTGCAAGCGTTTTGTTTTGAAGGAGATTGCTGGTGCGCCGGTTCCACTAATGTACACGTATGATTATCTCCCTTTCCATGTATTGGATACTGATCTTTGGAGGAGTTGCTGCATTGAAGAAATGCAGTGCATATAGAAGTACAAGCGAAGGGCGTACCTATGCACTACCACACACACGGGGACACCCTCATGCAGTCGGACTATTTCAACCATCTCGTATTCCGCCACGTATTTTCAATAAATCTTCCTGATGCTTTCGCCCTATATCACCTTGGCGTCACGTGCATGTCTTCATCAGGAAGTCGCCGATGATGCATAAAAAGCGCGCGCAAGCGAGTGGCCCAGTCGGCCTCTTTCCACACTCGCAACCCGATCCGATCATCATGTCCGCCCAAGCCCCCATCACCATACTCCTCGTGCACGGCGCGTGGCACGGGCCGTGGTGCTGGCGAGACCAGATTCCCGAGCTGCAAAAGCTCGGCTACGACGTGGCCACAGTCCATCTGCCGTCCGCGCAGGGCGTGGCGGGCAAGACGCAGTTTGACGACGCCGACGCGGTCCGCGCCCATCTAGCGACGCTCGTGGCGGCCGGCACGCGCGTCGTCGTGCTCGCGCATTCGTACGGGGGCCCTATTGGTAGCGCCGCCATTGCCGGCCTCTCCACGCGGGAGCGCGCGGCCGGCAACCTGCCCGGCGGCGTGGTCGGCCTCGTCTGCCTCTGCGCATTCGTCCTGCCCGGCGGCATGGACCAGGGCGCCTTGATCGAGGCCACGGGCGGCCTGCCGCATATTACGTGGGACGCCCCGTCAGAAGGCCTGTTTGTGCCCAAGGATCCGCGGGTCATGTTCTTCTCGCCCGACGTGGCGCAGGACTGCGTGGACTGGGCCCTGCCGCAGCTTCGACCGCAGAGCATGGCGGCCAACAAGGGCATTGTGCCGCCGCAGGCGTGGCAGGAAGACGCAGACTACTATCGGCATAAGCTGGGCTACATCACATGCACTGAGGACAAGGCTATCCCGTTTGAGCAGCAAAAGGACATGATTGACGGGGCGGGTGGTGAGGGGGAGTGGCTGGTTCGTGAGCTTCGAGGTTCGGGTCACAGCCCGTTTTTCTCGCGCCCTCAGGAGGTGGCTTCTGTTGTGCATGAGATAATAGAGAAGTTTAATGAGTCGGACGCGGGCAAATAGTGCAGTGTAGGGCACGCAGCTAGAAGACGGCACTTGATTACATTTTATCACACACTCTCATCTCCAAAGACGCTTAAATGGGGACTAGCATCTCGTAAAGGCTTCAGGTAAGTAATATGATGCGGGATCTTTGGAATGATATTTTCTCGTCTTTTTAAACGCTGTATAAACAAAAATCTTCACTTCATGTCCCTTACATCAGTCCGTCGAAGCCGTCTACCAAGCGATACACTCCTTGAGGAGCGGATGATCCTTCTGGTAGATGGCCTTCTTGTGAGGCTCATCACCAGGCTTGCCGAATCCATAGAACGAATCAAGCTCAACACCAACGTCGACGGAAAAGTGCACAGAGTTGGTGTTGGAGCAGGCGCTGGGCTCATGCACGTCAGCCCCAATCGCAAAGGCCAGGTACGGCGCAGCGAGACCCAGACCGCCCGTGACGTGCTTTCCAAGAATCTTGCCGGAGAGATCAAGCGTCAGCAGCGGGTTGATGCGCGACGTGGCGTCGACCTTGCCCGAGATGGTCGGTCCGATGCGCTTAAACTGGGCATCGAGGCCCGTGGCGCCCTTGCCAATCGCAATCGACTGGCCGTCGGCAAAGTCGAGCTCGGCGCCGACGACGCTCGTGATGCTGCCGCTGATATCCGACACGGCAATGACAATCTGCAGCGTAATCTCGGGCGTGATGGTGACGACGTCGGCAATCTTGAACTCGGCGAGCGGGAACCGCGCCACCTCGATGCTCTGCGACAGGTGCGAGGTGGAAATGGCCGCCGAGGCGGTGACGGCGACGGCGAGGCGCACGTTGACGCCGTCGGCCGTGACAGCCGACGCCGAGAAGCCGTCCTTTGTCGAGACGGAAATGTCCGTCTCCAGGCTGCCGTGGCTGCCGCAGTCGGAGCAGTCGACGGAGAGGTGCGCGGGGCCAATGTCGGCGTCGTAAAAGTGCTTGCTGAAGACGTGCTCGAGGCTGATCTTGGCCTTTTTGGAGTAGCTGAGCCGCCGGCTGAGCTTGTGCGGCGAGACGGCGCCGCCAATGTTGACCGTGGCGTCTTCCACAAAGTCGGCCCACCGGCCCGCGCCGTGCACCGCAAAGCGCGCCGTGCCGCCGGCCGCGTCGTACGTGACGCCGCCGACGTGGTACGGCTGCCGGCCGTACGGGCCGCCGCAGCCCGGCGCGTCGGCGACGTAGATGAGCGTGTGCGCGGCGCTCTCGCCGACCCAGCTCCACGCGGACTGGGCCGCGGCGACGGTCGCGGGGTCGCTGAACTGCACCTGGATCTGGCCGGCGTGGGAGCAGTCGACGGCGCTGACGAGGTCGGCAAAGTTGTGCTCGTTGAGAAGACGGTAGGCGGGCTTGGCCGTGACCGTCATGTTGGCGAGGAGCTCTGATTGAGTTTCGTGTTAGTCAACGGCCGAATAGCAGAAGGGGGGGGGGATCGTGGCGAGGAAATTACCTTGGCCCTCATGAGTCCAGTAGAAGCTATCCTCTTGGAGGAGAGTCAGGTCGTCGTGCTCGAGGTGGCTCTTCTTGCCCTCGTCGTCATGGGGAGACGCGGGGGTAAAGACAATCTGGGGTGCGTTGGCGGCGGCCTCGGCGACGGCACGCTGGATGGGGTTGGCGGCAATGGTGCCGACGAGGGCACCGAGAACGGGAAGAATAGCCTTGGAGAGCATGATGATACTGGTACTGGACCAAACTGCTTTGATATGGTTCAAGAGAGTAGACTTACACGACGGGCTCTTATATAGTCGTTGAGTGATCACCGACGAGCCATCTCGGACACAGACCATCGCCAGACTCGACAGGTTTCGCCGAGCATCCAACCCTGAAATGGAAATCCGTCTGTTTAATTCCGCGCAACCGACAATATCATCGTGCGCCGCCGGACCGCCTTTTGAGCGTCAGACCAAGGTCGCATTGCATGGAGCATAAACGATTGGTCAAGTCCACGGTGGACCCTTGATGTCTTGAGGATACTAACTCATGGGTAAAACGTTATGTAGTTGGTATAGAATGCGGAACTGCGGCCGCCGGGTTAGGCAACGCAAAGGGTCGCATCACCTTCTGACATCAAGGTATAGACGGACTAGTCGGGCAGGGCTGGCTTGAAGTGCTTATTTCTCCGTCTTATTTGCAGTTTCTCCGAACCATCTGCCCCATCCCGGCCGTTCTATTATGCAGCCATGATGATCTCTTTCCCCGTCTGGCGATAGCAGGCTTATTGTCCAGGCACAGCATGATCGTGCAAAGGGGGGGGGAGGCTGCGGGGAGTCGTTTCCAATCGAGGGGTGGCCGGGAATCGGCTGCGCCCCAGGGGAACCTTTTTTTTTTTGCATAGATCCCGCTCGGCTGATTATTCGCTTCCCGTTCTCACTGCCTCAATCTACCGCAGAAGCTGAAAAAGCCAATGTGGTGGGCATCGGCCGTCGCGCTGACGGGCGGATCTTGACCTTGGCCCTTTTCGTCACTTTCGCGAAATATCACCCACCGTCAGGGCGACAGTCTCTCTCAACAGACTTGTAGCGGTGTTATTACCACCCTGACGGTGACGTGCAGTTCCCCCGATATTTGCTCGCAGACTGCGGGTTTCGGGTATAGCTGGGCGGATGGTTCCTTGGTCTCTGCTCTTCCCGCATATGCACGACATGTGTGGCCGGCCGCTCTTGGCGGGCTGGCGAGCCAAATCCGGTATCGAGCCAGACCCGCAAGGCTGAATCGAATACCGAAAGCAAGAGCCTTGACTGCTTCTCTTACGCTACGTGATGTTTTGTCGTCGGAAGTATACGAGAGCCGGTACACAAGACCAGCAGTATTACTCAGTTCCGTGAACTAGAGCGCGATTCAGTTCCGCGTTGAACCATCCTTGGATCGCCTACTAGTTACAGTATCTCGTGTATGTATTCGGTCAGTTCTAGTCGGCGAGCCCCGCCGCGCATCGAGAACAATATATCAGACCTTCTCCGGACATTGGAACTTGTGGCGCCGCAGTGGCGCCGCCCGGCCCAAGCCATATCACTTGGCCAGATCTGGCAGGGTTGGGTGACACCGTCTAGTGGCGGCTTATTATATTGTGCAAGTCTCATTTGATAATACCGGGAGTGCCTTTGTGAGGGAGGTTAATGCCAATATGGACTCGGGTTTGGACATACACATCCGGCCACCTCGGGGCTCCGAGGCCTGTCCATCTTGACAAGTGCGCTGGCAGTTGGTTCTGTTCGTTTGGCGTTGGAGCAAAAAGCAAGGGAATTGTGGTTTCCTTAAGGGAATCTACTTCTCCTACGCTAGACTCACTGTGCTACCCTTTCAAGTACGCGACTGCCAAGAGGCACCAGTACAAGAACACTTCCCTATCAGCCCAACCCTGCTGAGGGTATGATTGGTGCCCTCGACGGCACCTTCATATGAAATCACCGCAGATTACGCCAGGGAGTTTTTGGACGTGCATATTGACTTCAAGCTGGACTGTCTGCTGCGTGGTCGGCTGGCGCCGCTTTCCCTTCTACCAGGCGAGATGGCGTCGCAGGAAACAGGTCAGAGCGGAATCTCTGGCAGATGCCGGCTCTATGCAAAAGTGCCCAAAGCTACTACTCTATACACATGTCACAAAATGATGACACACATCTATGCTACAGCTTCAATACAAGCCAGTCAGCCGCAAACGCCGGATATCTCCTGCGTAGCTCCCCGGCCACACCACCGACCGCGCCCTGCGTCTGCACGCCGCCCACCCAGACCTTGGGTCCCGCATAGTGCGATATGAACCCTTCCGGGCCCGAGACCATCAACAGGTTCTTCCCCCGATTCTCTGCCTCGCACGTGCACGGGCGCGCGCCCGCCGGCTCAAACTCGGACGCCGGCGCGTGGAACTTTTGGTTGTGCGGCTGGCAGTCAGGCGCACTTGGCGGCGTCGTCGGCGCCGCGGCGTGTTGGATCGCCGCCGCAATATGCGATCCGCGGAACTGGCTGCTCTCGTCGTCTACTCCGACGTGTATACGCAGCCGGTCGCCATAGCGAGTCTTCATGTCCTCCAATTCGCGACCCAGCGGGCTTGGGGCCGTAATTGGTTGACCAACCTCGGTGGGTTGTGGTCTGGGGCTGCGTCGAAACCAGCTCTGCCAAGATGAGGCGGATGGTCTGCCGGGGACATCGGGCACCTGTTGAAGCTCTTCCCGGCTCCGGATGGCCCAGAGGAGCGTAAAGCTCGCGTCGGCGTGACTGTCCAGCACCGCCTTGGCTACCTGCATAGCCGGCGCGACGCCCGTGCCGCCGGCAAGGAACACGACGTTTCTCTGCGCGCCTAATCGCGAGGCCACGTCGAAGCCCGGATGCGTGCCTCGCAGCCAGACCTCGCGCCCGACACCGAGACGGCCCAGGTACGTGGACATTTCGCCGCCGGGGATGGATCGTAGGTAGAAGCGCAACGTGCCCTCCTCTAGGCGCTCGCCGTCCCGGGGCGGGAGAGGCGTGTAGTTGCGCGCTATTTGGACCTCGGGTTGCTTGAATTCCACCGACCAGAGCGGGTAGCGCCACCGAGCAGGCTGAGACGGGCTGCTGGTGGTTAAAAAGCTAGGGTTCGGGTTAGGGTACTGCGGTGCGGCCGTGAAGAGGAACGAGGTCGGTGAGATGGCCTCGCGCGAGGTTATCGTATAAGGGACAAACGTGTCCTGGTTGAGGACTTTCTGTTGCGACGAGGGTGTGGTGAGATAGTAGATGGCGCTGCCGCCGATGAGTAGCGCAGCTGCTAGAGCAGGGTTGAGTGAGCGAGCTTGTAGAGGGCTCTTGCCCCCCTTTCGAGACCCGTTTGTACATTTGATACGCTGATGAGTTGATAATCGCCGCTGGCACGAGGCGATGAAGCGTAGTGATGGCGGATGGGGCAGAATCCGAGTTAAACTGCTCGTGAGGACAAGGCTGTGCGCCCCTATCGTCGATTGAGAACCACGCATCGTCAATTGACCAAGAAATTTAGGTTTCAAGAGTTTAATTGATATCGACGGGTCATTTCTATGAGAAATTCGGGGGATTTGGCTCGAGGTAATCCCCGCCGATGTCGGGTGTAAGTTTGTTTGCGGGTAGATTATCAGGACAAAGATCACAAGACATGGTTTTGGGACCGAGTCACGTGTAACATCAACCTACTACCTTGACAACGAGCATTTCAACGCTAAGTATCTGACTTCTTGCAATGAGAGAAATATTTTTCTTCACGAGATTTAGCCTGTTTATGATCGGGATTATTTTATCTAAGCGTTAAAAGTCTCACTCGGTCACTTGTCATCAGCGGCACTGGTGTGAGTGAGCCTACCCCACATTCCACCTTCAGCATCTGAGGCTTTGAGGGGGCAAACAAAGTGGTCATAGCCTTAGTTGGCCTCTATTCTTTACGGGGTTGAAAATTATAGAAGAATAACTAATTCAATTCCACGAAATCGTGCGATTCTTTTGAGAAAATGACAGCCCACGATGAACTTCGGTCCCTGACCTCGCCCGAACCGGTCTAATACATCATCGATACCTTGAACCGCCACAACAGAATGACTTTGTGCAAGTAACCATGTCCAAGTCAGAGTTCTCGGGAAAAATCGAAAGTCGCTGCGCGCGATTCCCTGATAGCCGTCAGTGGATGGCACTCAATGGACAAATGCCCAATCTCGATCTTGAGGTGGGCAGGCTGGAGATGTGAATGTATGCTGATCTGTCTAAGGTCTATACTTGTTGATACAAGGCTTATAAATGTACACTTTTGATACCGGCACCTATGAGGCTTCTATATCCTTAGGATGCGCCTGTTCGGGTCGATGCCGCCTCTGAACATGTCCACCACGATGTTCCCCTTGACAATGGTCTCTTCAATCAGACCTTCCACGTGCCTGGGCTCAACTCGTCCGTACCATAGACCATGGCCTGCAAAGCGATGCGGCGATCCGTCCGGCATTGTCTTCCCCGGAGGAATATAAATGATGATGTTGCCCGCAAATTTGTGCCCACCAATGTGGCTGATCACGCCAACTCTTGCTGCATCCTTCGACGCCCCAGACGAGCCACCTTCTAATTGGGGTGCTTCCGCGTCCATCGAGACGTGCACCGGCCCCCGCAGGACCTCGACGCCCTTACGCTCGAGCTGCCTCTCAAACTCGTCGCGCAGTAGAGGGCCTAGCAGGCCGCAGCGCACATCGCGCCCGCCGTGGCCGCAGATGAGAACCAGCGTGTCGGTCACGTCTTGGATGCCGGGTAGCAGGCCCTGGTAGGCGTCGTTGCGCGTGAGAATGTCGCGGTGCACGGGCGAGAGGCCGTCGTGGGCTGAGTGCAACTTCTCCGGGAGCAGATAGCCCTTGGCGAGGGCCTGCACGTGGTCAAAGGAGACGCGCGGCAGAAACGGCACGTACTTGAAACTGGGTAGCAGATAGACGGACGTGTTTTCTACCTCTGCGCGCGGCGGGACGGAGCTGGGTAATGAGCTGTTGACGAGCGCAATGTTGTGGAATGGCTGATTCATGTTAGTACGAATAATCTTTGAGCTAGGCTTGTGCATATAAGTGAAAAAAAAACTGACATCGGAATATGTGCCGCCCCTGCCAAACAGCTCTTTCAAATCCGCAGCTAAATTGTCGCCGCTGTTGTCCTCCTCAATCTTGGACGGCCAGTCCTCCTTGCCCGTGCAAATAAGAACCTGCTCCGAGTAACCAGAGATGACGCCATTCATGGGGCTCTTGTGGTCAATGTCGAAGCCCTCCGGCATGACGGGCATCTCGGCGCACTCGCATGTCGGCGCCGGGCACGTAGGCACCGTCGGCAGCGGTGGCGGCTTGGAGGCAAATCCCCGCCGTGCCGTTGCGGAAGCGAGCGAGGCCCTATTGACAGACTGCCACGTCTGGCGTGTCAATTGCCGCAGGACGAGCCGTTGCGACATGGTTGGCGACCTGCTTTGGGGTGTGTATGTACAAGGTGAAATGATTACGGCATGGATTACGGGACCTGTGATTTGCCCAAGCTCGGAGACCGATGGACAAGTGCTGTCACCGGCATTACTAAGACTGCGACGGAACATCCTCTGCACAGCGCGCCTAAGACAGAAAGGTGCGTTTGAATAGGAGATTAATTCTAGAAGAAGATCAGGCGGCTATAAATTGAACGACGGGAGAAAAAAAAATTGCTGTCCGCAAGCGTAGAGGCAAGTTGCGCGAACCGGGATTCGAACCCGGGACGCGTGCTTGGGAAGCACGCATGCTAACCACTACACTATCCGCGCAGACGAATCATATCATGGGAAATTTTTATTTCACATTATACCTGCAAATAATGAGCCCCACTTGGCGTGGTTCTACCAGCTTGCATCAAGTAAATCTCGAGTACTGAAGACTCGGAAGAAGTCTCAATAATATGGTATGTAATCTGGATATGTTTCACTGTAAAAAAGTCCAGTCATACCTAGAAAATGCTCGTATTCGAACTTCCGATATTGTTCTAGTTTATATTATGCCCACAGGTTGCGACGTATCTAGCGCCACACTGACCCCTGCACACTACCGAACCCGCCTTCAAGCCAGAGAGCTCCGTTGGGACACTCCCGTCAGGAACATCCCACCCCACCGTTCTGTCAATACCCCGCGACACGAAAACACAAAACCATGGCGAGCAAGGTAGACCGCATCGTGGCTCGGCTACAGCAAAAGATTGCCGATGGCGACTACTACGAGGCGCAGCAGCAGACCCGCGTCGCGGCGTCCCGCCACATCAAGACGCAGAACTGGCCCGCCGCCATCGATATCCTCTCGAGCGTCGCCCAGTCGCTCCTCAAGGCCGGCCAAGGCGGCAGCGGTGGCGACCTGTGCAACATGCTGGTGGACGTCTACAAGCAGGCCGAGCTCAAGCCTGACGCGACGACAAAGGGCCGTTTGCTGACGGCGCTGCGGCTATTCGACGGCGAGGAGCCCACGCGCAAGAAGTTTATCACAGGAATGCTAGCGTATGTTGTCAAGCTACGAGTTTTTAAACGAATTGGTGTTTTCTCGATGCTAATAAAATATACATCTAGATGGTCGGCCAAGTTTGGCGAGTTCCCCGCCGGCGACCCCGAGCTGCACCATGTCGCCGGTTCCCTCTACGCCGCCGAGCACGAAACGTACGAGGCCGAAAAGCACCTGCTGCTCGGCACGCGCGACTCAGCCGAGGTGCTCTTCAAGATGGAGTACGCCTGGTACAAGGAGTCGGACGCGCCGCACACGGCACCGCTCTTCGCCGCCCGCGCTGTCCTGCCGTACCTGCTCGTCGGCAACGTGCGCGCCGCCAACGCCTGCTACCGGCTCTTTGCCAGCGCGCTGAGCGCCGACCACCCGGGGCTAGGTGTGCAGGACGTGGCGACCGCGTCGTCGGATGTGCGCGTGTTTCCGAGCCTACCGCTGCTCAACTTTCTAGGCCTACTACTACTGGCGGTGCAGCGCGGCGCGCCCGAGGTTTACCGCGGTCTCGTGCACAAGTACGCGGCGCAGATTGACGAGGCCGGCACCTGGGCCGAGGCGCTCGAGATGGTGGCGGAAATGTACTTTGGCATCCAGAAGCCGCGCCAGAGCAACCCGCTCATGGACATGATGAGTGGCCTGTTTGGAGGCGGCGGCGCAGGCGGCGCGGGCGGACAGCCGCAGCAGCAGAGGAGGCTGGGGTTAGGTGCGCCCGCAGCTGAGGCGCTGGACTAGAGGTTGCTGGGAGTTTTGGTAGAGCATAGTGAATTCAAGCGTCATGATAGAGCTTCGCTGTCGATGCTCATGCTGCATGTAAACCATGCTGGGCGAAGAATCAGTTTCGCGGTGTCTCTTCTGGGTCGAACATCCAGTTATCCTCGGCCAAGGCGTCGACCTTAGCGCGCAGACTTGCTCGGACAGCGTCTAGTAGCTCTAAACGAAATCAGAAAAGGGTTCAACCTAGCTACGGAACTTTTAACGTACCTTCCGGCTGGTCAGAGACCGTCGTATGGTTGATTCGGTGCTGCTTCACAGCTTCAGCCAACCTTTGTCGTTCTTCTATATTCCCAGTTAGCACGCTTCTAGCTCAGTTAAGACAACTTGACGTACGTTCTGTTTCTTGCCTCGCGTCGAGCACCATCTCATCAATGTCGTCAAATGACAACACCGGCGCGCCGTCGAGATCAATATCCCCATTCTGATTTCGCACCACAATCTCGCACATCTCCGTATGGAGCTGGTGCTCCTCCGCCGCCAGTCGAGCGGCGTCGGCCTGTGTGGCTGCTGCAGCTGCCGCCGCCGCTGCAGCAGTCGCGGAGGAAGAAGACGTGCTGCCTGCTCCGTTCGCAGCGGCACCCGTGGGTCGTCTGATTAGATGACTGCGAAAGAGGTTCGCCCGGTCTCGCGAGCTGGGGGGCACCACCGGTGCTTGGGACGACAACGGGTATACCGTTGCTGCGCCGGCCCGCGTGCGCTGTAGTGGTGGTGGGTGGTGGTGAGAGCCGTTAACGGTACGACCGCGTTCGTTCATGGTTGGCGTTTTGAATTTGTTCTATCTGCCTGGGTAGAAGTCGTGATGTTTATGAGATGCGGGTGGTAAAACTATACGGCGTAATGAAATTGGCAGGGGTAGCTGTCGTTCAGGCAGCTAGCGCTAATAACAAGCCAGCTCGGTGGGTACCAGCTGAGGAGAACGGGAGTTTCGTTGCCCCTGTGTAAAGAAGTAGATGTCGCTTTGGAGTTAGGATTTACGGATCGAATGATTGGTTGGCTCAAGTCGTCGGTGGTTATGAAAAAAGTCAACGCTCTCATGTTGTAAAAAAGATTATGCTAAACTATTCAAGCCGGACCATCCCAACCTCACACAGACAACTAGCTGTACTTGTACACAATTTGAGGGAAAATTGATTCGTGCTTTCAACTGCCGTATTAAGAATGCCTGTTTCTCGCGTGGACATAAAAACTGTGCATCCTTTGCTGGGTGTTTAAAGCGATAGGTTGTACGAGTATTCATCTTCCATATTTTGGGTGATCCAGAGCACGACAGTGCTGCCAAAGAGTCAGCCGTCATCCAACAGGGTAATTTGCACATGCCAAGAGCGATATCACATACCTGGCGCCCACCAGGGCGTTGCTGGTCAGCGTCTCGACGCCCATGCCTAGCGCGGGGAAACCGACACTCGGGACAATGTACTTGAGGACAAACACGGCGACGCCGCCCGCCATGCCGCCCGCCAGGGCCGCAAAACCCAAGAACAGCACCACACGGGCCTTCCAGGCGACGCCGGAGCCGCTGTAGCTAAACGAGTCGGCGCTTAGACGCTGCTTCTCGACCGAGTTGATAATGAGCATGCCAAGCGAGGAGAAGACGAGCGGCAACCAGTCGACAAACTTGACGTGGATGTCGGACCCGTTATTGGCCGACTTGGACCACACGGCGGCGTCAAGCATAGTGTAAAAAGCGAGGGAGAACTGTGCACCATGTCGGTCGCCCGGTTAGCCTTGGTGGAGGGGGGAGGCGAGCAGCTCGGAGCTGCGAGCAAATGCGCCGGGCAGGGTCGGATGCGCCGCGACGCACGCGCGTGCGGGGGCAGCGTATGAGAACAGGGGAAAACGTACCAGGCCTCCGGCCGCGTAGATACCGGCATTGCGAGCCCAGATGCTGTTGAGCCACTCGGGCTTGGAGAACTTCCAAAGTCGGTCCTCTTCCATTATGCTGTGCGTGGGAGCTTCGGTTGGCGTGTACGGCCAGAGGAGTCGGTATATCGAGCGCAAAACGCTTGCGAAATGGGATGCAGTAGATGTGCGGGTCGGGGTCTTCAGTCGCAGCCTGTCGTGTTGATGAGAGTCGAGCTCGGTCTCTAGGTTGAAGCGTCGTTGGTTGAAGGCTGGGGCGGCTCCGATGACGAAGCCACCAGTGAGTGGGTGGTGGTACGAGTCACGTGTGCCTGAAACTTTGGTTGACAACTGGCGCGGGCAGGCCGATGAACAAACAAAAAGTGGCAAATAATAGGGAGTATATTAGGAATGAGGGGGAAAAACGCCTTTTTTTTTCTTTGCTCACCTGTTTACCTAGGGCGTGATCATTTATTCCTTAGTCGTGTTGATGGATCTTTTTGCCGGTTCGGCGCAAGCTTGTGAGGGTGGCGCTAAAACTGCACGGCGCGAGCATGCACAAATTGGCTATTTATGAAGGTCATGACTTGATAACCGGCTGTTTTCTGGGTCGAAGAATAAATTTTTTTTTTCTTATTGACTTTTATCTGAATCAAATGACAGATGAAAAGCTCTTAGATGCCTGGTGCAAAGGGTTGTGCGCCAGCCTGAGTAGGATTTGTTGGCTGGCCACATAGCTGAAGCGAAAAGGCACTATTGGTCCCCTAATTCGGCGCCTCGCTCCCTAAACCACATTATTTTCTACAGCTTGCCACATAGGTAGTTACAATGATTCAGCCATGCCGTACTCGGGCGTCAAAGGAGAAACAGCCCAGAGAGGGAGAAGATAACTACTAATACTTCACAATGATATCTTGCATTCAGAGGCGCTGTAAGATTCACCAAATGCAAGGGTACCTTCCTACTATGTACCTACCTAGTATTAAAGTTGTTAGTTTACCTTGCTCGGCAGATTTGACGAATCAGAGCCGGATTTTTACCAATTTCTAGGCCCACTCCGTCTTCGGCTTTGCGCAATAACTACTAACTAGAGTCAACTCCTTCAGAACTTCGCCTTTCCACGCCAATTCTTTTTTCCACCCATCCGTTTAGTCTTGCGCATAATGTCGTACAGACCGGTTCGTCTTCGCTCTTTTGCCTCGCTGATAATCCGTGCTCATTCTCTTACAGGTCGCCGCCGCCTCGGCGCAATGGGCGCGCATGCTTAGCCGATCTAGACGACCTGTCCCGAGCATAATGCTGGCCAGCCAGCGCCTTCGAAGCACAACGTCAATTCCTCGACATTTGCAATACCAATGCCGCGCCATTGGAACGACGGCTGAAAACCGCGCGACTTTGCACAGTGAAATTCCCACCGAGACCTCTTGGACTGCTCCCCCCGCCGCGGGAACCAGACGACCCCAGACTCTGACGGAGAAGATCTTCCAGGATCACGCTGTCGGCCTGGAGCCGGGAAAGACTCTCCGCAGCGGTGACTATGCACACATTTCACCTTGGCGCTGCCTCACTCACGACAACACCGCCGCGTGCTACAAAAAATTTGCTCTCATGGACATCGAGAACATTAAGGATCCTAGCCAATTAGTGTTTGCGATTGACCATGATGTGCAAAACAAATCAGAAGGCAATCTGAGAAAGTATGCGCTGATTGAGGCCTTTGCGAAGAAGCACGGAGTTGATTTCTATGGTGCGGGCCACGGGATATCGCATCAGGTGATGGTACGCCATCTCATGCCACAGGACCAGACTGGAAAACCCGCTGACATCTGTGCAGATTGAGGAACTATATGTTTGGCCCGGAAAGCTATGCGTTGGTTCTGATTCCCACTCGACAAGTTATTCTGCGCTCGGTGCCGGAGGATTTTCTGTGGTGCGAACCGATGCTGCTGGTATTTGGGCTACGGGCAAGACCTGGTTCCAGATTCCCCCAGTTGTCAAAGTCAATTTGACTGGTCTTCTACCGCCTGGTGTTGCCGGAAAAGATGTCATTGTTGCGCTGTGTGGCTTGTTTCCGAGCGATGTCCTGAACCATGCAGTCGAGTTCTCGGGATCCGAAGAGACCATGGCCAGCATCCCAATCGATGATCGGATCTCGATAAGCAACATGTGTACAGAGTGGGGAGCACTTACAGGCCTGGTTTGTATATCCTAGTTCTCCGAAAGGCGTCACTCAGCTAATAGTATTCTGCAACAGTTCCCTGTAGACAACACTCTAAAGCGCTGGCTGCGCTTCAAAGCAACAGAGGCGGCCATGTTTCCTGAACGAACCACCAGGGAGCGAATTACTCATAAAAAGGTTGACGAACTCTACGCAAATCCTCCCAGAGCCGATCCCGACGCACAGTATGCCAAGCAGCTCTACATCAATCTTTCTACCATCTCACCATACATTTCGGGTCCCAACTCGGTCAAAATTTCGACACCTCTGAATGAGCTTGCCCCGCAGAAGATTAAGATCAACAAGGCGTACATTGTGTCATGCACCAACAGCCGTGCCTCCGATATCGCAGCTGCTGCTAAAGTTTTCAAGGATGCAGCCAAGGCAAATGGCGGAAAGATTCCCAAGGTTGCGGATGGGGTTAAGCTCTACCTCGCAGCTGCCTCGGCTCGTGAGCAAGAGGCTGCAGAGGACGCGGGAGACTGGCAAACACTCGTCGAAGCCGGCAGCATAACTTTGCCTGCAGCTTGTGGCCCTTGTATCGGGCTCGGTACCGGTCTTTTAGAAGCTGGCGAGCGAGGAATTTCGGCCAGTAATAGAAACTTCAAAGCCCGTATGGGATCTCGCGATGCGTTGGCCTATCTCGCGAGCCCCGAAGTTGTGGCTGCCAGTGCGCTCAACGGCGTGATTTCCGGAACCGATTCTTATCAGGTCCCGGAAAACTACCAGGGTGTGGAGCACGGCTACGGCACCGGCGCGCCTGAGACGACGGAGAGTCAGTTAGGTAATGTCCTTGAGCAGCTGGAATCTCTCATCGGACGTGTTGAAGCCTCCGTCGGTGGCGAAGAGGCCACCCAAGGTGTTACCGAGATTCTCCCCGGCTTTCCAGAGAAAATCACGGGTGAGATTGTCTTTTGCGACATGGACAACCTAGACACGGATAACATCTACGCCGGCAAGTACACGTATCAAGACGACATTACCAAGGAAACCATGGCCAAGGTGTGCATGGAGAACTATGACCCTACGTTCAGCGACATTGCTAAGCCGAATGACATTGTCGTGTCGGGCTTTGGCTTTGGATGCGGCTCCAGTCGTGAGCAAGCCGCAACGGCGCTTCTAGCCAAAGGGATCCCTTTGGTCGTGGCTGGCAGCCTTGCCAACATCTTTTCCCGCAACAGCGTCAACAACGGGCTGCTCGGGCTCGACGTCCCGCGCCTGATCGAACGTCTGCGCGCCACGTTTCCGGACAAGATCCTGACGCGACGCACGGGCTGGACCTTGACTTGGGACGTGGCCCGCAGCGTCGTCCAGGTCCAGGAGGGCGAGGGTGGCGAGCAGTGGGAGGAAAAGGTGGGTGAGTTTCCCGCGAACCTGCAGGACATTATCGCAAAAGGCGGCCTGGAGAAGTGGATCATGGCGCAGGTGGCGAAGGAGTAGGAGAGATACCAGTTGGATAAGTCGTGAGGATATGAGATCTTGGACTTTGGCATATACAGTACAAGAAGCAATTTATCAAAGAATTTAGACATGTTTGTGGACGTGTGATGGCATCTGAACCATGTACATGGCAACGCCAAGCTCCCGACATCGCAATCAACGCCTTAAACAAGTGACGTTGAAAGCACAATGGTCATGGTTTAGCCGTAGCCTTGAAAGTCGACTCTGGTCTGATGAAAGTGTATTTACTGACCGCCTCTGAGCAGGAGTTTGTCGGATGCAATTTCCACTCCGGAGTCGTAGTTATGAGAATGGATTGAAGATCCTCGACGTATTCGGGGGCGGCCACTTGGCCTGCGTGCATCCACCGCCGGCTCGTCAGGTCCCGGATAACGTCAAGGCAAGGGTGATCTTTGCTGTCAACGACGTGGCCACGCCTGTTTGGCAGGACTATGTCGCGCCATTTAGCAGGGGCTACTAGAGATAAAATAGGCACTACGGATCTAATCTATTTATACGAGCTGGGCTTCTCCATTTCGAGATTCTCAGCCTCTGGAAAGCTCTCAGTTTCCTACCGTTGGAGCTACACTGCAGCGTAATTTGTGTAGCCAAAACGCCAACTAGAAAACACTTACTCTTGGTAGAAATGGTGAACTGGCTGCACGGGTGTAGTGTGGATTATATCGGACTGTACACATAGAATTGTTTGTAATGAACAAGTCTGTATTTCGACAAAGTGTCTTCATCTCATCTATGACTACAAAGCAACCCCAGCTTTCTCAACCTAGAATCCAAATCCAAAACCCAAGTACATCAGTCCCCGCGATGCTATGCTATTCGTTTCTTCCTATACTTGTGAAGACGAAAAATATCCCCCAAAAAGTCCTGCCTGGTATAATATGACGTTCAGCGCCGGTTTCGTTGGCAGCTGATAGTAGAAGAGTAAGTGTGCATGCTGGAAACCTCACCCAGCTAATCACAGCCCTTGAAACAAAATGAGAAAAGAAAAAAATTGCATGAAACATGATGATCCATTTCGCATACAAAAAGTGCTCGGCGTTTCCGTTACCTGGCCCAGCCCGAGTCCCTGGTAGGTTCGTCGTGTTTCACAACCATGTCAATAGCGCCACGGCGTAATGACTTCGGTGCAGCCGATAAAGTGTCTGCGCAATTTCGATAGATGAAATAATATCGCCCGCTGAAGAAATATCGAAATCCGCTGAAGATTATGTCAAGTCCGCTGAAGATTTCCTCCTTGTCGACCAGAAAAATGTTTGCTCCCATCCATTGTCGTAAAATATCGTAATATCTAGTAATGCTAGGATGGGGGATAGTTCGCTCGACGCGCGCTCACTCGCTGAGAATTTTCTTGACGCGCTCAATCCGGTTCATGGCACTCTCCAACCGATCCAGGCGCTTCTTTTTGTCCGCGTCGCGCTTCTCCAGCTCGCCCACGCGCTCCTCGAGCTTGGCGCGCGCGCGCCGCTCGTCGGCGACCATTTCGTTTGCCTGCTCAAACAGCGCCGCACTCAGCTCCTCCATTTCCTTGCTGGTCGCGCTCAGGCGGCCCTCGGCCTCTTGGCGGAGGCTCTGTTCGCGCGTGAGCGCCTCGAGGAGGTCCTCGGTCATGTGCGCGGCCGTCGGCGTCGTAGGCGTGGCGACGGGCGAGAGCGTGTCCGCGCCGCCTGCCACAGCCGTTTGCAGAGCCGGCGGCACGCCCCGCAGGTTCATCGCGGACGTCTTGCGCGAGTAGAGTAGGGCGGAGATGCGCTCGGTGCCCTGCTGTAGGTAGGACGGGCTATTGCGCGTCGGGCTCGGTCGTTGTTGCTGCTGCGGCGGTGAGGACGAGGATCGGAGGCGCGTCAGCTCGGCTTCGTACTCGGCCCAGCGGTTCATAGCCGTGGCGGCCTTGTCGTTGAGCGTGCGCACCTCGCCCTCGAGCTGGGCGATGCGCGCGAGGTCGTCGGGGTGGGATGTCGGCGCGGCCGGCGGCGGCGCGGGGATGTCGACGCCGCAGCTTGGGCAGTGGGAGCTGCTGGCGGCAGCGGCGCTTCCTGTGATGCTGAGAGACGGTGGCGGCGCGATGGTAGCGACCATTGTGGCCGACATGATGGTGCTATATTCGAGGGGGGGCGGTGGTTGTGGCCAGGGTGGCTTCGGCACGGGGTGCTTTAGGGCGGGGAACTGTTCGAGTTCATTCGGGAGCGCGGTAGAGAAGGTTGGTGGTGCTGAGGATGACAATAAACATTGACGGAGCGAGGGGTCTTTAGGAGAACAAATGTAGATGTGGCGGCGGGTAGGGAGGTCAATAATAAGCTGGAGCCTGGGAAAAGCGTTCGTGAGATGGCAAAGCGTTGGAGCGGCTTCGTGATGACGGGTCCGTGGGTGGATGATGGATGGGCCCTTTATTTCTTTATTTGGGTACGCACCGAGGTAGGTATCAAGCTTGCAAGGTCGAGGGATCGGACTGAGCCGCAGGCCGTGCAGCTGAAAGGTGTTCTTCCTCTTTGTTATTTATTTATATCCTTTTCGAGTCCGGCAGCCGAGACATGCCAATCCTTGCGCTGAAAGCTCTGGAATGTGACTATCCCCCACCATTTAATCTGTCCTGTCACAGGGGTCCGGCCACAGCGGAGTCTCTAGCGGTTTGTCAATCATCGCCCCTCGGTCCCTTGCCCATCACCTGCGAATGCACTGCAGAGATTTACATGAACTACCTCACACCAAGCCTTACCCTAAAACAATTGGTGTCAATCACGAGTCTTCTTCTGAGAGCTCAAAATTGGGTAAATTTACGTATTTTTTGGACTTTATAGACTCCTTCACCATCAAGGGAGCGCTCGCTTTAAGCCCATCAGTAGACCCCCCTGTAAAGCGCAATAGCGCGCCCGCCCTTTTCAAACTGTCAGAGAGCGCACCAGAGTGTGTGCACAAACTCTGCGACGCCGGAGTCGGTGCAACCCTAATAACCAAGTCAACAGCGCAGAGCTGCACTTGACCTGTCCCTTGGAACAGGACCTCCCTGCGGCCGAGTCGATTCGTGGCCCTGTCCTGGGATTTGTTCAAACCTCCACGATTTGATGTCAGGCAATCACCTCCCATTGGCATGCTTGGCCTAGGCTACCAGCAATCTCAGGCAGGCCTCACAGAGTCAACATATTGACACGTCTTGGCTGCTCGACGCTAGGCAGTTTCCTCCTTTTCCTTTGCCTGTCAAACGCGTATAGGTTCTTCAAGCCGGCTTGGCAACCTTGCGCAGCTCACCGGCGCCCGTCTCGGGATCCTTGAACTCTTTCCAGCTGACCGGCACCATGTCGTTGCCAACCTCGCTCGTCGCCATGATGACGCCGAGCTCGTTGGATGCGGTCGACAGATAATAGTTGGCCTGGTCTCCCAGCGAAATCTACACTCTTGGTTAGCATGACGGCACAGCATCTCCCTCGCATCCAACAACCACATACCACCTGGGCCCGGACAACATCGCCAGGCTTGAACGACTCGTAAATCTTTACCTTGTCCTTTTCCGTGGCTCGAACATCCTGCACTCGAATAACGCCCTGCCATTCCGTCTGCAGCACCGTGTCGCCGACCTGCTGGATCACGACAATGGCTTGCTTGGGCATTAGACGCACCACGCGGGCTAGCACAATGTTGTTGACGTCGGGGAGGATCTCGCGCTTGCGGCCGTGACGCGCGACGGTAATCGTAGAGAGCTCGTCGGATACGGGCGCCGTGATTTTGTTGAGTCGTTTCGCGGGGCCGGGTGTTTTGGAGGGCGGGATGATGGTCACGTTGCCCATCAACGACGACACCACGTTGCCTTCGAAGATGTGTGTTCCGGCGCCCGGCGCGTATTTGGACACGGGGCCGAGTACTCTGCCAGGAATCGCAAGGGTTGGGATTTCCGTAGTAGCCATGATGCTGGTAATGGGTTGGTAAATTATGCGACGTTGAGGTATCTACCTAGTAGTATGTTTGTGTTTGCTGTCCAGCTCTACAAAAAGCTTTGCCAGCTGCCACGGCAAAAAAAAAAACCCCCCACCGCCAAAATGGGGCCACCAACCAGCCAGTGCAACACTCAGCATTTCACCAATGTCCCAAGTATTAATGACTAGACATACCCGTCGCAGTTGACTGCAAATAGTCGAGGAAGCTACTTGGAAGTTTGATACACGGCCACGGGCCTCCCACAATGGCCGGCGCCTGGTTGAGCTGCTGCTGCTGAACTACGGCGCCGAGAACAGCAACGGCCGGACGCCCATCGCGCGGCCGACGCCGGACACGGGGTGCTCATGAATTTCATGGAGGAAAGCCGACCGTTTGCAGACACCGGCAGACTTCGGGCCCTGTTCCGTGCTGCCGATGCCCTGCACTGAGGGATCGTAGTAGCATGAATGAGCAGGATGACGCGCAGCAATAATTTACGAATTGCTTCTGGCCGGCTGTTACCAAAAGGCGGCGCAAGATGGGGCAACCGGTGTGCGGTGCTTATTAACTAAGTTTTCCGTGCTTTGCTCAAGCACGATCGGTGATGCAAGTCACGCTGCTTCGGCACGTCGCCGTCTGCTTGCAACTTTGTGTGTGTGCGGATCTTCGACAATGGCGATTAGATGAAAGAAGAAAAAGCCCACCGCCCGGCTCCTTCGGACAATGCTGACTCGAACATGAGAGCTTGCGCGCTGCTTGTTAAGCATGGTGCAATCTACAGGGCAAACTCCGACGCTGATGATGCTAGGTTCGTACCTAGTTGGAGGCTAATAAGCAGACAGGCGGCGCTCGTGCGGGAACTCGCTGGTCCAACCCCGACCGGCCGGCCTAGCGATGTGTGTCCGTACAGCGGGGGCGATGACATGGGCGATATTTACCATTTGTTACTCATGGCTTTGGCCGCAAGTCCACGGACACGGCCGCTCGTCGTTGGTCGTCATCACGCATTCACCGTTGCCAGCCGTCCACGGTTACGGTCATGGCGTCAATATCTAAAGAAATTAGATGCTTGCAAAATTCCACAGCAGTGACCGTTAGAAGCAGAAACCGTCACTGTTATCCCGCTTTGGCTGGTGGGTCAAGGGTGCATGTTCGGAGCCGGATGCTGTACCCTCCGTGCATCCATTTCTCGCAATGCGTTTGTTCATCATGGGCGTGTTGGGAAGAATCAAGGTTGGGGTGCGAAAGCGAACGCTAACCTAGTTATACCAAGTCCGAGCTGACAGTTCGCCTTTGTCGGAATCTTGCTCACGCTCTTCCGCACGTTATGTTGTTCCATGCGGCGTCGGATGTAGCATCTGCGACGTGCATTGTGATCTAGTGAGATCTTGCAAGGGTCGCTCTAGGGATGGTGTACCTAGGTACCTAGGTCCTGACATGTATCCAAGAGTGAAGCTTGGTGCAGACCCTTATCAATAACATGGGATTGGTTTGATGGCTGCGAATACTATCATCTTGCGCCATCGGGGAATGTGGGGGAATCAGAGGCTGTCAGTCATCAAGCCGGGGTACCGTACACAGATCGTATTTTAAGGTGGCGCTGCACGCTGCACACCCAAAGCCTGCCCCATTAACCCTGAAATAGTGCCAGCTTCAAGCACTCAACACTCTGTAGGTAATTACTAATGCTAACTAAATCAGGCCCGTTTTGCGGAGTGGATTGTGTGGCGACCCTATGCTGGTAAGTGGCGGACGGACTTTGCCTAAGGGCCGGATTCTACGCCCGCCAACGCGGGTACCAAGCTGCTGCTTCGGTCCCGTACCGGCATTCTTTCTTCGTTATGTTATTTGACAAATTGCTTCCTGCTGCTACCTCTGACCCTTTCTTTCCTTTGTCCCACGAAAAACCTTTTTTGCGTCGACTTTGCACACAAGTACGACTCCATTACTTCCCTCCCACAGGTGCCTTTTTTTTGCTGTCACCCACCCATTGACAAACGAAAGCTCGACTCGGTTGGCCGTTATCGAGAGCCCATCACTAGAAACAACACAAGCCGCCACTTGCCTCGAGAACAGCACCTGCCTCATGGACTAAAGACCGATCAATCTTCACTTTCTTCAGCCGTCAAGATACGAGGCTCGACCGCGTCCACTCAACGGTTTTGAGACACTGTTTGCGTCGCCAATTACAATGGCCGACCACCCGGAAAAAGACGTCTCAACACCAGATGCGCTCGCAGCCACCGTCGCTCGTCAGGATGAGCCTGCACGCGTTGCCGAGACACTAGACGTGCCATCCAGCGGCAAGAGTGACAGTGCCGAGTCGCACAGCGTCGACAATGAAAAGTCGCACACGAACCCTGACACCCACGAGGCCAACGGGCTAACGGTTACCCAAACTAACGCTACCGACGCGAGCGTTGGAACAACGGCCACCAGGATACCGCAGGGGAAAAAGACTTGGAAGCAAAGGCTCAACCCCCTTCGTTGGGGGGGCATTCCTGAAATTCCCCAGGAGCGCATCGTCTCCCGAGAGCATGGCGCGAGCTTTTTCAGCCAGCTCTTTTTCAACTGGATGACCCCCCTCATGACGGCATGTTTGCGCACTACCACAGATATATCTTGACCGGTACGCTAACATAAGCTTACTAGACTGGTTACAAGAGACAGCTGCACGAGCGTGATCTCTGGGCCGTGAACCCCGATCGAGGCGCCCAAGTCCTGACCAACAAGGTGAAAGCGGCATTCAAGCGCAGAATTGCAGCAGGCTCCAAGCGCCCGCTCTTGATGGCTCTATATGACAGCTTTACCTTTGAGTTTTGGCTTAGCGGGTTTTGCGCCTTCATCTCGACCATGCTCCAAGTCATTGCGCCCTTTACCCTGCGCTACCTCATCCAATTCGCCACCAAAGCCTACTATGCCCATATCCTACACACGGCACCGCCACACATTGGCGAGGGTGTCGGTCTTGCCGTTGGCATTACCATGATGCAAGTTGTTGGCAGTCTCTGCATCGGCCATTTCATCTACCGAGGCATGATGATGGGTGGCCAGAGCCGTGCTGTTCTGATTGGCATGATCTACGACAAGTCCATGGTGATTTCTGGCCGCGCCAAAGCTGGCACGACTAAAGACCGTCTGTCACCCGACGAGGGTGGCGCCGAAAAGCCAGATGTTGATAATGTCGGCGATACCAAGAAATCGAAAAAGGAGAAAAAGGGAAAGGGTGAGAAGCCGAATGACATTGGTTGGGCGAATGGTCGCATTGTCAACTTGATGAGTGTCGATACCTACCGTATTGACCAGGCTTGCGCTCTGGGCCATTTCATTTGGACTGCACCCATCGCCTGTATTGTGACTCTGGTCCTCCTCCTTGTTAACTTGACATACAGCGCGCTGGCTGGTTTCGGCCTGCTCGTCCTTGGCGTGCCACTTCTCACAAAGGCCATCCAGAGCCTGTTCGTTCGTCGCAAAATCATCAACCAGATCACTGATAAGCGCGTCTCACTGACCCAAGAAATTATTCAATCGGTTCGCTTTGTCAAATACTTTGGCTGGGAGACGGCCTTTTTGGAGCGCTTGGCCGAGATTCGCTCCAAGGAAATCTATTCCATCCAGATTCTGTTGGCCACTCGAAATGCCATCAACTCCGTCAGCATGGCTTTGCCTGTTTTTGCCTCGATGCTGTCCTTTATCACCTACCGCCTGACCAACCACAACCTCGCCCCCGCTGAAGTCTTCTCATCGCTGGCGTTGTTCAACAGTCTCCGAATCCCACTCAACCTTTTGCCTCTTGTTCTTGGACAGGTCATTGACGCCATGTCATCTATAAGTCGAGTAGAGGAGTTCCTCCTCGAGGAGGAACAGGAGGAAGATATTGTTGTCAAGCTGGATGGCGAACACGCCGTCGAGATGAATCATGCATCCTTCACCTGGGAGCGCACCAAGAACAAGGAGACTGAACTTTTGACTGACCCCAAGGAGAAGAAAGCTGCTGCCGCTGCCGCTAAGGAGGCCAAGGCGCAGCTCAATTCGACAAAGCCTGCCGAAGAGGATGCGCCAAAGGAGGCCGCCCATGCGGAAGAGCGCGAGCCGTTCAAGCTCCAGGGCCTCAACTTTACCGCCGGACGAAACGAACTATTGGCCGTCATTGGCTCTGTTGGTTGCGGAAAGAGCTCACTTCTCGCATCACTGGCGGGTGACATGCGCAAGACTGAGGGTGAAGTTGTCTTCGGCGCTTCGAGGGCCTTCTGTCCTCAGTATGCGTGGATTCAGAATACGTCTCTACAAAACAATATCACCTTCGGAAAGGATATGAAGAAGTCCTGGTATAGAGACGTAATCGACGCATGCGCTCTGCAGGCCGATCTCGACATGCTGCCCAATGGCGATCAAACCGAAATCGGTGAGCGTGGTATCACAATCTCTGGAGGTCAGAAGCAGCGTCTCAATATTGCCCGCGCCATTTATTTTGATGCCGATATTGTCCTCATGGACGACCCGCTCAGCGCTGTCGATGCCCATGTCGGTCGTCACATCTTTGACAATGCCATTCTTGGGCTTCTCAAGGACAAGTGTCGCATACTGGCCACGCACCAGCTTTGGGTGTTGAACCGATGCGACCGCATCATCTGGATGGATGCCGGCAAGATTCGCGCCATTGACACCTATGATAACCTCATGCGCGACGAGGAAGGCTTCCGCGCCTTGATGGAGACGAATGCCGTCGAGAAGGAGGAGGAAGAAGAGTCCCAGGTTGAAGAGACGGCCGAGAAGGGCGAGGACAAGCCCAAGATGGAGCGTGTGGAAACCTCAGCTGAGGACCGCGCCAAGAGCAAGAAGAATAAGAAGCAAGCCATGCTCATGCAGCAGGAAGAGCGGGCTGAAAAGTCGGTTCCATGGTCTGTGTACACGGGCTATCTTCGGGCTTCTGGCAGCATATTCAACCTGCCCTTTCTTGCTCTTGTGCTTATCTTGTCCCAGGGTGCCAATATTGTCACTAGTCTGTGGCTGTCGTGGTGGACGTCGGACAAGTTTGGCTATACGGACGGCGTCTACATCGGCGTGTATGCCGCCCTCGGCTTCAGCCAAGCCTTTCTCATGTTTGCGTTTTCCGTGCTACTGACCGTGCTGGGCACCACTGCCAGCAAGAGCATGCTGCGGGACGCCGTGACGCGCGTGCTCCGGGCGCCTATGTCCTTCTTTGACACCACGCCGCTGGGCCGCATCACCAACCGTTTCTCGCGCGATGTTGACGTCATGGACAACAACTTGACTGATGCCATTCGCATGTTCTTCTTCACGCTCGCCAACGTTACCGCTGTCTTCATCCTCACCATTGCCTACTACTACTACTTTGCTGCTGCGCTGGTTCCTCTGTACATTCTCTACATGATTGCGGGAACCTACTACCGGTCCTCTGCGCGCGAGGTGAAGCGCTACGAATCCGTCCTTCGCTCTAGTATGTTTGCACGCTTCAGCGAAGGTCTGAGCGGTGTCTCGTCCATTCGCGCCTATGGCCTCCGCGACAGATTCATGGGTGACTTGCGCAAGTCTATTGACCAAATGAACGGAGCCTACTACCTCACCTTTGCCAACCAGCGTTGGCTTTCTGTACGCCTGGACATGATTGGCAACCTCCTCGTTTTTGTGGTGGCTATTCTGGTCGTCACCTCTCGGTTCACCGTCAGCCCCTCGACTGGTGGTCTGGTTCTCAGCTACATGCTGTCGATTGTGCAAATGCTGCAATTTTCCATTCGCCAGCTTGCTGAGGTGGAAAATGGCATGAATGCCGTCGAGCGTCTCCGCTACTACGGACATGAATTGGAGGAAGAAGCTCCTCTCCATACCGTTGATGTGCGTCCCAGCTGGCCGGAAAAGGGCGAGATTGTGTTTGAAAACGTCGAAATGCGCTATCGCCCTAACCTGCCACTGGTTCTCAAGGGTCTCTCCATGCACGTCAAGGGTGGCGAGCGCATCGGCGTTGTCGGACGAACCGGCGCGGGCAAGTCGTCCATTATGAGCACGCTGTTCCGCCTCGTTGAGATTTCCGGCGGCAAGATTTCCATTGACGGGCTCAACATCTCCACCATTGGTCTCGGCGACCTTCGCAAGCGTCTTGCCATTATCCCTCAAGATCCAACGCTATTCCAGGGCACGGTGCGCTCCAACCTGGATCCGTTCCAGGAGCACGACGACCTCGCGCTGTGGTCGGCACTGCGGCAGGCCGATCTCGTGGGCGCCGACGCGGCCATCGATGACCGCTCGGACGCGTCGCGCATCCATCTCGACAGCATCGTCGAGGACGAGGGTCTCAACTTTTCGCTCGGGCAGCGGCAGCTCATGGCGCTCGCCCGCGCGCTTGTGCGCGGCGCGCAAATCATCGTTTGCGACGAGGCGACATCCAGTGTCGACATGGACACGGACGACAAGATTCAGCGCACCATGGCGGCGGGCTTTCGCGGCAAGACGCTGCTGTGCATTGCGCACCGCCTGCGTACTATCATTGGCTACGACCGAATCTGCGTCATGGACGCCGGTCGTATATCAGAGCTAGATACGCCTGCAAATCTGTACCGCAACGCTGACGGCATTTTTCGCGGCATGTGCGATCGTAGCGGCATCAGCTTGGGGGATATCGAGATGGCAGCGCGTACCATGGCGACGATTGATAGCAGTACCGGCTCTGTGCCGCGCATTGCGGAAACTAACGCTTGAGCCAAATCGTTTTGTTTATAAGGTTTATCGTATATATATTTAGTTTTATGGGCATAATTGGGTGGCATTGGAGATTTTAGAGGAGTTGTATATCATGACAACCAGGTCGACCGGCTTTGGTCGAGTAAATGCATGAAGTGTGTAAAAATTACGCCTTTGGGGGTGTAAACAAAATAAGATTTACAAATCACAAAAACATTCTTTCATGAGCTGAGATGGTGAGAAATAGGACCTAGCGGGTCAGCCTGCGGGTGATGAGGCGCACTGGCCCTACTAACACTTCTTTCACCAGCATTTCTTTTCCCTGTCCAAGTAGACTACTTTCCCCTCCATTCAACTGAGCATTTTGCCAGCTGGTTTCGTTTGTTTTCCCGTCCGCCTCTCCCGTTTGCGATTGGCCCGGCCGCCGCCGCCAGCCCAACCCAATGGCCGCAGCACCACCCCTGTTCAGCCTTCCCGGCCTGAGCCTCGCCATCCTGTCCCTCGTCGTCTACCAGCTCTGCTTTGCGCTCATCCTCCTCTGCCTGCCCCGGCGCGCTCTGCTCCTCCGCTGGCTCAGCCTGGCGCCGCTCTCGGCCGCGGCCTACGCCGTCGCGCGGCACGCCGTCGCGCCCGCCGGCCCGCCGCAGCGGCAGGCACCGCTGCTCGGGCTGCTCGTCATCCACTGGCTGGGCCTGGCCGAGTACGTGCTGCTGTCGCGCGTGGCGCTGACCGGCCCGACCAGGTGGCGGCGGCGCCTCTGGCAGGCCCTCGCGCTGAGCTGCAACGCGCGCCGCCTCGGCACCCCGTGGGAGGCGAAGAACGTGTACCGCCGCGGCGGCGGCGGCCCGTGGAGCACGCCGCGGTTCCTGGCGCATGTCGTGCCGCGCGTCATGCTGTGCTATCTCGTCGTGGACGCGCTCATGCTGGCGCCGCCGCCGGACGCGCATCTGGTCACCGTGCGCAAGCAGGCGGCGTGGCGCCTCTGGACGCTCACCGCCGAGGATGTCGGGTTCCGCGCGGCGGCGACGGTGCTCTTCTGGCTGGTCTCGTACTGCATCGTGTACGGCCTGATCCACGTCGCGGCCGTCGCGGCCGTCGTGCTGGGGCTGAGCACGCCCGCGTTTTGGCCGCATCTGTTTGGGCCGGTATCTGAGCTCTACACCCTCCGCGGTTTCTGGGGGTAACCGTTCCCCTTCCCTTTCCTTCTTTGTGATGTGGCAAAGACTGACCTGAAAAAAAATTTGCAGCACGTTTTGGCATCAGCGGCTACGCAGGACGCTGACGTCCTTTTCCGACGCCGTCGCCGACCATGTGTTGTGCATCCGGCGCCCGAGCACGCTGTCGACGTACACGCGGCTCTTTCTCGTCTTCGCCATCAGCGGGCTGCTGCACCACCCGACGGACACGGTGCAGGGCTTGCCGGCCACGGAGACGGCGTCGGTGGCGTTCTTCCTCATGCAGCCGCTCGGCATCGTCGCCGAGGACGCGGCGCAGGCGCTGACGCGAGGCTGGCCGCTCCCGCGGTGGGTGAGGAGCGTCGCGGGGTATGCGTGGGTGGCCTTTTTTCTCGTCTGCACGACGCCCACGTGGATGTTTTCCATCGCCAGGCTTGGACAGACGCCGGATCTGCTGCCCGTCAAGGTGGCGCGGCCGCTGGTGGCGTGGCTCACGGGCGAGTAGATCGTATCGGTGCCTCGTTGGACTGTTCCCTTTCACTCATCTCCACGCTGAGACAAATCTCATTAAAGTGCTCCTTTACTACGCTTAGACAAATCGCTAGACTTCATTGAATCTTAATTGCCCTTGGGCCTGCTTCACTTATTAATTGGGCGAGCACAACATACTTGCTCACCACACAGTACCTATTATATAGCTATGGTAGACTGTATAGTCATGGTACAGCCCATCGTTTCCGTAAACAAAAAATGAAAAGTTAAGAAATTTTTAGCGTATAAGCTACTGAGGATGAAGCCGTTAAAGTAGAAAAAATGTAGTAAATAACAACGCAGCACCCTCTAAAGAACAGAAAACAAGTATCCAACCGTATTCAAAAGAACGCCTTGATAAAAGGAATGTCGTCGTATGTGCAAGTGCGAGAGCATTGCTCAGGACCTCAGCTTTATCTGCTGTAGAATCTGCGTCTATCGACGGGACCCTGGCATATTTGGCGGAGGGAAGGCCGACGGGTCTTCAGCCAGCAGGTCTTCGAGGTAGGCACTCGGGGCTCTTTGGCCGGGTTGAAGCGGCGAGGCAAGATTTACCGACGAAGTGCTGGCATCACGGCGGGCGTGAAACATAGGAGACTCGGGCGGCGAGCCGTTGAGGGTGTGACGGGACCCGTTGGCGTACGAAACCGGGCTGAGGTTGGACATGCTGATGGACTGTCCCTGCTGGTGCGGCGGCGCAGCGGACCCAGCCGCGTAAAAGCCAGATGGCAGATACGTGGAGCCGCGGTTTCCGGGTCCCCCGCTGGCTGCCGTGGGTGAGAAGAAGAGGCTGGACCGGCTCGGGTCGTTGGCGGGATCCGGGCCGCGCGTGGAGCGCCGGTTCGTGCGACGCGCGCTCTGGCCGAGCGAACGTGTGGATTCCTGGTCCGTGTACTTGTAAAATGGCGCGGGCGGCGCCGGGAAGTTGGCCGCGTTGGACGAGGACGACTTTTTAATGTTGGCGGCGTGTTGGGCCTTGGAGGCGCGCTCGACGGAGCGATGCAGCAGCAGGCTGACAATGGCGCGCCAGATGAGGACGGCGAGGAAAAAGGCGCCGAGGATGGCGCCCACGGCGATGAAGACGGTGCCCTCGGGAGCACTGGACGACTGCATGAACGGCGCGTCCTTGGTGTCGGGGACGATCTGCGCGTACGTGGGTATGGGCACGAAGTTGGTGAGGGTCGGAAGGCCGGTCAGGCCGGCACCGTCTGTGCTGGAGGCAGAGGCCGCGGCGCTGGAGGGCGTCGAAGTCGCGGATGGCGACGAGGACGAGGATGATTTTGACTCGGTCGCGCTGGCGGAGGCCTTGGAGCTGGACGACGAGGCGGAGGAGGATTTGGAGTCGGAGGCGGAACTGCTCGAGCTCTCGTCGGCGGCACGGACGGGCACGATGATGCCATTCAGGAGGGCAAACACCGTGAACAGCGTGGTGCTGCCAGGGACGTGGTTGGCAGGGCGCATCGTGGCGGCGACCGAGGGGGGACGGGGTAACGGTCGGGAAAGAAATCGATATGCGTGCCAGCGAGGTAGCAGAAAAGGGATTGTTGAAGATGTGGCGTGGCTCGGCAGCAGTGAGAAACGAGAGTGGTCGTTGTGTCTCGTTGGCCAATTTCAACGATTGAAACAGGGATGAGTCTTGGGGCCAGGGTGGCGGTTGACGTCGTCGGGGGGTGATTTGTTGACGCGTCGGCGGTCGGGTTGGCGGGAAGCGAGAAATGGCGTTGCAAGGAAGCGAATGACGGAAATGAAGATGAGAAAAGAAAAAAGGCGCAGGCGCTGGAGGGCTCAGCTGTGAAGAGACGGGCAGAGAATGTGGAAGGAGGAAATAATTACCGTTTGTTGATCAGCGAATGACCCTTTTTTCCCCCACTGGTACGGCTGCAGGATTTCAGGGCAGCGACCAGGCCTGCACTGGAGTCTAGGCAAAAGTGAATACGGTACAAATTATCCGGATCTAAATAAGTTTGAAGTTTAAGACAGTCAACAAACTTTACAAAGTTTTAATCTCTCGAAATCATTGAAAGCGTAGGTAAATCCCTTCACTCGTGTTAGGCGCAGCATAACTAAAAGGCAAAACAACAATCCGGATCGCCCCCCACCAGCTCGCTCAGAATATAGTCCCTAATTTCTCGCGTTTTGATCACAGTATTGCCTAGATTGGCATAGGCGACATGGCCGAGTGGTTATGGCGGTCGGTTCAAGATCTCTATCTTGCCTGTTAAGCGGGTTTAATTCGACTAACGAAAGTTGCGAGGGTTCGAGTCCCTCTGTCGTCAGTGTCACACTTTTTTGTTTCTTTTTGTCACACCCAGGGTTTTACCTGTCGCAACTCCTTCTGTGATTCTTTTCACCCGCATACCATTTTGCCTTGCTGTAAGAAAACCCGTCGCTTTTTTCAACGACGATAAATTGCATGTTCCAAGCTGGCGGTGGGGAGTCAAGACGATTTGTTGGGCTTCTGTCTATTGCATACTTGTGGCTTGATCTCTTGAATTTCGTAAATACGCTGTCGCTTTCTTCTAAATATTGTCGTCATAGTCATGACCGAAGCCACTTCATTACCCAAGTACTCTATGAAAATGAAAGCAGGAAAGCACAGGAACAAAGACCCCAAGATTATATATGGTACCGCAGGTAAGGCCCTAAGCATTTGAGGTTTGGAAATGTCATTGTACAAAATTCGGAGGTCGATGTATGACTTCTTGAATGCCAAATATGCTGGCCTCTCACGCGGCAAGCTACTCGGGTTCAGTACCATCAACAATTGATCTTTGAGGCGCGGCTCAGGGTGTATGGTGTAGAGGGCTTTGTGTATTGTCGCCCCAAGCATCATGCCGATACTTCCAAAAGGAAACCCGCAATAATCGGCATATTCAGTGGCGTTAAAAGCAGCAGATATCATACAGAGCAATTACTGTAGCCCCAAAGATGTAGCAAGTACTTTACAATTAAGTCAATTTTTTCTCAACCACCGATCTCGGCTCTCGCTCCTTCGCACCTGCGTCAACCTTGGAGACTTGGAATCAGCCGTGGCGAAGTATCGATTGCTCTCGGTAGCCGGACTGCCGAGCGTCTCAGGAGAAATGTGTTTGGCGTTCCTGGTGGTATACAGTGGTGACATTGCCAAGATGCAAAACATACAACCCCTCAAGGTCAAAATTCCTATGAGACGGGGCCTAGTAGCAATTCCTATCCGTATTCAGATGCATTATTGCCCAGAGAAACGTAACCTCGTTTCCATCACGCGAGCGAACAGATTTTCATCTCACCTTGGAACCGGCGAGACTCAAACATGCCGCCGAGGTACGCTGACCAGTTTGGGCCGCAGGTAACATGCCGTGTCGCCATGGTAGTAACGCATACTCAGTTGTGTACGGACTAGCAGATGACGTTATTTTGAGCGATATGCCGATCTCAAGTGACTTCGTATCGGGGTGGACAGCAGCTGCGAGGTCCGCCGCCTTGGCCACGCTGGAGCTGCCGCTCTGCCCGACGACTACGCCCGTCCCCTCCGCTGGGGCTTCAAGCTCATCATCAATTTGTGATGATCTGAGGGATCTTCAGGGCGTAGCGCGGTGACGTCCGTGCTGATCTTGGTAACATGGACGCCACGCATTTGGCCAACAGCCTGGATATATACACAGGAAAGCCCAAACTGTCAGCCGCAAAAGCCCGCACATTACGCTGTTTTGGTGACCTGGACTTTCCTACATGCGCACAGAGGACTTGTTTGATTGACGTTTAGTTATTGTTTCATCAATAGTTTGCAAGTAAGTAGTAGGTCGTCTGCTGCAGCGAGCCATCGCGCGCCAAGACACACGTGGCGGAGCAATAGCAGTGCAGGTTATCACTTTGACTTCTTGCGTATTTCTGCCTTTTACAATGCTAATAAAACGCAGGGTATGCGGAAGAATTCTAGCCCCAGCGCTGCAGTCCCGGTCATGTCCTTCGAGGCAACCCCGACTGGACCGGATTCGCCTCAGTGACATTCGTGGAAAGTTCAGGGCCTAAAATCCTGGACACTAATTGGATATGTTCCTTTTGTCCGAGCTATACTTGCTACTTTCTTCGATGTATGGGTGCTAATTAGATAGCAGATGTCAAAAGAAACAAGTCTCCCTGCCCAACCTCAGTGTTGCAACCCACCCGCACGACGGCTGCAGTAAAGCTGCGCAAATCTGCTCCTTGAGAACCTCTATGGCTCTTGGACCGCATTCTACTTGAAGTCATCAGTCGCAGGAAGACTGCTGCTTTGCAGGAGATGGTTGATGGTGTGATAAGGGACATGAGTTATATCCAGCAGAGAACTGGCGAGCGATTTTGTATTGAACGGCCCGACTTTCGTGATGTAGGTGATATGTTACATTATAGGTTTTGAGAAAGTTCAGATGTTACTTCGGAATTACGTTCGAGGAGGGGTAGGCCGTATCAAGTGTCCGAGAACAAGGTATAAAGGCATCGTCATGGTCTCTCCATTCGAGAGCCTTTCTTTCGCACGCACACACGCACGCACGCACACTGAAACAAAGCCAGAACAATCTCCTCGATTACTTTTTACCTCCATCTTTAGCCTACGATAAAACATCAAAATGTCTGCCCCTCGAGAGGACGTGGTGAACCCAGACTCTGAAGTTGTTCCCATTGGACACGACACTGAAAATGAACGCAACGTGGTGGTGAATCCAGACTCTGACCACGATCCCTCTGGCATCCAAGTCCTCTCGACGGTGGTGAATCCACAAGGCGGCGCTGTTAACCAGGGTACCACATTCTTCATCCGCAACGAGCTCAGGGCTGCGCACACAGTCACTGTCTGGGTCGGCCGCAGCGCTAGTCATCTCGACCGAGATCTGATCCTGGCCATCCGGGTCGAATGGAGCGACGGCAGGCACCAAACCAGCGGAGACCAGGTCACGAGCAGCACCCAGCACTCGTTCCGGTTTGACGAGGGGGAGACGGTGACCTCGATGAGCATCTGGGCAGGAGACCGTGTGGACCGCATCAGGTGGCGGACAAACAGGAACCGCAACTTTGACGAGGGCGGAAAGAACTACCAAAATGGATTTGGCGGGCGGGAGCGCGTCCAGAACGTTGGCAACGGCGTCCTTCTGGGCTTCCACGGCAGAGACACTCCGAACACGCTCTTCTCACTTGGCTCCATCTTCAGAGGCCCGAATTGAGACTGAAAAGGCAAGGCTTCCACTATTCTTCACTTGTCTCACAAAGGCTAACTCTCTGCGCTTAGCATAGACGTCAAAATGGCCGGTTCTAGCGTGCTAGGGCTGTCCTCGTGGCTCTTGAAGTCTTTATTGGTGTCTTCGACCCATATGTGAGAGTAGTTCTATTTCTACGTTGGTCGATTTTCAGATTCAACAAGAGGGAAGAGACAAGGAACGAACGAAATAGTTTACCGATTACATTTTTACCAACTACAATTCAGTCTTTTTCTCCAAGTTTACCTCCAGGAACTCTATTTTGCTTCTTGGCATTAACCGGCGCGGCCTCAAAGCAAGACTGTGCCGCCGGTTGACACGAGACTCGTAACCAGCCAGTGATTCAAAACAACAAAGGCAAGATTGTCAAACATTTTCACCGATGTTCCAGAATACTGCACTTCTTCCAAGAAGACTTGGTGTCCCATAGATGCTCAGTAGTTGTGCCAAACGTATCAAGAGAGCAAAAATTTCAAGATTGAGTTGTCCCAGTAGCCGGCGCTATAAAGTGCAAATGGATATATACAGTGTAGTAGTATTCCGCGTCCGCCATTCTTTTCCATGTCCTTTGATTCTCCCAACGCCTCATTTCAATGATGTTGTTTCCAGCACCGCGGATGATTGGAAACAGTGATTATTTTTAGTGCCCTAGTCCTCAAATCCGTTCCACGACTTCTCGTCATCCGAACGCCGGGGGGTGTCTGGCCGTAGGCTATCGCCGTCACCCCGGGCAGGGACTTTTCTGGGCAGGTCCACGGACGGCGAGCGGCGTCGCTTCTCGGCCTTGGAGGGGGTGGCCGGGCCGTTGCCGTTGACACCTTGGGCGTGAACCTTGCTGGATGTCGTGCCATTGGTTTTGGCGTCGCCGCTCGCTTGCCAGTTGCCGCCAGGCTCGCCGTTCCAGCGGGCGAGCATGTCGGCGACCAGAGGTCCCCAAACCTCCTCCCCCTTGGTCAGGTCGTCGTATTCGAGACAGTTTATACCGCCGACGGTAAAGTCGCTCTGTCGCGTGCGGCATAGTTCCGCCATGAGGCCGGCCGAGTCGAGCTTGGCGCCGAGATCGTGGCAGAAACTGCGGATGTAGTATCCCGATGTGACTGTGAGTCTAATCTTGGCCGCAGGAGGGCCCTGGTCGGTCCAGGGAGGCGGAGTGTTCTTATCGGGAGCAGGCTGCACCAGATTGGAGCCCTTGTTGGAATGTTTGGCGGATTGAGGCAGGGCGCCCAGAGCGCCGGACATCATAGCATCTCTACTACCACGCTGTCGAGATGGCTTGGGCGAGTCTCGAATGAGATCGTCTTGACGCTCCTCAAATTTCTGCTTGAATGACTCGTGCGCCGCCATGGCCTTGTCGTCCTCCTCCCTTTCCTCGGGCGTGAGCTTCTTGGCCGTCTCTTGCAACTTTTTGAGGCGCCAAACCTGCTCCGCCAGGTTACGCTCCGCGGCGGACGCCTCCTCTGTCGGCCAGCGGTGGTTATGCTTGCCAGGCTCGTAAAACTCGACGAGCTCAATGTCAAGAACCTCGACCTCGCGGCCTTGGATCTCTCTGGGAATCGGTTTGCCCTCGCGCGCGTACTCGTACAGAGGCTTGCCGTTCATCTTGAGAGCCGAGTAGAGCGGCGGTATTTGAATCTGCTTGCCCTTGAAGGACTCGAGGGCCTTTTCCAGCTTCTCCTTTGTAATGTGCTCGTAGGGCCTCTTGGAGAGGACGCGGCCGACGCGGTCGTAGGTATCGGTGCTGGCACCAAAGACGACAATCGTCTCGTATGCTTTTGTGCAGTCGAGGAACTGAGATAGCTGCTTGGTACCGGTGCCAACGCCGAGAATCAGGACGCCGGTGGCTAGAGGGTCGAGGGTGCCACCGTGGCCCATCTTGACCTGGGCAGCTCTCTTCTCCTGCCTGCGGCGCTTGAATTGGCCGCCGGACTCCTTGAGACGACGGGCGACTTCGTTTTCGAGCATGGGTTTGAAATAGGCAGAAGGGTTGAAGTGTTGTTGGCAGACTCGGATCACCTGCGCAGAGCTCTCGCCGCAGGGCTTGTTGATGGCTAAAGGAAGCGCACTACGATTAGCATTTTGCGGCTTCTGGGCCCGCGTCTGAGGTGGGCGCGGTGTCGCATACCAAATATGCCGTCTCGGGCAATGTCAGAGGCCATCTTGAAGGAGATTCCGGCCCGGCGCATACGAGCGACGAGGCGGCGCTGGCTATGATCGGGGGGGCGGGCACCCGCTGGCTATGCTCGCTGACTGCCAGAGCGACAAGAAGGCAGTAGCCAAGGGAATACGAGGCGCAAATGAGAATGACAATTGATACGCGAATGGGTCGCTAGAAGGGGAAGGGGAAAAGAGTGCCAAAGAAGCGGAATCTACACCGAGCGCAAGCCTCGGGCTTGGGGGAAAAAAGTGTACTTGGTGGAGAGGAAGAAAAAACCGAGGAGCGGGCGTGGCATTTTTGCTGTGATGGAGATTGGCGTCTGGCGCGGGAGTGACCCGCTACAATCTAGGTACACGCTATTGTTACCTACCTAGGTACTAGTTAAAGATGTTGAGGGTGTAATTGTTATGCCATTGTGGTATGTGGGATGATGATGATGTATTGTGGAGGTTGTGTGGGCTCTAGAGAGGTCTCATGTACCCTACAGTAATAGTAGCAATCTGGTGGTGGTGATGTGTGCCGTTTTTTTTTTTTGCCGGTATTTTCCAGTATATGAAATTTCGTCGCTGTGGCCATTCTTGCGCTCGCGTTGCGGGACTGCACCGTGATAACCTCACCTACCTACTAAGGTATGAAGCGTGCACGATGTAGTACTTGTCTGCCCCCAGAGTCTGCAGCTTTCAAATAGAACCGCATCCATCTATTCAAATATAAATCCTCTTACCAAGCATCAAGATACACGACTCCACTCGACGAGTCTGGCGAGAGACAAGACCTCAAAAAGAGTCTGGAGAGCCTGTACGATAAGCACAGGCACGTCAGGGAGCCGGCAGCAATCATGCACGTCATTGATGCCGACTTTATCCAGACGGAGAGCTGAAAATACCATCGGCGTTTAGTGAGGACTCCAAATGTCATTTTTAAGTCTTTATTGTCCGTTTGTAGGTCGAAACGTCACAAGCTCGATGCTTGATGGTAGTGTGAGGTGCATAGCAATAGCCCCTAAAAATAGGGTAATAATCACGAATGAATAATGTTTTTAATCATGAGCAGCATTCTGAGGCAATCCAAGGCCACTTGAATGAAACTGGCCAAATGTATTATGAAAGCTCGTCGCGGCTCCCGAAGCGTTCTGTTGTGCTGGTGCTACCGTGATGGCACTGATCCTTTTTCCCAGTGCCCAATGGCCCAGCCCACCCAACTTCTCTCCTTCACCTCCGCCCATCTCTACGCGTGCAGAAGCTCCCCACGCCCTGCAGGTACCAACGGGCAATTTATCAAAACTCGAAACAAAATTCCATTGTCGATACCGCCCGTCCATGCTAGTGCTCCCTCGTTTGCAAGCTCCATCGTGAGCTCGCCGATCAAGCTGCCATGGCCGAAGCTACGGCTCGAGCTTCTTCTCCCTCCGCAGCGAGCCGCGCGCTGGATACGCAGACGCCGACGCCCATTTCGGCGCTTAACCCCGAGCTTCCCGATCGCGATTCATGCGTCATCGACGGCGTTGTCACCATTACATGGCCCTACAGCATCGTCACCCGCTCCGCCGCCTTCATCCTGGCCGAGCCCGACTTTCGTCTCCGACATGCGCGCGGCCAGCTGCGAATCGAATTCCACGGGCACGCTGCCCAGAAGCTCTTCGATGCCGGTATTGGCGGCGGCGATGCTCTGCGAATCTCGCTCGAGGGTGCGGAGTGGGAGACGCACAAGTCGCAAACGCGAATGCCGGGCACGATTTTGGAGTGGCAGCTCAAATTTACAAACCGCCTGCTGATGCGCATTCGGAGAGCGGACGACCCACAGCTCGAGATTTTGGATTTGAATCTCCCCGACAACGCAAACGGAGACGATGCCCTTCACGTTACGCGCACGCCGCAAGGCTCCTCACCGCTCATGCATTCAGGGCTGTTTGCCACAGAGGTTGTCGCCACCCCCGCCGCGCATTCCCCCGACTACAACCGACCTGCGAAACGAACGGCCTCCTACGCGTTCGAACCAGCTGAATACGCATCGCCTGCGTTCCTCAAACGCGCGCGTGTTTCTTACGGATCGCTGTTTGAAGATGGGTTCGACATATTCGATGAAGACGTGGCCAAGAAGAAAACCAAGACAAAGAAGACGAAGCGTACACGATTTAGCATGGGTGCCACAGGGTGGAGATACAATAGCCGATCACCAACCCCAGAACCGCGAGCACCAGGGACGCCCGAACTCGAAAGCGATTTGGAAGAGGATAATGAGGCGGCCGAGCCTATGGCAGCGGTGATGAAGAGTCCAGCTATGGTGGACGAATCCTCACAAACACAGGAAACCTCGTTCGCGTCTCAGGTTGCAGAGCAGGCCCGCGAATCTGCCTCGCTGATCCCCTCTTCACCTACCCCGATGAGCTTTGGAAAGCCTGAAGAGAAATCTAACGGGCTATTCGCAGTGCCGACCTTTGGCACGCCGTCTACCACGAAAGCAGAGGCGGTCTCTGCATTCGGTCAGCCGTCACGACCATTATTTGGCGGAACTACAAATATGTTTGCCTCTGCAAAACCAACCACGCCCTCGCAAAGGGGTGTGTTTGGGTCCTCGTTTGGCAACTCAGGATTTTCCGTAGAACACACCACAACAGCATCCACCAGCAGCATTCCCGTGTTTAATGACGCACTAGCGGAATCGATACAAAGTCGCGAGGCTGCTGAAGAACGGGCACCCGGACAGCCAGAATCGGCTTTCGATGTGTCGACCGAAGAAGCATATCATGAAATTGCCACCAGTTTCGGCGTGATAGCTGGCCAGGAAGCCCATCGAGAGATGAATCCGTTTGCCGCTCCAGAGTTTTTGCAACCAGCCTCCATCCGCAATCCATTCACTGTGGAGCCATTTCCTCAAGCAGCTTCTCATGACCTGGGAGATGATGACATCTACGAGGCCAACACGTATCCTGAAATACATGAGGAGGATAAACCCAAAGAATCGGGACCTCATACATTCGCTGAGGAACCATTCCCACAAGCTTCTCAGGATCAAGCCACGGATGATATTTACGAGGCTACTACGTATCCTGAAATACATGGCGAGGACAACCCCAAAGGATCGAGTCCTCCATTCGACGTATCTCGCAGTTTTGATCAAGGCGGGAGTAACTCACCGAACCAGAGTGCTCGCGAGGAAGAGATTGAGGAGGAAGAAGACGAAAGCACAGATTATGATATTGAAGCAGGCGAGCCATCACAGAGGCTAGGACAAGCAGCGTTGGAAGAGGAAGAAGACGATGCGGAAGATGTTGAGCAGAAAGAGTACGACGAGGATGGCGAGGGATATGATGAAGAAGAATCTCGGTACGACGAGCACTATGAAGAGGATGACGAAGAGCACTATGAAGATGATGATGACGAGGAAGAGGAGTCTGACTCAGAAAGTGATAAACCTGTGTCTCAGGTACCGCAAGCTTCTCAGGACCCCATCTTCATTAGTTTGCTGTCAGATTCCGAGGGTGAAGACGAACCGGCTGCAGTGAGCCCTGCACTAGCCGCTAAGCCGGACGTTGCTCAGTCTGCAACACGTAAAGAGTCTGACGAAAACAACGAAGCCAATGGCGAGGAAGGCGATGAGAATAGCTCTCAACAGGTGACTGAAGAGTCGGATTCTCACGAGTCTAGCGCCGAAGAGAAAATGGTGCAGCGCAGTGCGGAGGCAGAGGCAGGCGACGAAGATGCTTCTGCTGATGAGGACCACGACGAGCCCAGCATTGTGAAAGAAGCAACAGACTACGAGCCAGCGGCCGCGAAAGAAGAGGGCGCGGTTCCTGCAGATCCCAAAGTATCACCAACAAAAGTTGCTGAATCTGCCGCTGGAAAAGAGGATTTGGTTACCACCGATATTGAAGTGTCACCAGCAGAAGTAGCGGAAGCTACTGAGGATGAGCAAGAAGCAGCGGAGGTCATGGATATCGATGAGGACGAGGACGACGTCCATTTGATTAGCATGACAGAGCCCGAGCGACCGCTGGAAGAAGTGGCCTCGCCGGCTCCTTCTCCCATCGCGGTAGACGAGGATGCAGAAAGTGTCGACGCGATGGAGGAAGACCACGTCTCTGAACCCACTCAACGAGAAGCCAGCCATTTCAACGGGAAAGCTGATGATGCGATGGAGGAAGACGATGCCTTTGAACCTGTCCAGCCGGAAGCCAACGATATCAACGAGAAAGTCAACGGCACAGAGGAAGACGTCGAGGTCGCAGACGCCCCCGAGGCAGCCGAGGACGAGTTCAAGTCTCAGCCGGATATTGACATGGACATTAAGGAACCAGAAGAAATTGAGATGCTCACACAAGGCTCTCCTGAAGTCATGGTAGAAGACGGGCCACCAGTGCAGGTCGAGCGAGAGATAGAAGTCGACCTCATTAGTGAGGCACCAGAGTCCTCTATCCAAGTCGTCAAAGAAGCTGCTGAGGCGGATATCAAGGATGTGCCTGCGCCGGACGAGCCGGTGCCCGTGGAAGACGAGCCGGCGCCCATGG